CATCTAGTTCTGTGAAGTTAGTTTCCAAAGGAGGAACTTGTTCGTTTCCTTCAGGCTCTTCTAGCTGTTGTTGCTGAACTATTTCTTCCATGTCTGGTTGTATCTGAACTTCTTCCTGTGGAGTTTCTTGTACCTCATCTGCTGGCATTTCATATATTCCGAGACCGTTTTTAACAAGTTCCCTATTTAAGCCATCCGCATTCATAACCCTTTCTTCTTTCGTTCCGTCTCTATTTTTTACGCGTTTCATGAAGATAGTTGAATTATCATTTATCTCTGACACCAAATATCTTGGAGAAATTCAGTCATGTCATTTGATGATATGCTATTAAATCATATCCCTTAGCGAGCTTGTATTTTCCAGGTTTGAAATTATATCCCATTTGGTGCTGAACCATAAAGCTAAATAGGTTCGGGTCAGTATTTCCTTCCTTGAACTTTCTAATAGCTTCTTTATCTGTCACTAAAGTGCAAGAGTATCTGGGTAACCATAATTTTCCTTAAGCATTTTTAAGAATTCTTGTTTCCTTGTCTCTACTTCTTTTATGCCTTGCTCTTTGTGGTTGTTGCTGTGCAGTGTTTTGAACTGTTGGTTGTGGTGCAGTGTTTTGAACTGTTGGTTTGGTGCAGTTTTTGAACTGTTGGTTGTGGTGCAGTGTTTTGAACTGTTGGTTGTTGTTGGTTGTTGTGTTGGTTTTGTGTTGGTTTTGGTTGTTTGTGGTGCATGCCTGTGTCTGTGTCCATGTGACGATGTAAATGTTTTAGGTAGTCCTGGTGCAGGTGCTTCTCTTGGAGGGTTTGTGGATATAAGTTCCACTAGCTAGTATATAAGTTCCACCAGCTGGTATATAAGTTCCACCAGCTGGCACATATGTTCCATCTGCAGCATAATGTCCTACCTGACTTTTCGTTTTTAAGAAAGCATTTACTAGGTCTGTTTGGTCTGTTGTAACTCTTTTTCTTGACTTTCCACAACAGTTGCTCTAACGGCGTCATAGGCACTTTGAACTGCCTGTCTCGTTGCTGCATCTGTTATTTTCGTCATATTTTGTGCTACTTCTCTTAACTCGTTGTCGAAACCTTCAGACTTCAGTTTCTTTCCAGATGAGAAGTCGTTCACTAGTTTCACCTTACTATGAAGAGCTTCGAAGGCGTTCTTAAAGTCAGCATTCATTAAAGCTTCATTTGAACTGTCTTCATCCGCTTGTATTTTTGTCCTTATTGACCCTATAAGTTGGGCTGCTTTAGCGTTGGCTTGGGCATCTAACCAGTCATTATAGCTTTTATATATTCTGCGCTTTTCATTGCCTTTTGCATGGCTGCGTCGTTATTTTTACTTTCTTGTGCTAAGTTTTCATACTGTACGGTTTGGTTTTGCAACTGTAAAAGTTTTTCTGCCTTTACATTTGCTTCAACTTCTTTTTTATACTCATCGCTATCCATATATGTCTTCAGGGCTTTTTGTTTTATTTCTTCATCTTTCAGTACTTTATATTGAGTAGTATGGTTTTTTCAAATTTATAACATCTTGTTCCATTTTTGCTACTTCTGCTGCTTTTTCTGACACTTTTTTCGCATATTCCTCTGTACTTAGTTCTTTCAGTTGTTCTTCTTTCTTCTTTTTCTCTACGTTTAACTCATTTAGTTTCTTTGTCTGTCTGTCATATTCTAGTTTCTTTTCGTTTTCACTTATTTGTTTCTGTATGTCTATGTTTGACTTTTTGACATCTGTTATTTGATTTTTGAGTGAACTCAAATTCATTTGACTTTGAGGGTTATAAGCTGTTCCGTCTGCAGCTCCACCATAGCCTGCCATTTTCGCTAAAAGTGCCGCTCTTAAACCTCCACTCTGTGCACCAATAACTCGGTTTAAAAGCATAGGGTTGCTTGACATTTGTTGCAACATAGTGGGGTCATTCATAATTTGTTGTTGCAACTGTTGTTGTGGTGTCAGTTTTACTATTGGATGTTTCAATGCTCCCTTCCTCTTACGTATATTCTTACGTAGCTTACGTGGCATTTTAAGTGAAGTTAAAAAGCGGTTTTTGACAGATGTTTATATGACACTTTTTGTTCAGCACAAAAAACTACTCGGTCAACGTGTTGTCAGTTTTGTAAAATAACCGTCCTATCTCATTCTATAAGGGGGAAAGGCTTCTCAAATTCAAGAGGTTAGAAAACAGGTTAGAAAAGAGGTTAGATCTAACCTCTTCACCTAAATTATATTTTTGGTCATTTACACTCATTACGAAGAAGTCTTGACAAAACATGTACGTTCATGTTTGACAAAACATTTACGAAGAAATCATGAAAATTCAAGAGGTTAGAAAAGAGGGTAGAAAAGAGGTTAGATCTAACCTTCTACCCTAAAATATATTTTTGGTCATTTACACTCATTACGAAGAAGTCTTGACAAAACATGTACGTTCATGTTTGACAAAACATGAAAACATATATAATTTGTGAAAAGCGACACATTATATAATGTTTTCGACCCAGAAGAAGGCTTCTTCCCAGAAGCAATGGAGGAAGAAGAAGAGTCCTCCGAATATCAACTTCATTAATATTAAACATCATCAGGGCTAGAAAGCACGAAGTGCCTGGAAGCCCCACTACCTTTTTTTTTTTTTTTTTTTTAAAAATAAAAAAAAATAAATTTAACTTAGTTTTAATTTTACGTAAGAAGTCAATTTTTTATATACCGTCATTTGTAGGTATTATTTCTATCAGATAAAAATTATTTTTCTATTTGTCATCTTTATATAAAGATAAAAAATATTTTTGATTAATAAGGAATTAATTTCATTTTATATCTTATAATGTGCGCATATGTATTTAAAAGGCATTCATTGAATTGCTTTTCAATCTCTTTCTTTTTTTCATCTTCGAATATTATATCATTTTCATGTTCGAAGCTTGTAAGTTTGTTATCTTCAAATATTATATTAGTTTCATATATCAAATTATGATATCGGTCATATTCTTTTAAGTGATAAATAAATACAAAATTTACGGTTCCTTTAATTTTAAATTCAAAATTAATTTTACAACAGCTTTGTGGATCAATTAGTAAATCAATCAAATAATGTTCAAAATCAGATATTATTCTTTTTCCATACATTTTATATTAAATAAAAAAATCTAACTTTATTTTTTCGGAGTTTTGTGACGAAGTGCGAATCTTCACTTCGTCAAAAATATATTCTTTTTATTAATGGTAATATAGGAATTGTAGGAATAAAAACTTTTTATAAATTATTCATAAATTTTTAAAATCTGCTATTCGGAAGTATGTTCAAAAATCATTCAATTATGTGAGAATTCTTACGATTACAAAAAAAGTCACACAACCCGTCCACTTATACTACTGGTGATCTTGAAACTAAAGAAATCAAACATACACTCCTATATGATGTTTGTATATTCATGTTAGTTATCACAGTTTGATTTACAAATCGTAATGCATTTAAGACATGGAAGATTATAAGGTTTATTACATCAAATCATTAATTTAACAGAGATGTGTTATGTTGTTGTAAACAGAAATTCATCAAAAGTGACAGCTCTCAATTTTTTGACATTTGTAAATTCTAAATTGAATGAGAAAAATGAAATAATACTAAGCATAATACAATATTCTAGATTTAATTATAATTAGGAAAAAGTTAGTTTTGAGAGTACTTTTCATAGGCATATAGAATGAAATCTTCTGAAAAATAATATCACATAAACTCATATTATTTTCTAATATATAACTATTTTATATAAAAATCAAATTCAATGATCTTAAAAGCGAAGGATAAACCTCAAAATTTACGAATATAATGAGTGGGAATATAATGCTTATCTATCATAAAACCATATGAAATATTAATTTTTGCTTTACGCCTAATTTTTGACGACAATTAGCAAGAAGAATTGCATGATAAATAAAAACATTTAATCAAAGTCAATTTTATTTTTCATATTCAAATGGACTGAGTGTTAACATTTAACATTTTTTGCTAATTGTCGTCAAAAATTAGGCGTAAAGCAAAAATTGATATTTCATATGGTTTTATGATAGATAAGCATTATATTCCCACTCATTATATTCGTAAATTTTGAGGTTTATCCTTCGCTTTTAAGATCATTGAATTTGATTTTTATATAAAATAGTTATATATTAGAAAATAATATGAGTTTATGTGATATTATTTTTCAGAAGATTTTGTGTTCTTCTTCAAAATTTTATTTTTTTATTAAAAAGAATCTTTACAAAATATACATTTACTTTAATTAATATTTAAAAACGTGCTCTATCAAAAGTTCCAAAAATTCAATATTTTAGCTTTTCTGAGGTGTCACTTTTGATGAATTTCTGTTTACAACAATGTAAGCATATTTCTAACCAACAAAGTTAGGTTACATTGTCCAAAGCATAAAAATTACAGCTACACAAAAATGAATGAAAAAGTTACCACGGGCCTCTTTTTTTCAATTTATTCAATAATAGAAGATAATACAAAAGAAAAGACAAAGATGGAAAACTATAAAAAAATACGTGAGTTTATGATTGGACAGATTTTCCTGTACGAATTGCAATATAATATTTTATTTTTAATTTTCATTATAGATATCTACCAAGCTACTGAATTATAAAGATTTCGTGAAAACAACGAAAGATTTTGAAATTGGAAAATATTTGTTAAAAGACTATAATTTTGTAATATTTCATCTTAATCAATGATGAAGGATATATTTATCAAAAGATTATAAAACGATATTGAAATTTGATATTTTTCAATTTACTTTACGATCTTCTTATCAAACATCATCAGATAATTGTTATCCGAGCTGTTGTCAATTTTATAAATTTAAATAATTTGAATTATTTTCAATTCCAGGATAATTGGTTGAATTTTGAATATCAGGTATTATATTAATTATTTCATTTAAGCACGTTAACCTTTATTTCAATTTGTTTTAAATTGATATCTCTCAAATTTCAATATAGATCAATGCTTTCCTTTCATTTGTTTTTCTTTTCTGCTTCATTAATTTTTGAGCCTGATTATTCAAATAGCCTTCCTAGTGATTGCTCTACAGCCCGGCAATATAATGATTCAAAAATTGAGCTTATTGCATACAAAGGTAAATGTATATTCACAAAACCAGGATTTTTCTTTGGAGATAACTTGATCATTGAAATATATTGGCAAGAAAATAATTCCACAGGCAACTTTTCCCATTTAGGACCTTCGAAAAATGGATGCATTGTAAATGTTCAAGCAACATATATATATGCAATTTTATTGTCTCCTATTAGTCAGACAGTCCATATATATCCAACACAAGCGCTTTCTAGGACCTATAAGACTTACACAGGGGCAGTTGTGACCTATAATATATATTTTTCCACGAAAAACATCACCGAATATAAGATAAATACTTCATATGATGCAGGAAACGAAGATCCAACTTTTGTATATAATAATCTTCTTGTTCTAGGCAACAATGTAAGAATAACGAAATCATCTTCATCATCTCTCAATAAAGATTCAAAACGTTCATTGCTTGCGACCATCCCATTTATTTCTGCTAACGAAAGCGGAATGAGCTATATAGCATTGGGGAGATTGCCTTTAATGGTTTCAAGAGCCGGATCTTATCTTTTTGAGAATGTTGTAGATGTTACTCTTGAACAAATTGAAGGGATACCATGCGTTTCAGGAATGATTCCCTATTCCCCTTCTATTGCTTCGTTAAAAGATATTGATCCATCATATCAAGAACCACCAGACAACAATACGGTTTCAAAAGATCCAAGTTCTCCTAAGACTCCGAAACCAACTCCAACGCATGTAAATTACATACTAATTTCTGCAGTTTGTTTTGCTGTTGCAATAGTCATTGTTATTGTTGTATTGGTTATATTCATTAAGCGAAAACGAGATAAAAAGATTGAAGAAGCATCTCAGCACTCATCAGACTCTTCTTATTATGACTATTACTCTTATGATTCAGAAAACTCAAGTATTCCTTATACATCCGGTAATCCAACCTCATTAGATGCACGCAAGAATCCATATTTATCAGATTCGAAGGATGTTGAGCCTATATTGTCCCATTCTGATATTAATGACCAAAATATGAACTCGACATCAAGCAAGATCGACAGAACTGCTTCACAGACCAATACTTAACCATGCTATTTTTTTATATATTACCATGTATTTCTTTGTTTGTATTATAAATCTTTTTGTTTGTATTCTTTCATATACAAAAGTATTTGCCTATGTATATATTCATCATTCCAACTCACCATATGCCTCAACTAAATAAATCGTCATTTCATTTTATTTTTCAACCGATAAATGAGAAATTGGATTTAAGAAATCGGTATAAATTTTGGACTAAAAGCAGCATTTCTCAATAAAAATCGTTCAGAAATTTTGCCAACTGTTTCAGAAATGTAATCTTTATCGTTTGACCATTTTTTTTGATATCGTTACCAGAAAAATTGAAATGTACAGAAGGGTAAAAGGGGAAAATAACCGTTCATTTCATTCATCGATATGAACAGTATTGTTCGTAAAGAGCTTGAACAGTATGCCGATGATGAGGCTCTTCAGTTCTCCATCGATGCTGAGGATGATCAGAACCTTCGTGTCACACTTTCACCACCAGAAAACACTCCTTACGAAGATGGAATTTTCTTCCTCTCCATGAACATCCCAGCTCAGTACCCAGCTTCCCCACCATCAATCAAATTCGAGACTAAAATTTATCATCCAAACATCAATGAGAACGGTCAGATCTGCCTCGACCAACTCAAGAACGAATGGAAGCCAACATATACCCTCAAGCATGCTATCGAATTCATCATCTTCCTCCTCCAGAATCCAAACTGGGATAGCCCACTCATGCCACAGATCGGTGCTGAATACGCTCAGGATCCAAAACTTTTCGAACAGAAAGCCAGAGAGTGGACAGCCAAGTATGCTTGCTAAACATTATTCGGCCTAAAAATATAATTTTTATATTAATACTTTCTAGATTTATTTTTGTTTACGAACCAAATCTACCAATGAGTAGTTTGTTAGTCATTTCGAATTTTTGAATACCAATAATTTCTAAAGATTCATGCTTTTTCTCAATCTTTCTTCTTATCGAATGACAACCAAATTCACCGGACGACTTTTTGCTAATTATATTGCTAATTACATCAAACTATATACAGTAGAACAAATTCTAACAGTATCTGTGCCATAAACTAACTTTTAAAATGGCGACTAATCGAAATTGGTGGAAAAATTTAGATATATTAGCTGACTCTTGGCATACTGATTTTAATATAACAATCATATCTAATAAATAACTTAGATATCCATAACTATGCATTCTTTATCATTTTATATCAAATAATCTTTTTATTGTTGAAAAATCCTAATCAATAGTTATTCTCTGCATTGTAGTTAATAAATATATACTCAGTGATCGTTGAATCATTAAAAATTATTTGATATATTAAATCTGCTTTAATCTTGCCGTAATTATGTGTCAAATTCCTAATTTTGATGAGAATTAATCATTTGGATACTTAAAACTTTGTTATTTTTATGAGATAATTTTATATAAAAATTTAGTAAAATATAAGAAAAGCTAAAGAAGCAAATTAAATAATAGTTAAGGTATTTAATATATAATATAGAAAGAATGAAAAATAATATACAAAAATAATAAAATACACAAAAAAACAATTTCTTACAAATCTAATTTGAGATTATCATTAATTCTCTATACATCGAGTGACTGTGCACCGCACATTGAGTTAGTTCTCACTATATCCCTCATGTGGAACGAATTTGTTCTTTTAATTCTTCTTTGGACGGGCGCAATGACGTGGGCAGGTTGTATCTGGATCTGTTTGACTTCTCCACCAACAAGAGCTGCTTCTTCAATGGTTGCGTCCTTCAAAACGCTCATTGATTTTGAAATGAACTGGGAATCGAAGTTTCCTTCAGCAATTTCAAGCATATCAGTTCCCAACCTGATATCTTCAATGATGTCGCTGTCATCTGTCATATTTAAGATATGTTTGACTTCGAAATTCGATGTGTCAAAAATATCCTTTACATCAGGAATAAACGGTGGCTCCATCTTGTCCAGATTATCCCAATCGATACCGTTGAACCACGGATGATGTTTTATTTCGTCAATTGATTCAGCTCCTAATCTCTTCTTCGGATCGCTTACAAGCAGCTTCTGGATGAAGTCTATGCAGTCCTTGCTCGCGTTCATCTCTTCAAGCTCCTTGAAATTGATGGATCCGCATAAAACATTTGAAAAAATTTCTTGAGGGGTATTATCGTGGAAAGGAGCAACTCCTGTAATGAATTCGTAAAGCATGGCACCAAGAGACCAATAATCTGCTTGGTATGAGTGGTTTTCGAGTGTAATAATCTCCGGTGCGATATAATCTGGAGTTCCGAGGGCCGTAGACTCATGTGTATCTGTCTGTCTGCCGACTACACCGAAATATGACAGTCCGAAGTCAACAAGCTTCAAATGGCCGGCAGAATCTAGTAAAATATTATCTGGCTTAAGATCGCGATGAATTACGTTGTTTTGGCGTAAATATTCTAAAGCAGCAACAATTTGCGCGGTGTAATTTCTTGCGACATCTTCTGGGAAGCAGCCAAATTTCTCAAGTAAAGAAAATAAGTCTCCTCCTGGAAGATACTCCATGACCATGTAAAGATTGTGCTTTCCAATGGTTGAATAGAAGAATCTGATCGTATACGGTGAATTAAAATGAAGCATAATGTTTTTCTCTGTTAATAATCTGTTTGTAGAGCCTTTTCCGCGAACGTTTCTACGAGGGATGACTTTAATTGCTACAGGACTCTTTAATTTATCTTTTGTGGCTAAGAAAACTCTTGCGAAAGCTCCATTCGAAATTCTCTTAACAAATTTGAATTCTGAGATATTTACACAGAACTTTGGCTCGACATTTGATTTTGTAAGCCTTGTTCTTTGTGCAATATCCATTGCATGTACGTATTTCTGAGCATCTTTAAGTTTGCGACCAATTAAACGTTGTGCGTTGGCAATTAAGATTTTAGCGTTCATATCTTCAATAACGTTATTAATATCTGTTAATCTTTCAAGCACTCCTTGAATTAATGTAGGAGCATCGTATGAATTTGTTTCTACTTTAATTACGTACTTAATAAGTGATATAACCTGAACTGTAGGGATGATATGATTGATCGCCTCCTCTTGTGTCGATGGCCAAGGGATCATTAAAGAATTTTTCTCTTCCGACTGAATAAGTTCCTTTAATCTTTCGTCTGTAGACATAAGCTCTAATGAAGTTTTATATACTATCTCGCAAACTTTTGAGTGTTGTTTAATCAGATTTGCAGGTACTAAATTTTCGCAAATTTGACACATTACACAGTTTTGCTGGATGTTAAGATCATTAATAACACTAGTAGGATCACCAAATGTGGCTTGTCCGGTTGGATAACTCTCAGAATATTGAGTTCCGATTGTAGTTAATCTGTTTTCGAATCTAATCAAAGCCAAAAAGCAGTTGAGAAGTTTCGTTGCGAATCGCTCAATTTCTGGTGATAGATCTGGAGTCATGATTGAACTGATTTCTGGAATTGCAAAAGGATAATAAACAAAAACTTGGGCATATGTTAAGTTTATGACTGTTGGAAGTATGGCTTTGAAATGCATGAGTGCTGATTTATCTGATTGATTCTTCGGCTTGAGAGTGTTTAACTCTGGTTGAAGATTTTGAAAAATAGTTTTTTGCGATTTCAAAGAAAGATAACAGTTTTTGTAATAATTTTTGGCTGAGTTATAAGTCACATTCTCTCCCAATGGAGTATCAAACCCATCCTCATTGAACATGAGGGGATTCGACTGATAACTCATTTATAAAAAAAAAGCAACGATAATTTTTTTTACAAACAGATCCGTATTATTTCAGATTGGTTTTTGGAAATCCATAACAAAGTACATTCGAAAGATAATGACATTAATTTATGATCTCGTAAATTTTCAAGTTTCAAAAAGTTTGATCATTTAAATAATATAGAAATCAAAGATAATATTAATCTGAATTGCTTTTTCATAAAAATATTGAATAGCTTTGAAAAATTATCCCAATTGCCAACAAAAATTTTTAAAAAGTTATTTTAAACATATAGATAAATAATATTAAACTAAAATTACACTTTTGATAATGTATAGAAAACTGAATCAATATTTTTACAAATAACTTTATAAACATAATTACAATAAAATTATAAGATTTGAATTTCTGCAGACAACACAAAATTGAACCGCAATTGAAAATTTATCCTTCGATCAAACTTCGGGAATAAAAACAATGACTTTTATTGCTTTTAATTTCAGATATGTTCGAGTTGAATATTACGAGTACGTCATATTGTTTTTGTTCGCTGAACTTTCAAATCTTTTTATTGATTTGATCAAAAGTTTTGCATTTTCAAGCCGTATATTAAACAATACATGGCGACAGCTATTCTTGCATTAGTTCATTCTCGACGGAGCTGATATTTACAGTTGAAGATGGTTCAGTTTTTTTCAACTCGTTGAAACAGTTTTTTTTATGTCTCGTTTGTTTATTTTATTGCACGTATTTAAACTTATAATTTAAAATGTCGATCTAACACACATCAATAAACATTGATCCTTTTCTGATTTCCAACAATTTTTTTTGTTCAAATTTTTATTCCCGATTCGACTTCTTGTTATTCATCCAATAATTGTTCCATATACCACAATGTCTAAGATAATCTTACTTTTAAGCTGTTACTCCTAATATTGCGAGCTTTAATTCAGAATTGATCTTTCACTAGCTGTATCATCCGATAGAACACTTGTTATAACGACACCAAGATCACTCTCAATTATACTATATAGGATACATAAAAAATTTTTAAGCGTAAATAATTTCTTAAATTAGCTCATCTCATTGAATATATTTTATATCTATATACACACATGCCGTTGCTCTAAATACTACTATATAAGAGATCATGTCTTAATTCAATATTTTATTATGATATGAGACATTTGTTTGCATTTATTTGAAAATATTGATTTATATTTTATCATTTCCATCTATGATAAAATATCATAGATGGATTTTCCATTCTAGTGCATCGGACAGTCTCAATTCGCTTTAGTTTTCTCATACTTTGATATTATGCGTCAGATATTTAAGGTTCTATTTTGTGTTGAAAAATAACAATGAATGGTAAAAAATACACAAGCTATAAATATGGAATGTTCGAAAAGATGCTAGATGAATGGCTTGGTGTAGATAGAAATGGTGATAACTCAAAGCATCTAATTACTAGCTACGAAGATCCAAGAGTTTGTAAATATAGTTTGGCTGGCTGTTGCCCATTTTCTCTTCTTGATCATACGAGAATGTCAAAAGGACCTTGCAAGTTCGAAGTTTGCCCATGCCCATGTTCATTAAAAGAAAAATACATTGCAGATAATAAAGGATTTACAACAAATTACGATCAACAACTGTTTGAAATCCTTGATAGTATAATTATAGATGCAAATAAAAGAATTACAGTTAGTAAAAACTACCAACAGAGCAAAAGTGCTGATGTCCAGATTAATCCTGAACTTCGCGACTTAGATACAAAGATTGATCGATTAATGAGATCATCGCGTGAACATGGCCTCGCTGGTGAAGTTCTTCGAGCAATGTCAGAAATGAATGAAGCACAATTACTTGTCGAAACAAGAAAGAGCAAAGAACAAGAATTACTAAAGAACTCCATAGATAAAGAGCAGAAAATCCATATATGTGACGTTTGCACAGCTGTTATTCAAAGGGCAGATATGGATAACAGAATGGAAGACCACGTACTAGGACGCCAACACCAAGCTTACGTTAAAATTAGAGAGACATACGAAATGCTCAAAAGCCAAGGCCTTGTAAGTAAAAAACATCGTTCTGGTCCTGGAATTCCGATACGTTCGAGAATGGGTGCACAAGCCTTGCAAGTCAGAAGATTAGTTCCTCTTGATTTGGACTGTTAATAATAAATATGTTTGTAATTTTGATTAATTTTTGATTTTTCTTTGGTTATATTCTCTTGTTACTTATATCACCGCAAAATCATATCAAATTGTAATCAAATTAAACATATTTGATTTATCTCATATTATTGATATTTCAAGTTGACTAATCATCATGCAGTAACTCAGATTTAACAAAAATGTATAGTGAATGGTTTATATCAGCTGTACATCGATATTTTACCACTTGCAAATCATAATTTTCAACCATTGTACAAAAATAATCATTAGATGACAATTTCCATATGATAAAGAGATATTCTGAGGACAATCTACCAATGGTCTCAATGGTCATCATTCAATACCGTAATTTCGAATGTAATTTGATGAAAAATAAAACGTAATTTTTACGAAAAGATGGTCTTATCTTGGTAATAATGAAGGCGAAAATTCTACAAGTGTAAATTGGCGACCATTCAAGTACTGAAATTTCTTGAATTCCAAATTGAATTGACAAAATCAAAAGGATTTATTTTTGTGAAATAATGAATAAAATCATATTTTAAACATATATGTTTTATGTCGATTTCTGTTTCAATGTCAAAATAAAATGTCTGAAAAACAAGTTCCACCATTGAATAATTCGTCATTATCAGCTAATTTATCTCCTGCAGATAGCTTAAAGGCTATTATTGATGACAATTATACATATACACCTCCAGAACTCGATTTTTTCAATCAAGATTGGAATACATTACAAAATATAGGCAGATTAATTTCAAAATCCTTAAATAATATCCAAGAAGAGCCAATTAGTCCTGAATTTGGACGCTTACTTGATCTTTCAATTCGATTTTTTGTAAATGAAACTCTTAAAGTCCAAACAATCTCAAGTACGAAGCTCTATCTACAAAATTCAAACGGTCCAAAGTCACTTACCAGCTTACAAAACCAATTATTAATTTTTGGACAAGAAAATGATCGTCTTTTATCAAAAATCAAGGAACTTAGTCAAGAGCTTGCAGATAAAGAGAAAATTCTTTCCGAAAAAGAGATAAATTCCTCACAAAATCAACCAAATTCCGAAAATTCCAGTTTGAAAACGAAACTCCAAACAGTAATTGATGAAAACAAGAAGCTCTACGACCAATTACAGAAGAAAGAAGTCCAATTAGAGAAAACGAAACATAATATCTCATTACAACGCAGCAAAATTGCAGAACTCGAAGCAGAACTTACAGAAATGAAGTTAAATGGTGGCCAGAAACCAAATCCTCATCGTCCACGCTCAAGTTCCTTTTCATATACTCATAATCCAGTGAATGATCAAACAGAAATCACCGTAGAACTACCAAATGATGTCTCCACATCACCATCCTACGAACAAGAGGCCATTGACAACATTTCCAAGGTCGATGCAGAGCTAAACGAGCAACAACAAGAAATAGATGAAGCAAACAATTTAATGTCACGTTTTCAAGCGACCATTTTAGAAGATGAATCATTATTGAACGAGCACGAGCGTCAATTGAAAGAATTCGCCAATGATGCAGGTTGTTTAGAGTATGATTTAGTGTCAATGGACAAAGTTTTGAGTTCATTGTCAAAATCGAACAAAATTTTCAAAATTGACAATGAAAGAATGTCATCATTGATAAATGAGATCAGATTAGCCATTGGCCAGAGTGTTCCTCTTGAGAACATACCGAAAAGAATCATAGAACTCAAGAGGAAAATCAAATCCCTTGAAAACGAAGAAGAAAACCAAACAAAAAAGGTTTTGTCAAGTTTAGTTCTGTTTTTGACAAAAATTTTGGAAGGAAAAGACGAAATTATATTCGGTCAACAAACAGTTCTTAAATCAGACAAACAAACAAGAGATAAAATTAAAGATGCAATTCAAAAATCTCTATCGTTTGTCGTGTCAAATGACGGTTTTCCACTTTTTGAAAGTTCTTCAGGTGATGAATCCGCAACAACCGAAATTCTTAACAACTTGACAATACAGAACAATAGTAATGTACATGCTGTTATTTTGTTGTTATCAGCTGTCAATGGAAAGCTAATTTCTCTTTTGAGAAATTCGCAAAAAACAATTGAAAAAATTACAAAATTTTTTTCTATTCCAATTGACACTTTTTGTAAGAATATTTCACTTATTTTTAGAAGGATTGAAACAACACTTTTAACATTCAAAAAACCAAAAAGCAGTAATATGATTGAAAACATGAAAAATTACATTGACTCTGTTGATGTTTTGATTAAAAACAGTGAACTTGAATTAAGACCAATTGTTGAAGACAGAAACATTAATATTTGTGATGTTCCAATTGTTGTCAAAACCGTTTTAGAATCACAAAAGAAAGAAAATGAAGAAAACAAAGAAAAAATTGAAAAATTAAGAAAAGAAAAAAAGAATCAAGAGGATTCTAAAGCAGAAAAAGAGAAACTAAAAGAAGAGATTGTTAAATTGAACAATTTCAACAATGAATTGGAAGAAACTATTTCAACTCTTCGAGAGAAACTTGAAAATGCAGAACAAAAATTTCAAAATGAAAAATATAAAAGTGACAGATTAAAGATTGCAATGAAAAACAGGGAAGAATCATTCCAAAAGAGAGCAGATAGTCTTCTTCAGATAGAAAAGGAAAGATATGATGACGAGATCAAAAGGAAACAAGAAATTTGGGATCGTCAAAAACTTATTTATGAATCAAGAGTTTCACATTTATCTGCAAAAATTGAAGCATCAAAAGACTCAGATTTGTCACTTTTATCTGATGAAAAATCTGTTTTATCTGTTAATGCAAGGTCCCTTGGAAATATCCTTTGCAAGTGCTTTACAATCAAAGGAGAATGGACTGATGATAAAGTCACAAAGGCTGTTATGAAATTGGTTGACATCGTTCGTAATTTAGAATATGAAAAAATTTCAAACAAAATATAAACTGTTTATATATAATTTATTTTTTTCAATAGTTTATGATTATTTTTCATTTAAATGATAAGAATAAATATATAATTGCGTTGTTTCAACCTGAATCGTAAAATCTAACACTAATTTTTTTTCTTTCCGATTTTCTGCGACATCTGTTTGAAATAATTAGCTATTTATGAGACATAATATGTAGATAAATGTGTGTACAATGTGAATGCATAGAAAGATCAATGACATATTAAGTTTTTCATCAAGATTTCAAAATCTTGAGATCTGAAAAAATCTCATATTTCGACGTCGCTTGTGATACAGATGAAATCCATACTACTAATATTTAAGTGTGGCATGCTGAGTTTGATGAAACACTTCTGATGCTAGAGAAAAACCGACTTTTTTAGATTCAGCATATAAATAATAGCATATTGTCATCAATACTATAAAAACGTATATTATATTGCATGTACACATTGTGTACTGCATGAAAATATTTGAATCAAATCAAAATGATGATTTTTACTTGAGGGCAATTCGACCAATATTCATTAAATGTATTTAAAATAAGCACAATTATTAAGTACAATATGTGAACAAATATGTGGTTCAACTTACGTTATAATTAAATACAGCTGTCAAAGGAGTTTCCATGGTGACACAACCCGGAAATTAAGGGCGAACTCACCATTATCTGATATGCTCTTTAAAAATCATAATATCTTTTATTTAACAGCAAAAATTTATAACAGCCATATTAAGCACTATATACTGATTTACAGTTACTTTTTCTCGACCGATAATATTAACTTTTGACCGTCGAAAATTGGGGAATAAAGGTTGAGTGTCAAAAAAATTGAGATAAAGTCAGAAAGTGGTTAGTGAACCCTTAATAAAATTTTAATACGATTTTATTTTTAAGGATATTTAATAGTATGAACATTTATCATCATAATTTCAGAAATTTGAAATAGATGTCTCAATTTTTAGAATCTTATTTTTGTCAATCATATGCTGTCATTTGACATTTTGCCAATTTGAAGAAAAGTTCAAAATATTGATTTATATCATATTATCTATCTAAATTCCATTTTTATTTCAATTTGTTTTTGAGAGTCTAAGAATTTTCATCATTAATTATTAAGGATGTTCTCTTTTATAGCTCTATCAAAGAGTTTCCCTACATACCGTCCTGGTCCATACCGTCCACCAGTCTTCCGTCCATACGACTTTAACGAATACGAGTATGACGAATCCAACCCAGGCAGCATCCGCATCTCATACAGACACAACGCTTATGAGTCCGACGAAGATGGCAACGGTGTCCGCATCAGCTACCACTGGCACAATCCATGGGACATTGGTGCATGGTACGAACGCAACGGTGAAGAATACGACGATGCTAACTGGAGAGCTGGCGTTGAAGTCAGATACACATGGAACGGAGAAGAGTACGACGATGCTAATCCATGGGACATTGGTGCATGGTACGAGCGTAACGACTATGGTGTTTCCATCGGCTACTCATGGAACGGCGAAGAATACGACGAATCCAACCCAGGCAGCATCCGCATCTCATACAGACACAACGCTTATGAGTCCGATGAAGATGGCAACGGTGTCCGCATCAGCTACCACTGGCACAACCCATGGGACATTGGTGCATACAACGAGCGCAACGACTATGGTGTTTCCATCGGCTACTCATGGAACGGCGAAGAATACGACGATGCAAATCCATGGAAAGTTTACTGGCGCAACGCTTATGAGTCCGACGAAGATGGCAACGGTGTCCGCATAAGCTACCACTGGCACAACCCATGGGACATCGGTGCATGGTACCAACGCAATGGCGAAGAATACGACGATGCTAATCCATGGGACATTGGTGCATGGTACGAGCGTAACGGCTATGGCGTTTCCATCGGCTACTCATGGAACGGCGAAGAGTACGACGAATCCAACCCAGGCAGCATCCGCATCTCCTACACACACAATGACTATGAATATGATGATGACAACTGAAGAGCTGGCGTAGAAGTCAGATACCAATGGAACGGTGAAGAATACGAAGATGCTAACCCAGGCAGCATCCGCATCTCCTACACACACAATGACTATGAATATGATGATGACAACTGGAGTGCTGGCGTAGAAGTCAGATACCAATGGAATGGTGAAGAATACGATGATGCTAATCCTTGGGACATTGGCGCATGGTATGAGCGTAACTCTGGTCCAATTCATGTTCCATACTGGAGCCCTGGAAAAACTGGTATCCATTTCAATTAAAATGAATTAAAATTTATTTTACTTAAAACAATTCCTTTTTTTTTCAAGTGAATTATTGGCTTGATACCCTCATCTGATAGCAGAAGAAGGAATTACCTCACCATTTTACACTGATGAATTCAAAATAAAATGAGTTTCCTTAAGGATATACTTACGACTGTAGAGCATAACATTCAATTAAGGGTTAATTTTCAATGATGATTTACATCAGTTTCCAGAAATTTGAATTAAAGACAGATGGACTTAAGTGAACCATTAAAATACATAAAAATAATCTTTTTACCCCAATTATGATTAAACACAATGATAAAACACTATCTACGACATTTGTTTAGTCTGCTCAAAGTGAAAATGATGGTCAAGAAAAAATGCTCGATGGACAAGAATGAAAAAAAAAAAAACAGATAACTTTTTATAAAAAATAATATTTTATATTGAAACTTTATAAAGAATTTATGCAAATTTATTTATATTGAAATAATTTCTTGCCATATTTATTTAATTTGAGAATTTATGAAACAAATTTTGATTATAATGAATTTAATTAGACTTTATCGCGACTTAGATGTATTGAATTAAGATAATGGACGATATCTCAATCAGGTGACGGAAATTCTTCTATAAATAGATAACTTTGCAAATAAACATTTTAATTTGTGCTTATTTACGCATTAAAGAAAAGAATTCATATCAAATAACAGAAGAAGGAATAACATTACCATTTTATACTTATGAATTCAAAATCAAAGGAGATTTCTTAAGGTTATACTTACGCCTATTGAATGTAACATTCAATTAAAGGTTATTTTTCAATGATGATTTACGTCAGTTTCCAGAAATTTGAATTAAGAATTTTATCGTGAATTGTTTTGGTGTATTATCGTTCTCACCGTAAATCTTTATTTTTAAGGTCAAATCATAAGATATTATCAATCTATTGCAATAGATTTTCATGAAAATGCTCCTTTATTTGTAAAAATCAAATATTTTTGATAGACATAATGCAAAAAGTTTAAGTTAAAGTTTCTTCTTATCATTTGAATTAAAAATATTCGCATTCTATTGAAAATAATCATATTATGCAATTTTGATTAATCACAATGATAAATATGAAAAGAAAGAGAATTCCATAAAGCAATGATAAATATATTTATCATTATGAATGCAATGTAATAAAATATAGTAATAAATTCGAAAAGGAAAAGAATGCCAGTAAACGTTGATAAATATGAAAAGAAAAAGGATTACATAAACCAACTATAAATATTAATAATAAAAGACATTAATATCATCTTCCAATGATAAATATGTTAAGAAAGAGAATGCGATATAACAATGATAAACAGGAATGGCAGGAAAAAGAGATAAAATAGTAATAAATATGAAAAGAAAGAGAATAAGTTTCGTGTAAACATCAGCACCATGTTTGACTAAGAATTCGATAATTTCCATTGAATTCTCTTTGATTGCAATACTAAGAGGGTATTCATTAATATCAAAAGAATTTGATAAAACATTGATAAATATGAAATGAATGAGAATTTCACTATATAAATATAAATATGAAAAGAAATGTAAATATCGTTGGTATTTACTCCATTAGAATCTAAAAACGAAGCAACATTAAAATTTCCAAAATGCATGCTTTCTGCTTTTGAATCAGAAATTTATGCCAAATTTGATTTAAGATGCTCAGCCGTTACATAGTTTCGATAACACAATGTTGTATTAATCATGTTATCAAATGTTTTACCTTCTCATATCATTTGCATAAAGATCTCTTTATTTCCACTTTGAACAGAATATTTTTTTCCTGAATAATCATAGTTAAACACAATTGAATATTTAATTGCAAAATCAAGTGACGTGAATATATTATCAATTTTCCCATTAATATCAAGATTTGAGAATTTTCCCATGCAATATCGTAGCCTTCAGATTTGAAACATTTATTATATATTAGCATTGCAAATTTCATATTCTCAGGTTTATAAATGAGCGAAAATGCATTTGATATCTTTAATACAAATTTATGAAAAAGTATCAATCAAATACAGCACCATTTGGATGTTTATATTGTTTGCTTTAACGTAGTCTATAATTTGCGATGATGTTAGTAAAGTATTATTGCAATTAATCTCCCAAATGATATTAGAAGCTGGACTAGGGTAATTGAATATTTCAATTGGTTTAGCGTTGATAAAATGGTATTCAATTTTATTTGTCTGTTGCTTTGGGCATGACATAGCTAGTAAACATTTTGGCACTTTTGTTGATAATCGGTGCCATGTAGTTAAAGTCCAAAATATATATGGCAGCGCCTAAATCTAATCATAAATTCTAAATTAACATCATATTTATATTCTGTTTTTTTAAAATAATTTTTGGATTTTGTCAAAGACTGAGCTTCAAAAAAATCGATTCAAGTAAAAGATGATAATGGTTATTCTCATTTTTACTTTCAATTTTTGAATATAGTCGAAAATGTACCATAGACCCTTAAGGGTATACTTACAACTTTCTGACATGCTCATGCAAAATCAATATATCTTTAATGGAATAGCACTAAAGTATAACAATCATAGTAGGTACCATATAATGATTTATAATAGTTTTTATTCAACCAAAAATATTAACTTTTTACCTTAGAAGATTGGGACATAAAACTTGAGTCTCAAAAAAATTGAGAGAATGTCAGAAAGTGGAAAATGCACCTTTAAATCAAAATTTTACCCTAGATAACATGGGAAGGAATACACGAGTTCATCTCAAAAATAACGCATTTTAATTATCAATACAATTTTCAGACTTTCGTCCAACCTAAAAAAATTTATTTAGAAACTACAAAACATAATGAATAAAACTAAATAAGGCATTTATTTCCAGAAAAAACATAAAAATAGATATTATGATGTAGAATTTTGATGTAACTCATAATTAAAGAAATTACATAACGAATTATAAAGTAACTAGAATTTGGGTAGCTCTTGCAAATGAGAAGTAGCTATTTTTGGAGAAAATTCCAAAAGTTAAGATTATGATTTACTTTTTGAGAACAAATATAAAATTGAAATTCAATTTTAAGAGAAATATCTTCTTAACTATAGTATTGTAATAAAAATATGTTTTCAGAGTTTAAATGTGCACACAGTTCAGTAAGGATAGTGAATATATTTGAATATTTAGCGAATTAATAAATTGATGTCTTGTTAGATTGAAACTATAACTCCAACTATAATTTTAATGATATTTAATAGTATGAACATTTATCATCATAATTTCAGAAATTTGAAATAGATGTCTCAATTTTTAGAATCTTATTTTTGTCAATCATATGCTGTCATTTGACATTTTGCCAATTTGAAGAAAAGTTCAAAATATTGATTTATATCATATTATCTATCTAAATTCCATTTTTATTTCAATTTGTTTTTGAGAGTCTAAGAATTTTCATCATTAATTATTAAGGATGTTCTCTTTTATAGCTCTATCAAAGAGTTTCCCTACATACCGTCCTGGTCCATACCGTCCACCAGTCTTCCGTCCATACGACTTTAACGAATACGAGTATGACGAATCCAACCCAGGCAGCATCCGCATCTCATACAGACACAACGCTTATGAGTCCGACGAAGATGGCAACGGTGTCCGCATCAGCTACCACTGGCACAATCCATGGGACATTGGTGCATGGTACGAACGCAACGGTGAAGAATACGACGATGCTAATCCATGGGACATTGGTGCATGGTATGAGCGCAACGACTATGGTGTTTCCATCGGCTACTCATGGAACGGTGAAGAATACGACGAATCCAACCCAGGCAGCATCCGCATCTCCTACACACACAATGACTATGAATATGATGATGACAACTGGAGAGCTGGCGTAGAAGTCAGATACCAATGGAACGGTGAAGAATACGATGATGCTAATCCATGGGACATTGGTGCATGGTACGAGCGCAATGCCGAAGAATACGACGATGATAACTGGAGAATCGGCATTGGAATTAAGTACACATGGAAATAAAGTCCAAAAGTAATAAAATAATTTTAATAATTATTTTATCAAATATTCATTCTTTCTCTTTTTACTTTCATTAAGGGTGCACACGAGAGGATCATGTAAACTTCAGAATTTAGAACCTTATTTTTAGGCATTATCTTGGCTACCTATTTAGGCTCGAAAAGCAAAAAATATCAAAAAATACAACTTGACTCCATTATGACCCTTTCATGGAGGTAGTTTTTATCCGCTAGTATTTTCCCTTTGAATCTCTTTACAATTCGAAATCAAATTCAAACCTCAGTAGAAGAAAGGAAGAATCGACTTACTACGGTTGTAATACGAATAAATACATATATTTAATTATTTTTATTTACATAATAATTGTTTGAAGCTCATATTCCAACAAATTTTTAAATAAAAACATTAAAATGTTAAAAATGTTCATATATTTTAATAGGGTTTTGGCACTTTATTGAGGAATTACTACATACATAGTCGAACTGAACTTGATATTTTGAAATTTAAATTATTTATCAAAATTAAAATTTAACTTGAAATTTATAATTATTTAGTCATATTTTGCATAATTCTAAGTAGATTTTGTAAAAAATCAAGAAAGAAAAATTTTAACGTGCTTTATTTTTTCTTTTTTATAATAATACATATTATTATATAATTAACATATTCATAATGTTTCACCCTTTCAAAAATATAATCCTCCTCCTCTCAAATAAACGTACATACGGGTGGCCTCTTTTTTCAAAAAATTAAAATTTGAAATTTTGGGCTCAAATATTAGAGATTTTTTCAACCTTCAACGATATATGTTGTCTATATCAGACCTCCTTTCTTTTTGATACTTAACATTTAGGGATGCGACGGTTTTACGCCATGACCGTTTAAAAATAGAATAATACGCCATTTTTGGGGCCGAATGGCGGGTACGAAGTAGCCGCCATTCGGCCGAATAACAAAACAATACAAAATTATCACCGTCCTTTTTTTTTTCTTTCTTTCTTTCTCTTTTTTTTTTCTCTCTCTCTTTCTTTTCTCTTTCCTCTTTTTACTCCTCTTTCTCTTTTCATCATTAAACGTAGAAAGATATATTAATATTATTTTAAAATTAAAAAAAAATAAAGAAAGTATAATAAGTAATTATTTAGTTATCGATATATATATGTAAAGTGATAATCTGAGGATAATCTGAGGAGGAGTCTGAGGATAATCTGAGGAGTAGTCTGAGGATAATCTGAGGAGTAGTCTGAGGATTAGACCGAGGAGTAGTCTGAGGAGTTTGAGGATAATCTGAGGAGGAGTCTGAGGATAATCTGAGGAGGAGTCTGAGGATAATCTGATGAGTAGTCTGAGGATAATCTGATGAGTAGTCTGAGGATAATCTGAGGAGGAGTCTGAGGATAATCTGAGGAGTAGTCTGAGGATTAGACCGAGGAGTAGTCTGAGGAGTTTGAGGATAATCTGAGGAGTAGTCTGAGGAGTTTGAGGATAATCTGATGAGTAGTCTGAGGATAATCTGATGAGTAGTCTGAGGATAATCTGAGGAGGAGTCTGAGGATAATCTGAGGAGTAGTCTGAGGATTAGACCGAGGAGTAGTCTGAGGAGTTTGAGGATAATCTGAGGAGTAGTCTGAGGAGTTTGAGGATAATCTGAGGAGGAGTCTGAGGATTAGACTGAGGAGTTTGAGGAGTAGTCTAAGGATAATCTGAGGAGTTTGAGGATAATCTGAGCATAATCTGAGGAGGAGTCTGAGGATAATCTGAGGAGTAGTTTGAGGATAATCTGAGGAGGAGTCTGCGGATAATCTGAGGAGTAGTTTCAGGAGTAGTCTGAGGACTAGTCTCAGGACTAGTCTGATGAGGAGGACTCTAAGGAGTAGTCTGAAGAGTAGTCTCAGGAGGAAGATCTGAGGAGGAGTCTTATGAGGAAGATCTGAGGAGTAGTCTGATGAGGAGGGGTCTAAGGAGTAGTCTGAGGATGATCTGAGGAAAACCTGATGACTAGTCTAGGAGTGGTCTAATAAAAATGTAAAATATTTTCAAAGAAAAATTCTATGAATTTTATATTTTAATTCTTAGCATTATACTGAATAAAATAAACATAAATATCAAAATTTGAAATTGAACACGCCAAAAAATTGATAATCCACATTCAATATTTTGTAAGTGGCGTACTTTTTGAATACTCGCCATACGCCTTGGAGTTCTCAATTTTGAATTCACCTTTATTTGGGCGACCTCAGAAAAATACGCCATTAAGAAAATATTGTATGAGATTTTAAATTTGAACACGCTCTACCTTAAGGAATTAAATTTATTAAGATATATTTATATATAATAAACGATTACTTAAAAAAAGTATTTCATCGCTTATGTAAGTTTCAAAAAAATCACGAAAATAAAAAAATCAAGATTAAAATTTTATTTTTAATTTTTGAATTTCTCAAATGGCGAAATTTTTGGGCGAACAAAAAAAATGTACGCCCGGTCAAATGGCGTGTTTAACGCATCCCTACTTAACATTGTTCCTAAATCTTAGCCGTTAAGGCTGTTCTGAAAATATTTTTTTTTTCGAAAAAATTCGAAAAAAATTCTTAAAATTCAAAAATCCCTTAATTCCTGAGGATTTTGGAAAAAAGTTTTTACATGAACATGTGTATATTATATGAAGTATATTGATAAGGTAAAAATCAAATTTTATTGCATATTCATCGAGAAAATAAACTAACGAATCCCTCAAAATTGAGAGGGTAATCCTCCTCCTCTCAAATAAACGTACATACGGGTGCACCCTTAAGTGTTAAGATTTATTTGAAATTTGATGCTTCATCACAATTAAAAATCAGAAATCATAGAAAATAATATAAAATAGACAATTTTATTCATCAAAAACATCATTATTCTCTATCGTTGTCAACAATGGGTCGCATTCTATAACAGGGATAAGTAGTTGGTCCTCTCCATCAACTTTTGGAAGAGTTTTTGGCATTTTTTCTTTGTGATTCATATAATGTTCTGCGTAATCACCTTCAACAGGTTCGTTACATACGAAACATATCTTCTGGCTGTACAAATACCGTATGTAGTTTATAAATCTGACGCAATTATAAAAATCATTTTTATATGCTTCTCTAATTAAGGAAATATCGAAATGATGCTGGTTATGCATGTGAACAAGACATTCCGTAGGTGTTTGGAATACACTATCGCATATCAAACATTGAGTTTCGTTAATTTCGGTGTCATTTACATCTTTAAGGGCATCTTCTAGTGGTTCCATCTCCTGATCGTCATCATCATCTGTAATATCTGGTTTTCCATCCATTTCTAAATAGTTAATCATATAGTATTTGTCGAAAATTGGATCAGAAGGAATTTTCATATGTTTTTTCTTGCGTAGATGGGATCGAAGAGTTCTTTGATTAGGTAATTGAACGCCACAGAAAATACAGATGTTATTATCAAGTTGATTCTTAAGATATTGTATAAGATGCGGTATATAAACGAGATTTGAAGGTCTACCTGGATTGAATTGATGCTCTTCAAATAACCATTGCAAATATTCGTGCCATGTACCATTGAACGTTGAAGGGCAAAAGAGACAATTAATGTCTTTGTTTGGAATGGTTCTTTCTTGTTCATGCTCAATCATGATGTTTTCTAGACGCATTTGATGTAGACTTTTTCGTATTTCGATATCTTCTTCGTTAGTTATGTCAATAGTATTATAATTTTTTCCGTCAATTGTTATATTTATAAGAGGAGGAGCATGAATTCTCCAATGATCTAAGTATAACGGTAGGAGTGGTATATATTTTATTTTTTGAAATACAAAGTTATGCTGTTCTTTGAGGTGATAAAGACATTTCGCGGCATTTTCTGATTCATAAGTGCAAAAAATGCATTTAAATGTATCATTGGGACCATATATATTGATAGATGAATTAATGTCATTGGTAAATTGATCAGTTTCGTCCATTTCTTTATTTTTAAACTAAAATTTGGTGAAATGCTTCTGACACGTAAATAATTTACACGGCAAAAGCAATATTCTTATTTTCACCATGTCTAAATCAATACAATTAGCTTGTATATATCGGTGGATTTCAGCTAAAAACTGAGTTATCTTTTAATTCTAGAGCTTCTATCTATAAGTTGCACTTGGCCATATCTCAGCTATATTAAAAGGATTAGATAATGATGAGATATATAAGTGTTTTTTCCATTTCTATCATTTGGTTAAACAAAACTAAATAATTTTAATTATTAGAAGATAATAGAAACAAATTCATCCATGTGTTATAATTACTAATATGCATGTGTCATACAAATACATATTTAGTCGATTCCAGAACTTGTCGAAGTTTAACTGTAATGAAATTTCATCTGTAATATAAGCATCTTGAAAATAAATGAAAATGACAAGCCGGGTGATATATGATTCAAGAATATTTGAGTGAAAGCCTGAGGAATAATTTTAATAATGAGTTTAAAACAAGAGTTATTAGTAAGCCATATTGTAATAAACAGAAATTCATCAAAAGTGACAACTCTCAATTTTTTGACATTTGTAAATTCTAAATTGAATGAGAAAAATGAAATAATACTAAGCATAATACAATATTCTAGATTTAATTATAATTAGGAAAAAGTTAGTTTTGAGAGTACTTTTCATAGGCATATAGAATGAAATCTTCTGAAAAATAATATCACATAAACTCATATTATTTTCTAATATATAACTATTTTATATAAAAATCAAATTCAATGATCTTAAAAGCGAAGGATAAACCTCAAAAATTACGAATATAATGAGTGGGAATATAATGCTTATCTATCATAAAACCATATGAAATATTAATTTTTGCTTTACGCCTAATTTTTGACGACAATTAGCAAAAAATGTTAAATGTTAACACTCAGTCCATTTGAATATGAAAAATAAAATTGACTTTGATTAAATGTTTTTATTTATCATGCAATTCTTCTTGCGACCAAAGATTTGAATAAAAGTTCAAAAAATAAGATAGCTTAAAAAATAATATACGGTAGTGTTTACTAATAGATGAATAGTATATAAATTCTATTAAAATGGATTTGATCCAAAAAAATATATAAAATTTGATCATAAATAAAATCGTTTTAAATTACTTCTTCATTTAAATTATAACAATTATTTTTGATTTTATATTTGAAAAATAATGAATGAAAATGATCAATTTCTTAAAGAAAATAGTCTAAAATATCTTGCTCAAATTGGAAGTGGCACTTACGGAAGTGTGTATCTTGTTTATTCAATGCAATACCGAGCCAAATTCGCGCTAAAGGTGACCAGAAAGAAATATTTTAAAGAAGAAGAGTTCGAATCTCTTCAACAGTTGGATTCACCAAATGTAGTTAGATTATATAAGTGCGAACGCAAAAATACAATGCTATACTTATTAATGGAGTATTGCCCTTTCACCGTTTTCAATAAAATCAAAATTAATGGAGAAATTAAAGAAAAGCAAGTTCTTAATGTTGCATATGACATTTTACAGGCGCTTTGCATTTGCCATTCACGAAGAATTTCACATGGAGACATTAAACCAAACAATATTATTATAGATGGCTTCGGACGAGCTAAGTTATGCGATTTTGGCATGTCTATTACACAATCTGATTCTAACGAAGATAATTTAACAACCCAAATTTGCGGTTCTTTTCCATTTGCTCCTCCAGAAATATATCTCAAAAAGACATACGATAGATTTAAAGCAGATATATATTCTTTTGGAGTGACTGTTTTTGCATTATTAACAGGAAAACTCCCATTCAAAGGTAAAACCCCTGAGGAAGCAATAGCTAATATAATTAATGGAAAATTCACTTTGCGATTAGTTGAAAATCAGGATATTGCAGACTTGATATTTAGGTGTATGCATTCAAATCCTGAAAAGCGTCCCAATGCAACAGAGTTAATCAATCATCCTGCGTTTGGAAAGCATATTACTCCACCACTCCATCCTACAACAAACATTAGACTATCAAAAACAAAGAGCCATGTGTCAAATTACCATCAACTGAGAATTGGCTCATTCCCACCAAAGAATATATGGAGCATGAATGGTAATAATCCAGGTCGTTTTTAATATTTGGATATATTTTTTTTTAGTTTATAGAGAATGTTTTGTTCATATAGATTAATGTAAATCTGTCTATTTGTATTAGTAGAGCTTTTTTTATCATCTTTTGATGGAAATCATAGCAATCTTGAATATAAAAAGAGATTGATTAAAAAACATATTTCTAGAGAATCTTCTTTGGAAGCATTGCCTCATCTGCTCCGTATGGCTTAGCATTATACAAAATTTGAGGTTCTTTGAGAAACAAATATCGATTCTTTGAAATATTCTCAGAGATATCATAAATACAAGCGAATACAACTTATGATACATTTTTAGATTAGTCTAGCTAAAAAACATGCCAAGATATATTATTCAGCAAATTGGTTTGCTTAGATATATTTAGAAGGGTATTTAGTGAGGCTAACACACGACCATCCGAGAAAAGAATTCTTTGGATAATTCAAAGAATTACCCTATAATTCCTGGGTTGTCAATTTTTTGGTGGCCTATGGAGAAATTTACTTTATCAATAGCGCACCATAGATTCGAATCCAGAGCCTATAATTCTAGAAGTAGATGAAGGTACCCTAGAATAACTATGTGGTGTAGTTTTTATTGCTATTTAAGATATCACATAAAATATATTAATCAAATAATAAAAATTTCAATAAAATTAAATAATTGTTATTTTTATATAGAGTAGATATTATTTCTATATTTAGATCGAAAAAATAAATAATTCTGAAGTACTAGTAATATTCATCCATGATGATTTATTTTTCAATATTATACAATAAGAAATATATTTATAAGTTTTTTTTTGAAAAATGTTTAAAATTGAGAGATCAAAATTTCGATTTGTGAAAAGAAATCATAAATCAAATATGTCCTAATTTTTGTTTTTATTAGGGTATACATGTTTTATACTCGAAGTACGGTATGTTGTTGTTTTTTTATTCAATAATTAAAAACTTGCATACAGGTCGTAAGGTGTTGGAATATCGTACACAGAGGTTACGCACATGTCTAGGGCAACTATTTGTTATGAATGAGTGTATTTTAAAAGATTTGAAATATCATAAGATTGATCCAAAATGGCATTATAATAAATGTTTTTATCCAATGTTAATTATATTTTAAATAAAGTAATGCAAAATTAATGACTTTTGAAAATTGAGAGAGAGAACAAAAAATAGAGTTTTTAAGAAACTAAGTGTTGAAATAGTTTGGGATATCAATAAAACTAACAGTGAAAAATATTAATCAGAATAAATACAAAAATTGGGTATTTTATTGAAAAAATATGTGAAAAAGAGTGAAGATCAACCGAAATTTTATATTAATATAAAGGATATAAAAGGAATGTGAACGTAAATAAATATAAATTAAAAGATATAATTAAAATTTTTAAATAATTGTATTTGTAAAGTAAACATGTTTTATTTATGGTTATATACGTGTTTGTTGTTCACTGAGCAACTTTGAGAAGAATCATTTGTGATTCTTGTCAAAGTTGAATCAAAGACAACAATTGATAGACAATTGTTGTCTTTGTGTACAACATTCACTTGAATTATAAACAATAACAAGTGTTTGTTGTTCACTGAGCAACTTTGAGAAGAATCATTTGTGATTCTTGTCAAAGTTGAATCAAAGACAACAATTGATAGACAATTGTTGTCTTTGTGTACAACATTCACTTGAATTATAAACAATAACAAGTGTTTGTTGTTCACTGAGCAACTTTGAGAAGAATCATTTGTGATTCTTGTCAAAGTTGAATCAAATTTTTATTTATTTCATGTATTTCTTTTTTAATATCGATATTCCTATTATTATTCTACCGTTTATTAATAAAAATATTTCTTGCAAAACCTTAAAAATAAAATTTTGGATTCTTCCTTTTCATATACTGTACCCTTAGTTCTTTATTTTTAAAAATCTTATTTGGCGGTTACTCTCAATTTTCTCAATTTTCTGAACAATGAATTTACTTTTTTATATCAAATTTTAATGAATATCAAATCTTATAAACAAGATGTTGAAAATATTGATATTGGTGATTGTGTCTCCAAGATACCATTTCCTGTTGACAAAATAGATGCATTTGACGAAAATATCCTTGTTTTTACCCGGATTGTTATTTATTACGACTTTAAAATTTTAGCATTAGAATCCGATGATACATATCTATGTTATTTTCAATGGCAAAACAAATCAACACATAATAAACAAAAGAAAATAGGCACATTATTGTATTCTTTAATGAATAACGAAATTTCACTAGTAGACTTTATAATGCAAGATCAACAGTTCTCTCTTAACCGTTGCATATGGTGGTGTCTAGACCAAAGCGTTCCAGAATTCTTCAATCAGATACTTTTCATTGTTTTTACGCATTTTGATCAAGATTTTATCTTTTATAGCGGTCTTTTTTCAAATATTATTGATAATTATAATGATTACAATTCTAGCAAGAAAAATTTTTCGTTCAGATAATTTGCTATTGTATCTTAAGATAATAATGTACCACTTTTTATTGGAGGAAGGACTACTTGAATCATTTAATAATAACAGTGTAAGATTTAAAATTGATTTATTGTTGGCTCTTGAAAAATGCTATTGCATATTCGGAAAGTATGATTTTATGCATGACAAAATTGAATTAATAGATTTATCATATGAGAGCCAATTATTCGAAGAAAATTGCCCAAATTTCTTAGAATACTTGATTGAATTAACAGATGAGGATGGTTCATAGAAGTTTATATGAGGATTTACTTTGAATAAATATAATTTTAATGAATTAAAAATTAATTTTATATATTTGGCTATTGTTATTATTTTTAGAGTATATGAGTTGGGGCAAAGTGAAACAAATTTTTGACATAAAAGAAAGTCTTTGAAGAGAGTTAAAGAGAAATTTTTAAAAGATTAAAAAAATAGCATATATAAAATTTAAGGATTTGATATGGTAAGGAGATATTATTTGTGACTGTCTCACAGAATGAGACGTTTCTCTACAATCTTCTTATTCCACATTAATTTTCTTCTCAAATCAAGTTTTTATAGTATACTAATTTTTATTATGAATATACTATAGAGGCATTACATACAAACACACCTATTCATCACAAAAATTCACCTAATCTTCCAATCTGTATGTTTTATCAATTGTTATCATTTCATATAATAACAATTTATATGTTTGACTAATCTAATTTCATATTTTCCTATTAAATACTAATTTACACAAAAATGGTTTTATCAAATCTTTATATCATTCTTAAATTCCAGATTATATTGCTTACTTTGCAAGTTAACTATAATATAGTGTGATAGCCTTATTGAACTTTGATCAAATACTCCTTCGTCCGTTAAAAATTAAGATGCGTTTAAAAAATCCGAAAAAAATTCTTTTGTTTTATTTTTAATTTTTCAACCGATAAAACTTTTTAGAAAAACTCCAAATTCCAAGAAATGCTTAGATTCAATATGAAGAACATATTCATACAGTCATTTCGTTTCAAATTTCAATTTTCAAATCGAACAAAGCTGCAAATTTGAATACTTTACAAAATTTTGAAACGTCTTTTCCCGAATGAATATTGAGTTTCAAGCCGGACAAGCTATAGCAAAACAGATCCTTATGACCCACTCTATCATTTTGGTTTTTTTGCAAAACGTGGGTAAACCCATCTCATAACACATTTTTTTGCAAAATTTGGTAAAATCCGTGTAAATGCTCAGATACATGTGGCCAATAATATTTGAATACTGACAGGTCCGGATATTAGGTTTAAATAGCTGATTTAATTCGAAATATGAAAAAAGATGAAATCTCAATGTAATATAGTAAATTAAGAATCAGTATGAATGGTTATATGATTTTGATAAAAGAAAACTGAATGAAATAGAACAAAATTTGAATCTCAGAATTTAAAAGTAAATAGAGAAGAAAAAGTGGCTTTAGGGGTTTTATGATAGGTTATTGTCGGGTATTAGAAGTGAACGTGTTGAAAAGTAGCTTTACATGCTGTATGCTACTTTTGGAAACTGCTCTATTGTATTAGAATGTTTTTAAATTTTGCACCTAAAAATGCGTAATATTAAAAATTAAGGTATTAATTATGATTATCTTTCTTTAGCTTTACATGCTGTATGCTACTTTTGGAAACTGCTCTATTGTATTAGAATGTTTTTAAATTTTGCACCTAAAAATGCGTAATATTAAAAATTAAGGTATTAATTATGATTATCTTTCTTTAGCTTTACATGCTGTATGCTACTTTTGGAAACTGCTCTATTGTATTAGAATGTTTTTAAATTTTGCACCTAAAAATGCGTAATATTAAAAATTAAGGTATTAATTATGATTATCTTTCTTTAGCTTTACATGCTGTATGCTACTTTTGTCTTTGAGACATTCCATGATTTAAGTTAAGAAGCTAAATTCTGAAGTTTACATGATCCTCTCGTGTGCACCCTTAAAAAAAATGCAAAAAAATTGAATACTTTACTGGCTGGGCAAATTTGTCGCCGCCCCAAAGTCATTTTGTGATATCAAAATCCAATATATTATTCTTTCTAATACATATTAATAATATCTTGAGATGTAGTACACTATATATATACTTTCAAAAATCTTATATGTTTATTAGTTATTGAGATAGAAGCGATTTAATTCTTTGAAAATCGACGAAAAGTGCCATATTCATAAAATTATAGGGTATTTACTCCAAAATAAATTAAATTCAGAGTATCTGAAACGAAAATTTTGAATGTTCAAATTTTAAGGGTATAGTCCACTAAAAATTTTTAAGTTTTGACAATGAAAATAAGCTCTGTGACCATGTAAATATATATCTATGCAAAACGAGAGGTTATGCCATAATTTTTTTTAGTTATCAAATTTCCCTTTTTTTGAGAGAAGTCTCTCAATAATTTGAGAAGAATCTTTGATATAAAGAGATACACATTTGTAGAACGAAGTAAGTGTTTTCCAAACATTTTATATGTTCATCCTGTATAACAATATAAAGCTGCATAGTGCCATCTTGTGCGTTTGCTATTTTATGCACTTTTCATTGAGATAATCCCTCTTCTCGGGTGATTTTAACAGTCAACTCAATTTTAAAATAAAGATTTCATCAAAATGATTTCGAAATTCGGATATTGATTATATAAATAGCACTGTTAACATATTTTGGATGAGTAAAAAATACCTTGTTTTGTATGCATTTAGTACACCTTTATTTTTGATTAAAACTATAAAATTTTTATTCCTTATATAATAAATAGTATATGTTACATAAACATGAAATTCGATAGCATTCAATTTTGGATTTTTTAGATTTGGTAAATTTTAGAAGAAATAAAATCAGCAATCAAAATAAAGAAACTTTTTTTGTATCTTCTATGATTACCTTTTGGTACTAAATTTTGCATTAATAAGTAAATTATCTGTATTATTCTGTGAGCACAAGCCCTCAGTTATGCTGGTAGTGAATGATGAATCGTCATTTTGCGAAGAGAACGCGATTATTAAGGTAATTTTGAGAATTGTCTTGAATTATTTAAAATTAAAGTTAATTGAATAGGTAGGATAACTAGCCTTTGCTAAATTTGTATAATTTGACCTTATTCTAGTTGGATCTGAGAATATTTTGCTGAAATAATAAATTATATCGCCGATTTATGAAAATTTCTCTGATGGGACCGACTCGCTGAAACGTATTAGTGTTAATGGTAACTTGTCTGAATTTTCAAATTTTTTTCGAAATCCAAAAAATCACAAACAAAAGCATCAAAATTAGATTTGCATTTAAGGTTTTCATTTTTTTTTGGAAAATAAAAATATTTTTCCCCAATAAAGTTTATTTTTACTTTTGAGAGGAATAGAAACGTTATTTTGGAATTTTGAAACGACAGAAATGTTCCATTTTTAATGTAGATTCTAAAATGGGGTCAAATTTTTGATTGAACCGTTATCCATTGAAAAACCTCGATTTTAAAATGTTATTCCAAAATATTCATCTAATGATATAGTATATATTTATTAATTATTACTTTTTATTCAATTTTCACTTTTGGCGGGATTTCATTTTTTTGTTGTTGTATGGGCCATATTGTTCACCCAAAACGGAAAACAAAGGCAATGCATAACATTTTACTCCACGAACGTCGTCGACTCTCAGCGCGACAGATGCTTGGTGCTTGCATAATGACCGGAATGCCATATACAAAAGGTGCTCGCTTTCTTTCTCTTTGTGGAACTAAGCCCCCTGTGAAGAGTGGTGTCATGAGACAACAGAGATTTTGTGACGATAAGATTAGAAGACTTAAAAGTATTTCCCTAATGCTGTCGAGAAAGTCCTTCAGTGGTTACTTATCCATTGATGCAAGATGGACGCACAGGCGAAACTCGCCAAGTTGTACAGTAACTGCGCTCGATGCTGTCACAAAAAGAGTTCTTGCATGCGTGAACATCAACCATATTGGTGGAAACAGACAGCATGCTCAGTATTCCGGAGCTTCCAACAATATGGAAAGTGCTGGAACTCGAATCATCTTGAAGCAATTAAAGAAATACAATATCTTGAAAGATGTTAAAGAGATTATTAAAGACCGAGATAACAAAAGTGTCTCTGTCTTTAAAGAATTTGGCGTCTCTCATCTTGAAAGATTCGATCCAGGTCATGTATCAAAAAATATCTCAAAAGATTTTACAAAGTTCTCAGCTTCTCATAAGACAGTTGAAGTTTTCAACGACAAGACTCAGAAGATTGAAAAAATAGAGAGACCTTTCTGGGGTCTGAATGCAAGCCTAAGTATGTGGCTTTGGTCATGTTTTGCCGAAGAAAATATTGACAAACGTACGAAAATGTGGGAGAATTGTGTCTACCATTACGTAGGCAATCATTCTTTTTGCGAACCGCACAATTACAAATGCTTTGAATGGCAAAAAGGTGTCAATTCGATCCAACTTCAATTCATGCTCTATGACTGGGTTCACAAATGGACACCCATAGTTTCCAAAGTTTCTTCCATTGGATCTACCTGCATGAATGAAGCGTTTAACTCCAAAATTGCATGCTATTTGGACAAATCAAGAGCCTGGAAGAACATTAACATTAGAGTTAACGTTGCAATCTTAGAATGGAATGATCCAGAGCATTTTCTCGGAGATATACAAAAAGCATTACATCTTCCCCACTTCCAGAAGATTGTGTCAAATCATTTGAAGAGAATTGTTACTCCAAAATGATATTGAAACAAAAAACTGTTACAAAAGGTTCTAAAAAACAGAACAAATACAAAAAATTCATTCAGAGTGTACCAGGAGGAGATTATCAAGTTTTCAAGTCCGAATGGGAATCAGAAGACGAAGACATTGATGACTTTGATTAACGAAAATTACATTTTATTTATTGTTTTTGTTTTTAATTAAATTATTATTATGCTCATTTTCTTATTTTGATTTTTTCTCATTATGATATAAATAATTTATTAATGCATTTATCCAATAATTATGCTATGATATTTTTATGCCTTATTTCATTTCTCTTATATTTGATAATCTGGTAAAATATAGTTCAGACTATAATCATTTTAGATTATTGATATATTTATATAGGTTAGAATAAAATTAGTTTCATTTTCTACTTTTATTTTGAATTAATAATTTATAATATCAAATATTATGGCGTAACCTCTCCTTTAAAATATAGATATATATAGGCCTATAGAGTTTATTGGCACTCTCAAAACTCTAGAATTTTGAGTTTACTATACCCTTAAAATTATTTCTACAATTAGTTAAAAAAAACAATAATAATTATTAGTAAAAAGTTTACTCAGAATTATTTTTCTATGATATCTGACATCACAAAAAATGTTTCAGTTCATTTTCTTCATGGGCATCGGAGGTAGTGATTCATACTTAGAAGGAGGCGTACTTATTGATGTACGCTATAAAGATGAATGGGATAGTGATCATATTGATGGAGCAATTTTAATTCCAAATCCAGAAATAGAAGAAAAGATCGCATCTTTTGTACCAGATAAGGAAACACCAATCAACATACATTGTGCATCTGGAATGAGAGCTTCTAATGCAAAGTCTAAGCTTCTCAAAATGGGTTATAAGCATGTTGCTAATTTAGGAGGGCTTAGTGCAGCTAAACACAAATGCAAAGGACATGAAATTAAAAAATAAAGATAGATTATAGTTCGGTAAAATAAATAATATTTATTCTTTAATTTTTTAATAGAAAAAAGTTAGTTATTAGCTAAAAGAACGAACTGTTTAGTAAAAAACAGATTTCTTATAAATAAAATAAAAATAAAATACATAATAAAAATATAATCAGGAAAATTTTGAAAATAATATTAAAGTTCATCTTCTTCAGGCTTAGGTAAAGGTTTTCCTGTTTCATCGAGGCTACTTAAATGAGCCAAAATTGCTTCTACGTAAGAAGCGGCGAAAACAACAATTGAATCAGGATAATTTGATGTTGCAAGCATTGCAACATATTCTAAGATGATTGGCTCGCAAACGAGGCCACTTGCCAGGACAGAAATTAAAATTAGTGGGAAAAGTGTATCGAAATTGACAAGTTCCTCTTCTTCTGTTGATTCCGTAACTATGTTTGCTGTTTTATCCATGGCGTCGTAGAAAATCTTCGCACCTTCAATCGGATTAACAATATAAAATAATGAATTCAAAATTTCGACAACAGGTTGGTACGGCCAGCCACTAGAGCTTAATTCATTAATTGTAAGTGATTGGTACTTCTCGTCTAAGTAAGGAGGCTCGAAAACAGAAGTTTTGACATTCAAAAAATTAAAAACCTTTCCGGATTGAGAAAAGAAGGGAAATTCATGAACTGTCCATGCCATATCAAAGAGATGACTTATGAGTATGTCGAGCTCTTCATGATCTGTTGTTAATTCCTTGAATTCATTGAGTATGTCGGAAAATTTAATTTGTGCAGCTTTTCCGGCCAATGATTGCAGAATTTTGTAAACAGATGACGTAGGATATATAATTTGCTCTTGGAAATTCGTTGGTGTTGGTTTATATTGAGGAGGAGTTGAAAATTTTTCAAGAATTGCCAATTTTCTTAAAATAGAATTGATTTTGCCTTTGTGATGAGGTATAGATTTGACATATCCTGCGAGATTTATAAATAACATGAATTCAGTGTAATCAGGTGGATTTTGTAAATATTGCTGCATTTTGATAAGATATTCCAGCTTGACTTCATAATCTCGCGTTATAAGTGCAGCTTGCTTGATCCTAAGATGATTAAAATGATCTAAAAGAAACAAATTAATTCGATTTTCTCGTAAACCACGACCAGCGTAAGTTTGACGCTGCTCAGCTAGCAATCCATAATCTTGAATAAGAGATGACGATTTCATTGAGATCTCTAAGATTTTTTGTGTAGGTTCTTGAATTAATTTTTCTAATTTTCCTAAAGCTTTGTTAATTACTAGTTTACACGATCTTTTGTGCATTTCTATGTATTTAGCAGTCGGAACATTGATTACAGGAACTGTAGTAACAAAAGATTCTGGAATTGGTGTTAAACTTGTGATGTTTTTAGATAATGGCGACAAAATTGAAAGTGTACCAACAGACCTCTGTCTAAGCCTTACTTTCTTGACGATTCTATCCTCAAGAACGAGGGAGCTCCGTCGTATTTCTCTCAAAACGAAATAAGCTTCAGAAAAAAATATTTTGAATAGTTTACGAATTTAGTGTCAACCATTACAACAATAAAACATCAATAAAACAGCATATACCAATTTCACCAATGCTATTTTGCCTTATGCTGAGCATATCATTGGATTAGATTGGCGAAAAAATGTAATAAACAGAAATTCATCAAAAGTGACAGCTCTCAATTTTTTGACATTTGTAAATTCTAAATTGAATGAGAAAAATGAAATAATACTAAGCATAATACAATATTCTAGATTTAATTATAATTAGGAAAAAGTTAGTTTTGAGAGTACTTTTCATAGGCATATAGAATGAAATCTTCTGAAAAATAATATCACATAAACTCATATTATTTTCTAATATATAACTATTTTATATAAAAATCAAATTCAATGATCTTAAAAGCGAAGGATAAACCTCAAAATTTACGAATATAATGAGTGGGAATATAATGCTTATCTATCATAAAACCATATGAAATATCAATTTTTGCTTTACGCCTAATTTTTGACGACAATTAGCAAAAAATGTTAAATGTTAACACTCAGTCCATTTGAATATGAAAAATAAAATTGACTTTGATTAAATGTTTTTATTTATCATGCAATTCTTCTTGCGACCAAAGATTTGAATAAAAGTTCAAAAAATAAGATAGCTTAAAAAATAATATACGGTAGTGTTTACTAATAGATGAATAGTATATAAATTCTATTAAAATGGATTTGATCCAAAAAAATATATAAAATTTGATCATAAATAAAATCGTTTTAAATTACTTCTTCATTTAAATTATAACAATTATTTTTGATTTTATATTTTTTTGGATCAAATCCATTTTAATAGAATTTATATACTATTCATCTATTAGTAAACACTACCGTATATTATTTTTTAAGCTATCTTATTTTTTGAAATTTTATTCAAATCTTTGATCGCAAGAAGAATTGCATGATAAATAAAAACATTTAATCAAAGTCAATTTTATTTTTCATATTCAAATGGACTGAGTGTTAACATTTAACATTTTTTGCTAATTGTCGTCAAAAATTAGGCGTAAAGCAAAAATTGATATTTCATATGGTTTTATGATAGATAAGCATTATATTCCCACTCATTATATTCGTAAATTTTGAGGTTTATCCTTCGCTTTTAAGATCATTGAATTTGATTTTTATATAAAATAGTTATATATTAGAAAATAATATGAGTTTATGTGATATTATTTTTCAGAAGATTTTGTGTTCTTCTTCAAAATTTTATTTTTTATTAAAAAGAATCTTTACAAAATATACATTTACTTTAATTAATATTTAAAAACGTGCTCTATCAAAAGTTCCAAAAATTCAATATTTTAGCTTTTCTGGGGTGTCACTTTTGATGAATTTCTGTTTACAACAATATGATTGTGGTCCTATATTTTAACTAAAAATGTACATTTTCTTGTTAAATTTTTAGTTAAAATATCAAGAGAGCAATTTTTTTAGTTTTCTCTCAATTTTTGAATAATCGTCATGATCAAAAAAATTTTTTCTTTTGCAAAAAATACTCATGGAAACTTTATCCTTCAACTTGTTTATGATCAAAATCTGCTCAATTAATTCCGCTCAATTTCAAAAATCATGATGAAAGCTAAATTGATGGGAACTGGAAGTGAGTTTGGTATTCCAGAATTGGGATGTGATTGCCCAACATGCAAAAGTGGTGATATAAAGGATAAACGAGAAAGAGCAAGCATTTTTTTAACAACTTCAGATAATAAAACAATTATAATTGACGCAGGATGCGATTTCAGAGATCAGATACTGAGAGAAAACTTAAGGCAAATGAGTGCAATCATATTAACGGATGACCAATACTCACATATAATGGGAATTGATGAAATTAGACCATTTACTAAAGATTCTTCTATCCCCATATTCTGCAGTGAGAAAACAAAGGAAACATTACTAAAAGTTTATTATTACGTTTTCCATGTTTTCCAAATCGGCGGTGGACTTCCACAAATGGAATTAAAAGCTATAGATAATGATTTTACAGTTGAAGGAATCACTGTTACACCAATATTATGTTCAAGTCCAAAGAGAGAATCATATGGTTACAGACTTGGAACATTTGCATATCTACCTGAATGCAAATCCATTTCTGACGAGTCATTATCTAAGTTACACGGAGTAGAAACATTAGTTATCGGTGCAAGTGGCCTAAAATCTCACGAAGATAAGCTTTGCATTGATGAAGCTATTGAATATATTATCAAGATTGGAGCAAAAAGAAATTACATCACTCATATTACGCATGATAATACATATTCAGATTGTTCAAGTTATATCTCAAAGAAGGTACAAGACGATCCAAGATTAAATGGTGTTAGCATAGATATGGGCTATGATGGATTGGAAATAGATAATATTATTGTTTAAATTCTTTCTCATAAAAATATAAAATTAAATAATTCATTTTTTTAATATCAATAGTAATGAACTAATTAACCTATCAATAGTAAATTATAGTTTATGATAATGATGCTTGAACAACATGATTTGCAAAAATGAAATTTCATTATCGATTCAAATTCATTATTTTCACAACATCTATGGTTTACACAGGATATAAAATCAATTTCAGCCAGAATATATCATGGATCTGAAACCCAAAATTGAATACCTTTGAAAAAAAAATTCAGAAAAAAATTGCTTTCGTATTCTTTTATTCGTCATAGGCTGCATTATCTTGCCGATAATGCAGATTATGAGGATGACATCCTCAAAAGGGCCAACACAAACGAATCAACTTTTTATGTTTTGCCAGATACAAAAATTGTTTTTTTAAGAGCTTTTCAAGGCTGTGAAGAGACATTAAAAACAGTTGTATTTTGTGGCACAAAAGTCGAAAAATTAGATGCATCAGCGTTTTATAACTGTACAAAACTAAAAAATATAAATCTCGAAACATTATACAATTTGAAAACAATTGGACCGCGTTGCTTTGCAAATTGCGTTAAATTACAATCAGTTACATTACCAAGTTCAGTAACTATCATTTCAAAACTTGCATTTTCAGGATGTCGGCGACTGAATTCAATAAAATTCTGCGAAGACTCTAAAATCCGCCTAATATTAGACTGTGCCTTTGAATTTACTGATCTAAAATCAATTTTAATCCCAGATAATTTACGAAATTTTATTTCTTCAGCATTTAACAATGCTCCTCTATCTCATATTATAGTATCACCAAACAGTAGGAGTTGCTGCTCAGAAGATGATGTTATCTATAGTAAAGCAAAACAATTATTATTTTATTTCCCTCCCGAAAAACATCAATATGATTATAGAATCCCTGAAGGAGTGAGAATCATAGATTCTTATTCATTTTGTACAAGACACCTTCAAAAAATATATTGTCCAAAAACTTTAGTAAATATACACAATAACGCTTTCGAATCCTCATCTATCCAATTTATTGTACTAGATGGGTGCGATGACATCAAGTTCATCGGAATTGACGCTTTTCGTGGCTGCAGAGTCGAATCTCTCGATTTCAGGTCATGTAAGAACTTAACGACGATATTAACAGGTACTTTTTCTGGATGTACACTATTGAGGTTTATTGGCCTCCCTTCTTCGATTTCTACGATAAAAAAGATGGCTTTCCATAATTGTTACAATTTAGTGGAAGTTGCGTTTCAAAACGATACTAGTAACCTCACAAATATAGAAAGCCACGCGTTTAGCCACACAGGACTTAGAGTTTTTAACTTTGGACCAAATGTATCAAAAGTCAACGCAAAAGCTTTCTTGTTCTGCTCTTCTTTAACGTATATAAATGTTTCAAAGTCTAATCCGAACTTTACATCAGTCAATGGAGTCATTTACAACAAACAAATGACTAAATTAATAATTTACCCTCCAGGAAATAAATCGGTGTCATATACTGTTAACAAGACTGTTGTAACAATCAAGAAATACGCATTCTCATCATGCGAATACATAACTTTGGTAAATTTACCTCCAAGATTACGAAAAATTTGTAAATTCGCATTTTCCAATTCTGCAATACATAACATAACAACTCCTGATACTTTGACAATGATTCAAAAAGGAGCTTTTATGCATTGCAAAAATTTAACAATTGCAAACATAAATGGAACATATACACAGCTTTCTGAACAGTGCTTCAAGTATGATGAGAATCTTACTGTTGTTTATCTCCCTCAATCGTTTGAATCTTCTCCTTTATCTTCATTTGCAAATTGCTCTTCAATACAATGCGTAACTTATTCAAAGAACATGAAGGAGAGAGTTTTTATGGCTGGAATTCCATGGGTAGCTTTATCTGATACAAATTGTTCGAAATATTTACCAGCGATAGAGAGAAGACATCAAGAATATCAAAAATGGATACAAAACATCTTTAGATATAGGTATTAATAATGAATAAAATGTTTGAATTCTATTTTTTTAAAATATTTTTATATTTTTTTCATAATTTAATCATTAAACAAGACAATTTCATATTAGAATAGCATATACGTATAAAATGTATAAGGAAAACTTATCAGATATCTTGAAATTTTTCATTTCGATATAATCTCATAATTCTTTTTGTTTTGATCATATTATTATAGTATATTGCTCAAAGTATTTATAATTATTCGCAGAAAATGAAGAATAACCGCCAAATATTTCAATTTGATTCAACTTTCTCTAATTTTTTTAATGAAGATTATACATTTTATGCATACATTACAATTTTAATCGAATATGAGACTTCTCGCATATAGAAAATAGCAAATTATTTAAAAATGAATTTTTATTAGCTATTATTTGAGCAATAGCACCTCACCTATGCAATTTTATCTTTGATATGCATTGTATTCTATTCTTTTATGGTTTTTGTTCATCGCTATCATTGAGATCATTCTCTACAGAGTTTGAAAGTGTATTAGGTTTCTTTCTGAAAATAATGAAATAAACAGCAACTGCAATTGCAGCCACAACAACTAGAGCAACTATTACAATTAAAACAATGTATCCTACCTTTAATGGACTACCTTTCTTTGGAGGATTAGTTGTTTCCCTTTCTTTCTCTAAATCAGAATAATCAAATATCCATTCTGGCTTCTCTTGTGGTTCTCCCTCAAGAACTTTTGTATTTGGATCCAGTGGATCTTTATCAAAATTCATTGAAGATAATTTCATTGTTCGACAAAATCTTTCTGGATCGGGACATGTAAAAATACGATTTTCAATTTGAATATTTCCTTCTTCATCTGACATTGGTAATTGATAGTATGAACTGAGACCTGCATTTTCTTTATTGCATGTGATGATTACTTTCTCACTTATTTTGATTTCAAAAGAATCATATCCGTGACATACATAATCATAACAATATTCTGTGAAAGTTAATCCAGGAAGAATTGCCTTTCCTTTTTCGCAAACTTGGGATGGATATGGAATTGTCTGAAAATCGGCCAAAATGTTAGCGTAAAAGTATGGAAAATTCTTCGGATTATAAAATGTATCTTTTGCTTTACAGTAAAGATCGAATTGAGGATTTTGACAATCAACATCGGATTGCTGATGTAAATAATCATAATTTCCATAATGATTATAGTCAAATCCAGTGAAATCGTTAGGACTAATCAAATAATTTGAAGGAAATGAAAGTTGAGGAGGATTAATTGCAAAATCTGGAATTGGTTTTCCATCAATTGATTCAGGATGCCCATACACTAGTGGTTTTGCATTTGCCCAATTTACTTTGTAATTTCCTGTATCCATTAGAATTGCAAGCATTGCATCTGTGAATCTTAAGAATGGAACTGGATAATTAATATCTTCTCCAACCATATTTTCGGTATTATAAGTTCTGTATTCTAAATGAGAACCAGCAGTACCAGATGATCCACCATCTTCAAGCTCTATTCCTGCCGGACAATTTGTGTTATTATCTCCAATAAATGTTTCGACACCAAATCTCTTCTTGGCAAAAATATGAGAGTAAGGTGTAACCAAAAATGTATAATCTCTTCCGAATTTGGTTAATTTGCAAACAGGATTCTTATGAGGTTCTGGGTTTTCATAGGGATGATAGTCCTTAAATAAGGTGTCTCCAAAACCAAGTGCATGTGTGAGTTCATGAAGGATTGTCATATAGAAGTTATTATCCCAATCTGTTTCGTTGACAACTTTTTCAGGAGTAGCTCTTGGATTAAATACAATCATTCCCGCAGTTGGACGACGATAAGTATCTTCATATTGCATAGGTCTAGCAGAAGCAACTGAGTGATCAGGAAGTGTATAAGCAACAAGAATTGCTAAGTCTGTATCATTAAATGTTCATGATTTAGTTTTGTTTTCATCATAGGCTATAATTGGATCTAAAACGGATTGTACTTTTAATGCCTTGGAAAGAAAATCTACAACATTATTTAGTGTTCCTTTGATTGCAGCGATTTGTTTTTCGTTAAGAATATCTTGGGCTTCACAAGTATATTTTCCAATATCAGGATCCTCAATTACTTGGCCAAATTTTTTGCATGCCGTAGGAAAGTCAACTTTTCCTTCAAGGTAGTCGTAATTAAATTTTATTCTGATTGGTCTCCATTTTGATGAAATTTTATTTGATAAAATAAGCCTTTTTGCATGATTATTCATGCTTTGCTTCTTCATTATCTCATCAAATTTGCATCTGTGCGTTAAAATTATTGCAAAATAGAGTAGCATTTCAAAAATGAAGTAAAAATTTGACATATCGAATTTCAATGTTTGTCACAGGATCAAATATGAATATCATGTACCTTTTGACCATTTTAGTATTGTGAGAAATACAAATTTTCTATGTGTTTACCATTTAAATTGAATGTTGAGCCAACACGTTAGATCTTCAGAAAAATTAAATTGAAAACAAAAAATGACTTTATTCAATTTATCAAGATATGTGACACCGTGTTTGAATTTTATGATTTTCATGAATTAGGTATATTCATTCTATTATTTCGTCATTTACATTTCCAAGAAACAACAAATCATTAATATAATTTTAATTAATTATTGAATATATCTTGTTAAAAATAACATTTTCATAAACTTCTAAAGATTTTATTAGCATGTCAACTTTATCGGCTAAAATAACTACATAAATTATCAACTGATATTCTATCATATATCATATGATTTAATAATAAAAGCATTGATTATTATCCTTAAATTCCTTAACAAGTAGAATTACAATATTGATAATGTTGTGAAATTATAATATTAATTTACCCATTAGTTTTTTTCATGGGTTCAATCTCATGAATAATGATTCTGGTTAATTACAGTTATAATTTCAGTTATTATTCGAAAATATTCAATAGACCTATTGATAAATAGCAGGGGATTTATAAATATACCCCCTTATTTGGAATTTCCAATTAATTGGAAAAACCGCCAGATTGGAAAAACCGTCGCAATTGGAAATATTGCGAGATTGGAATTTCCAATCTCTCAATTGGAAATTCCAAATAAGTTTTTATTTGGAAATTCCAATTCATTTGGAAATTATAAATAAAACTTCAATTGTGAATTAGAAATGGAAATTGGAAATATGCCCTATATTATCTTATTAAACAAAACAAAATTTTTGTTGAATTTAAAATTTGATAAAATGTAATAGTTTTTAAATGTAATATATACTAATTAAATTTTTACATTCACCTATAGTATAATCAAAATACTCTGGTTTTTCCAATTTCAAATTTCTTTTTTCTAATTTCTAAAACCCCTTATATTTCCAAACATAAGGGTATTCATAAATAAGGTATCTTATTTATAATTTCCAAATGAATTGGAATTTCCAAATAAAAACTTATTTGGAATTTCCAATTGAGAGATTGGAAATTCCAATCTCGCAATATTTCCAATTGCGACGGTTTTTCCAATCGGGCGGTTTTTCCAATTAATTGGAAATTCCAAATAAAGGGGTATATTTATAAATCCCCTGCTATTTATAAATAGGTCTAATAAATCAATATGAATTGTTTCCTTCGTTCAAGGATTTTTTTTGATAAAATAGGATTGAAAAAGGTATAAAAAGTGAGGTTTAGATTAAATATAGGTTCTTCAAAAAATTATTTTTCCACAATGCGAAAGAGAAAGATGCGTTTCTCGGAGTCTGCAATTTTCATTGTTATTTGCATCATTTACTTAAAGAAAGCCAACAAATTCTTTACAATTTATTATATATTGCATTTTGAAGAGTTGCTTCCACGAACATTTCCTTTGTCATTGATATTTGCCTCATTTGATAAAAGAAGTACTGCAATTTCTATAAAATTATTAGATTTTGCAATTTGGATGGCTGTCTTACCATTTTGATCTTTTTCATTAATATTTGCATGATTGTTTAAAAGAGTGAAGGCAACTCTAGTAAAATTTTTCCCATCTTTATCTTTTTCATTGATATTTGCACCATGCATTAAAAGAAGTTTAGCAATTACTTTGAGTTTTCCATTTGTTGCAATATGGAGGGCTGTTTTACCACTTTTATCTTTTTCATTGACATTTACACCATGAGATAAAAAAAGTTCAGCTGTTTCTTTGAAATTATTATATGTTACAATATAAAGTGGTGTTCTACCGTAATCGTCATTTTCATTGATATTTGAACCACTTTTAATAAGGATTTCGACTATTTCAGTATTGTTATTCCTTGCAGCATCATGAAGTACTGATTCTCCGAAGTCATTTTTTACATTGATATCTGCGCCATGTGCTATAAGAAATTCTAGGATATTTATGCTATTATAAAATGCTGCCTTATGAAGAGCTGTTTCTCCATATTTACTTTTTGTGTTGATATCTGCACCAAGTGAAAGAAAATATTCACAAAGAGATGGAATAGCAAATATGACTGAAGAAACAAAGCATTTGTTAACATCATTAGTTTGATCGAAATAAACTAAAAATGACTCGATTATATTCAACAATACTCTAAATTGATGGCTAAATCGTACTCGTTCATCAAGAATGTTACAAAATCAATGTTATGTGAGATAATTGCATACTTCATACATTTATCATTTGGCTTTTGATATTTCATACATTCATTAATGATCTCTGGATTTCCTCCTAAAAATGATAATTCTAGACATTGTTGAGTTATTTCTGACTTAAATTTTGTTCTTAATTATTTCTGCTCCGTAGTAACAACATAGTTCAAGGAATGAATAGCTGGGTATATCTGGAAATAAATCATTGGAAAGCTGCTGATATTCATTAAAACCATTTGTTTCTGTGAGTTTGATGAATCTTTCTTTATCTTTATACATAATCGCACTGTAGATAGTATTTTCTTTATGAATATGACAATGATAATTAAAGAATATTGAATGGTCGCCAAAAATTGTTCCAAATTCTTTATAAAATGGCATGTCTGAAGTTATTTTAATATCTTTGACGTCTTTCAGATCAAATATGAATTTCGCAGGTTTAAGGTATGATATTATATAACGATTGTTATACGGAATGATGCCAAATATATTATTTACTATATTTTTGAATGTTTTGATCATTTTATAATTCTTATCTAAATCTTCTTCATCTACAGTTTTCAATCGATATAATGCATTATATAAATCAATGTGATACTGATAGGTGTTTCTCAATTCGCTGTATTCTTTTGGAACAGTGACTTGATCAGACATAAAAAATTTTAAAAGCTGTTTATCATCATTTATCAATATAAAATATTTTTATAATCAGTTTTGTGAAAATTGTACTATATTGTAAATGTGGAAAACTATGAATACAAAAATTTCCGAAACAAATTATGAATTATTCTGAAATTTATAGATATGGAATGGCTTACCTTCAGTATTACAGACGATTCAAATAAGATATATCGAAGATTGAATTGTTTAAAAATTAATAATCAATAAATATTAAACAACATTGTTTTTTGATACAAAAAACCTAAAAACACAGTGCAATTGACACTTCTGAGCTCAACGTTGGAAAAAAAAATCATAAAAATTTAATAAATTTTATTTAATTTATTATTTATTTATCAGGATGGACCATTTAGATCTTATTGAATGAGCCACTTTGTTCGCCGTTACTCCTCTTCTTGCAATAGCAGATAACACCAACAATAACACCAATAACAATAAGGATGCAAATAACAATAACTGAAACCATAACAGCAACACCTACAATTGCTGGGTCTGTGTACTTGCCGATTGAATCATTCTCATAAGGTGTAACATAAATTAATGTATTGTTCATGAATTGAACAAATGAGAGGGTGGAAATATTGAAATAGTTGCAAACATCAGCATTACGCAATGATTGACTTTCTGGGCCTTTGGCATGAACCCAATAATCTCTATCACCCTTCCAGTTTTCATCTGGGAGTTTGGTCTTGTCTGTTGTTGGTGTAAGGACATAAGCGAGAATAGGCTGATGTGTGAAAGACTTTCCCTTGTAAGTTGCTTTGGCCTCATTAGATGTGCCATTTATGAAGATTAAAGGATGTGTGAGAGGTGCAGTAAGGTCGAAAAGATTCTTAATTACGTTATTGTTACCATTGACTTGGACAATACCTGGTCCTGTAACTGTGATCTTGTTCTTGTCACCATTAACTGTAACAACACTGAAGTATGGAAGGTTGATTTCAATATCCTTACTACTGACTTCAACAAGGACATTAGGGTTTTCTGGAGTTGTGGCAACCTTGTAACCCTTCTTCGCTTCCCATTTCTGTTGTGGAGCATCATAGATTTCATTATACTGGTTAGTGAATGCATCCGTGTGATCATAAGATGCAGCTAGGACAGATAAGACTGCAAACATCACTTAAAATGATTTTTCATATCATTCTCAATCGTTTTAATTCAATTATAATTGACCACAAAAAATTCTGAATAAATAACATAATTATCTGAATAGTTTTATAATCCCGGTGATGAAAGTTTCAATAACTATTGAATTTCTTGATCCAACAAAACGATGCCTTTTTTTTCTGAACTTTACGGTGGGAGATAATATTTTAGAAAATCTTGGATTATCTACAAATTCACACTGCAATATGAAACGAATATTTCATAATTCAATTCGAAACCATTGTTATTCTCAAAAAGAAATATCGTTATTTCATGTGTCAAATTTTTATGAAAATGAGCTTTCTATAGTGTGAAACTATTTAGAATATTATGCTGATTCTACCAAAAGAATATTGGTAAATTTTTTTCGGAGCCATATTCCTTCTCAATTCAGGTATCGTTTTATTTCTGACAATTATATTTCCAACCACGTTTTTTTCATCAGTCATTAACCAATTTGCCGTAATGTGAAAAAACTTATATTTAAAATAAAGATATAAGGAAAAACGATTTGAAATTTCAAATGTTATACCAAATTCAAAATTTCATATATCATCAATGAATTTATTGATTATGAATCGTAATTCTTTTTTCAATTCAAATTTATTTTCTTACAAATTTCCAAATTTCGATTCCAATAATTTTGAAATTAAAAAGAATCAAAATTTTCATATGAATCAAGAAAATTAATGGGAAAAGTCACACGAAAATTTTTAATTTTTTGTTTTCATATTTTTGCAAATTAAATTATAATGATATTATAATATGATATAATATCATTATCCATAATTGAATAAGATATCCGGAAACATCACATGTATATTTATATTGAGAATGAAAATAGTTTATATATGTTTCTTTATTTATTTAAAAATATACGTATACATCAAAAGAAATTTTTCATGTATTCATCTGGTTTTGCAGTAATTCTTCTTGCTTCTTCATCCAATCCAGGCCATTCTTCAACCCTTTCAAGAGCAATTTCTAACTTAGGTTTATGAGTCAATGGATTATTGCACAAATCAATTGTTTTCGCTTTATTCATTGTCTCGTCGCTGCACCATGTTTCGCACCAAAGCCATTCCTGAGGCAAAGAATAAATTGGCAAAGCGTCTTGAACGTAATTTGGCAAATCCTGATCCAAGTTTGCGAGTGAATTTGGATCAGGAGCCAAATCCTGGTAAACATCTCTAAGAATTTCACCAGCATCCATTTGTCTGAATCTCTCCAAATCAACAACAAACAAAGCAGAAATATGATATTTCTTACCACGCAACTGTTTTTGCCAATATCCTCTCTTCCAAAATCTGTATGGTTCTATTTCAGTTCGAGAATCACACATAGGAGTGAAAGCGTAAGGAGCTCCAGATAAATCTAATTTCATCAATTCGGATAAATCAGATCTTACAATTTGATCGGCATCAATGTAAATAACTCGTTTCAAATCAGGAGGGAAGATATTATCCAAAAATAGGATTTTGTTCGCCCATATTATTCTGTTTTTCTCTTTTTGTTTGAATAAATTGGCCGGCCAATTATAACTAATTAAGTTATAAGAGAAATTATATTCTTGAGACATCTTAGGCAAACTTGCTTTGAATGATGGACTCAAATAGTTTTTGAGGATCCAAAATCTGACAGAACTATTTGTATGTCTTCTTACAGAAATCATCATGATCTTGGCCAATCTTTCATATAATTGGCCGGAAGCAACAATGAAAACATCAACAGTTTCAATGGTTTTCGGATCAGTTCTGACTTGTTCAAAGCTGCTAAATTGTGAAAAAGTGACAAAATTATCTTTTTGAGCGAAAGAATTTACAAAAACAGTTGATTTCTCTGTCTTATAACTTGAAATATATTCTTTGCTCAATACAACATCAAATAAGCCTGGATTGGCTTGGATTTGCCAATAACCGCTTTTTGACAGAAAAGTGCCACTAATTTTTGACAAATTTTTGTCTCCCAAATAAATGGCAAAACCGCTAGAATTTGTCAAACCGTTTGCAACAACATTAGTTAATATATAAGAACACTTATGAATTCCTGGTGTCAAAAGTGAAGTCAAAATGTTATCTGCGTCAAATTCTGACCTCATTTGCTCACAAACGAATGTTTGCGGGAAATGTGGTATAATAGAATAAGTTGTCAGATCATCAACCGCTCCAAAAATTACTTCACTTTTATCCAAAGCCATTCTATAAACATTATTTGATTGTCCAGAAACAGATGTCGGAATATTGAGTTGTATTTTCACGTCAATTACATCTTTTTCATTCAAATAGTTAACAATGGGTATTAACTTCTGATCTGACTCATCAAATGGATTGCATGTAAATTCAAAAGTGAAGTCAGACATTGAATTTGATTCAAAAGAAAGTCTATCGTTTTCATTTATTATTAATGAATCTTTATTTCTATGGATATCATTTTCATAGAAATTAGATGTCAAACAATAGAAGAAGAACTTGACGTAGTTCTTGCAATCGACTTTCCTGTATAATCTTGATATAAAGTTCTGTGTCCATTTCAAGTGTTTTTGGATATCATCAAAATTGTAAAAAACTCTTCCGTTGACAATCAACATTTCTTTCTCAATTCCAAGTGCTTTGTGGAGTTTTTCAGGGAGTTTCGGATTAATAAGATAAGAAACATTTAATTGCTTCAGTTGGTTTTCTATCTTTTCTTGATTAGATTCAGTAAAAACAATTACGAAATCATTAAATTCATCATCAAAACTATTTTTAAGGAAATTCATGAATTTCTTCATGATTTTCTTCGGCTGATTGAGTAAATGTAATGATAAGATTGGTGTCAATGAGTATTTCGATTCAATATCAGGAGAAACATAAGTAAACTTATTGAAAACATCGAAAATGTCAAAATTCTCAGGAATTACATTTTCTTCAATTAAAGAACTCAAGTAATCTTGCTCTTTGTATAACAAACCATCCAGAGAATCAGTATATAAACTGTAAAATACATAACCATTGAAAATTGTCATGTATTCATTCAATTTTTTGTCTGTCACTTTTTGGGTCATTTCCTTTACATAAGAATGAATTTTTGAGAGCGGAGAGAAGTATTTATAGAGGTCATGCCATGATGTAGCGTCTTTAATTGTCTTAGTTACGTATGTATACGCTTTTGCAATCGATTCTTCTGAAGGGAAAAGTGGCTGATAAGTTCTAGCATCAAATCCAGTGAATTTGGCCGAAAAGATAAGGAAATCAAATGCAAGACTATCTGAAAACTGCTTAATGTAGGCATACGCGAACGCTGCTTTACGGGATAAAGGATCATTCAAATTAAATACTGGCAAACCACCGAATCTGCACGGATAACCTTTGTCCATGATTTTCTCCATTACCAAGTACTTGTAGACACCATTTTGGGTCGTGGGATCAGCTGTAACAAGTAAATTAAACAAATTTCGTTTTACACGAGGAATATGGTTCTTGTTTGAGAGCTCTTCCCTTGTTACTTTGTAGTCCTTTGAAATTTGATCCTTTTCGAGATTATTCTTCCATGCAATAAATTTATTTCGATAATCAAATCTGTGAGCTGTTTTATCTGGTAATTCGATCTTAAACATGTCTAAACTTTCATGAGATTCGTTTTTCAGCACTTCATAAGCGTTTCTTTCCTGATTTATGATATTTAATATCGTAAAAGTATCGATTTCGCTATTGGAAATGCTTCTACCATTGATAGATTTGATAGGTATCGTAGTATCGATCGACACATTTTGGTTTTCTTGTTCATTATACATAGAATCGAGAATTGGAAGAGAAATTGATGGATTTTCAGCGATATATGTAAGTTTCTTAAGGAAAGGTTGCTCATTTTCATCGAAATATTGTGTAAATGCTGGTTTCGAAATATGAATATCAGATTGAAGAGGTTTCATGTCTTGGATGTTATCGAAATTGGATAAGGTCTCATCATATATCTCAGGATTTGTTTCAGAATTTTCAGAAGACCTCTGATCATCTTTTACACCGTATTCCATTGAGTATTTGAATGGACGGAGCTCAATTCCGTATCCACGAACATCTAATCCGAACTTTCCTTGCGATGTTGGACGAAGAACAAATGATTTTTTGTTGACGATTAAATTATTTACGAAATTAAATGTATCTGGATTTGATAAATTGGCGTAGACAATCGTATTGTTGTTTCCAAGTTGGAATTCTGTTGGTAAAACTGTAATATTTTCATTATTGAAGTAAATACAGTTATATTCAAAATCTGGCTGTGAACCTACAATAAATAAATCTTCGAAATTGCTTCCTCTATAGCTTCTAGCTTGTTCACGATTAAATTCAATAATTGGTAATAAATCATTGAGTTCTTCACGAGAAATTATTGTATTTGCTGATTTTTTGTCAAGAATCGAATTTAAAATCTGAATCATGCATGTTTTATCTGTATGACAATGCTTGTTTGCAACGTTTTTGAAGAATTCTGCAGCTTTCTTATTTGAATTTTCTGCTAAACCAACGAAATATTGATCAAAAGTTGTTGATTCATACCAAGGAACCTTAGTATCAATCACAATCTGATGATCAAGATTGAACTTGCAAAAAGATAAAGAAAAGAAGAAAAACATTTAAATTTTCAGGGTCTAACACATAACATTCCCCAAAATATTTATCGAGGTTTTGTTTCTTTCGGAATTTCATATAAAAATAGAGGCTTAAAGTAGACCAATTATTAATAAAAAGCTGTGTTATAAGTAAATCTTAGGTCAATTGAATCAGATTCCAATAGAACTTTGAAAATAAAATTAAATTTTGAATTAGCTCATATTGGAAAGGACACCAATAGTTGTTAAGGTGAAAATAAGATTATTGGTATATAGAATAAACTAACAAACAATATTTATAAAAAATTAAACAAAATGTAACTAAAGATTTTCAAGTTCGGTATAATCTGTTGTATCATTATCTGACAAATCGCTGTATTCTTGAGCATTCATGAAGAAACATATCAAAAGCGTAACAATCAGAATCATAACTAAAAGGAATGTTGTAGCAGATGAAATAATTAATGGCATGAGCCATGGATTCTTGACCTGGTCAATATATGGAGAACGAGATGGATCAAACTGAATAATCGTTGGTTCGAACGGAGTTCTAAGATCCATTGTCGGATAAGGAGTGTATGATCGAATGTTAACATAATAATCTAGGAATAGTTCTCTTGCATCGCAAAAAGTTTTTGGATTCGGACATCTCAAAGTAAATCTCTTTGTTGATCCAACTTGAAGCACTCTGTTGACTGTAATACCAATCTTTGACTGATATTCATTATTTGTACATTGAATTGATGTGTAATCTCCTGTATTTTCATTTGTAACAAAGAAAATGGTAAATTTCGTATTATTATCATCACACCTGTAATCTCCGCATGAATCTGTTTCGTCTGTAAGCATTCGTGGTATCGCAGCTTCATTCATATTCTGACAATACAATTTTGGCATTTTTATTGGCTGATAATCATACTCCGGCCATGGGTAATAAGTTGTTCTACTGTAGGGATTGTAGAACTCTGGGTATTTACAGAAATCTGATTCAGATTCTTCATTACAGTTAATTTGAACACTTTGGTCAACAGAAGAGAATGAGAAGTCAAAACCGATTGAGTTTTCCGGTGAAGAATCGGTATCATTGTAAAGAAAACTCTGTGGAAAAACGGTTTGTGGCGGATAATAAAAGAAATCTGTTTGTTTTGTGTCATATATATGTGGATTTCCGTAAACTAATGGTTGGCCAATTCTATTGATCATTTCGTAGTTTCCTGTGTCTTCAATCCAAGACAAAGTCAAGTCAGTAACTCTGTGATATAAATAAGGACTCCTTTGATGACTGGTAACCATGATATCTGTAAAGAAGAGTCTTCCAGCTGGTCTAAGTCCGATATCTAATCCATGATCGATCATTTCGACTCCAGTAGGGCATTGATCGGAAATGTTAGATGATACACTTGGTCCAAATGATTCTGCAAACTTCCGAAGAGAAGGAGTTGTCAAATAAATAAATTTTCTGCCATATCTTGTCAAATTGCAAGTAACATTGGTGTATGGAGTCATATCTGTCTTGGAATGATAGTATTGAAACATATCTGAATGTAATCCCATTAAAATAAATATTTGTTGGTAAATAGCGGCGTAAAGTTGATTTGCAGGGTCCCAATAGCTCTCTTCAACATTAGGAAGTAATTTTGGGTTAAATGCAATTATTCCTTATATTGGTCTAAAATTTGATTGATCAATATCAGTGATTTTTGAAATGGCAAAAATATCTGATTTATCGTCATTAAATGGCCTGATGACTAATGTTATATATAAATCAATATTTGATATCGTATAACTATCTGTAACATCTAAAATTTGTTGGTCTGTTTTGAATTGAATTGGATCTTGAAGGTTTTTAACGCTATATGTTCCATCAAAGGACCATAGAACATTACTGAATGTATTTAATAATGCATTAGTTTGATTTTGAGAAATAATATCAGTTAATTTGCAAGAATATTGACTATTGTTCCATGTAATGACCTGGTTTTCTGATTTACACATTTGTGAATCGTTTGATGAATTTAGATATTTCGTATTTACTGAGATCCTAAATTTATTATTCAAATAATTTGATGGATCTGACCAGAAATAAGTTGCATTCGTCGAAGTATTTGGGTGTGGCCTTCGTGCTCCATAAATGTATTGAAAGAATAGTATTAAAAGCATCTTAGGAGAAGGGGAAAAAAATTGCTTCTAAAAAATTGAAAATTAATTTAACTGTTTTGATATTAATAAGTTGCTTATTAGTGCTGATAGAACATAAATCTGTAACTTTGAGTGTTTTACAATTAAAAATTAACAGAAATAGCATATTGAATTAATTGTGAGGACATTATGATTTTGAATGTACTCTCAAAGCTATTCCGCCTGATATTAAAATATATTATAGATAACCATACAATATATATGGTTATTTTTTGAATAAAGAAAAAATTGAAAAAGAATTTTGAGAAGATGTATTTTGTTTTATAATTTTGATCTAGTTTGAATATACTCAATGAACATATCAATGTTAATCTCGATATCGAACAAACGATTATTTCTTTCAAAAGTTCATTATATCGAAAAATGTTATTGATTTGTAAATTCTACTTGCTAAGTATACATTAGAATAAATGAAATAACATTGCTCTAATTTTATTAATTATTTTTTTTCAAATTTCTTCAATTTTTTTTAGAAAATTAGAAATTTTAAGCTAAAACTATACATGGCACGATGGGCGCTACTTTTTTGGCGCCAGCGGCGCCGCCCGCGCCTCCGGTGGCTCCCACTGGTGGGGAGGAGACCATAGAAAAAGATGTAAATTTTACTACAAAAATTGAATTTTGGAAATTCTTTTGATTTTTTTGAATGATTTACGAAGAGATTGAACACATTTTGTACTATGAAATATCGTTATTAATAAATTTACTTCTTAAACATCTATTAAAATCGCAATTTTGAATATTTTTATGATTTTTTTTGACCCGATCACTTGCGCCCGCGCCCACTGGGAGGGGTGCTTGTAAAGTATTCAAAAATCAATGTAAACATTTCAATTTTTGCTCCCACCTCCCATTGGGAGGGGGGCATATATCTTGTAGCGTTCAAGTTCAAGTGATGAAAGTGCATAAGAAAGCTCCTTAATCATACCGATAGAAACAGCATTAGGGGTGCCAAATGGCGCTCGGTGATGTTTCCCATAAAAGCTTAATTTCAGGTATCCATAATCATAACCTGTCAGACGCAATAATTCATTAGCACACAATCATCGTTTCTCAATCAAGAAACGAAACGCACGATTGATTATGCTGGCCATTAAATTTTCATATCAAATAATTTACTACTTCAAGAAAAATTAAAGACTATCATCAACCAAAGCTTAAAATTCTCAGTGTTTACAACTCTCATACTTCGAATATGCATATTTCCAAAATAGCATGAAAATTTTTTTCATTTGAGCTCATTTTCTTTTGTTCTATTAACTAATACATGCAGTACAAGCTTGTTATACGTATACTTAATAAGTAAGGTCTTAAGGGAAATAATAAAAAAGAATTTTGCTATTAATTATATTAAACAATATTTATTTGTAATTTCGTGATAATTATATTTCTTATTACAAAGTAAAGGTATTTGATATAATGTTTGCCTTACAAAAATGTTTCCTTTGTCTTGCCACCATAGGTATTCTATTTTGTCACTTTTTGCGCCCGCCGTGCCATGTATAGCTAAAACATTAAACTTTTTATGAAAAAAGTAAGTGATGTATATACTTAGATCATGTTGGACTCTAATTTGTCCACTGTTTGCTCTTCAGGGAGAGCAAGTGGAATAATTTGATGAGCCAATAATTCTGGGACTCCATGTTTAACAACAAGATCTCTTCTAGCAACTCTATCAGCTTCAATGGCAGTAGTTCTTGCCAATGGGGAAATAATTTCATTTCTATGGATAACTGCTCCACAAATTAATCCATAAAAGGCAACATTATCTTTTCTCATCGAATTCATAACAGTGAATCTGTCAGATCGCGGATACAAAATGATATGAGCATGATTAAACTGGGAAACAATCATTTCATGGTCATACAATTGACAATCTTCAGTAAATATGACGTGAACATTATCATTGCCAATATGGCGCTTCTTGTAAACGTTCTGATCGTCATTTGAAGATTTCATGAGCGTTGAAACGTGGAACATCGTTTCATTGGTTGCATCTGCATGATATATCGATGACGGTCCTGTCGTATTATGAAATGTGTCAAGACCACCAGTATATCCGAGATGACAGTTAATATCAATGTGGTAACCAAAATCTTTGAGGAAATCATAGAATTTCTGGGATCCGGCATCCAAAGCGAGTACGTCCTTTTGATTTCGGATGTTTTGAGTGACATAAACAACTCCGATCTTATGAGTATAGCGACTTGGCCAAGAGTATACGGAATTGATAAGTCCAGGCATGTTGTTTGTGTTCGGAAGGAGATTTCCGTTCTTTATCATTGATAATTCTTGCATTGCGTCAAATGCGTCAATATTAACATCTTCGTACTTCTCCTTGCAGCTCTTATCCTCAACACATGGGATGGTAATTGGTTCTGCCTGGTGTTTGCTCATGAATTTGTCAATATTAACTTTGATTGGAGAAACAAGATCAACGTCGTAAAAATCAGGTATTTCTGGCTTTTCCAAGTCACATGTAAGGTCACTCTGGTATTGGTATTCCTCACAAGGTTGTGATTGAACTTTGAAGGAAGATTTGGCACTGACTTGGAAACTTGTAATGATAGAATGATCTTTCTCTGTACGACCAGTTATAATACTGTTCTTGTTTGTTGTAAAACAGTAAGATGACTTAGATTTTTCTAAAATTGGAGGAATTGTTGAATCAGCAAGGCTAATTCCATTCATATAAGGATACCTCTTGTAGTTAGCCAACAAATCTGCGATGCATTGTTTGCAATCTTGAGTTGTCTCATTTTTAATTTTGTTTACAAACATTTTCAGCTGTTTTCCAAGGTTGATTGATGTTACATTAAGAAGTACATGAGCGATTATATCTGAATGCTGAACTGCATCCTTCTCAATTAATTTTTCTAATAATCGAGTGAGCAAATTCGGAATTACTGAATCGAAATTACACATTGAAGGTAACATTTGATAGATATCATTATCATAAGAGTCAAATCTATTGATAAGAGCTTCTTCCAATTCCGATGTATCAATATTTTGAACAGCGTACTCCAAAATGATCTGAACGATGCAGGAGAAGGCGTTATTAAGGTATTGAGTATTGACCTTCTCGAAACATCTAAGGACAACATGGACCAAATCAATTTTCGAAGATTCTTTGAATTTCTTGAATTCCAAAATATTACTTTGATCCTTTGTAAGCTTAGAATCAAGGATCTGCAACGCTTTCTCTCTATCTCCTTTGCAATTCATTGATGCCAAAGATACAAATGCGTAAAACTTTCCATCAAACTGCTGTTCCTTCATATTCATCCTCTTTTCGAGCATAAGGAATGCATTGCTGCGTCTCTTATTACTCGTATCCAACTTGGAGGACTTGGAAGAGGACTTTTTCGCTGAATGTGGTTTTACTAAAAATAAAAATGGCTGTACTAAGAGTTGGAAGCCAGGCTGAGCCAATCTGATGCAGTTACATGCACCTTCGAGTGCAAGCCTCTTGATACTGCTCTCGTTGTGGAAAAGATTAACGAGTAAAGATTCGATATAAATTTCGAAAATTTTTGGTTCGACAACCCTGTATATTGTTGGATCGTTGAAGATAGCAATGGCTGTAGATAAGAATTGTTCTTTGAAATCGGAGTGCGCGTTGTTAGAAATCGAATTAAATAAAGGAGGTAAAGTTAACTGGAAAATTGAGGAAAGTGGCTTATGTGGCATTGGCGGAATAATGTTTAGAAGGTAATGAGAGACACTTAAGAATCCGATTAAGAATGGTTCGTAATGAGTACCACATAATGCTTTGAAAATCTCTGGTTTGAATGTAGATTTGGAAACACCGCTATCAAAATCGATAAGTTTGTGATCGATACTGGTTACTTGTAATTCCATTGCCGATTTGAATGGATTTGAAATAAAATTCTTAAATTTCTTAACAAATTCGACGCGGCGTGGCGAAAGTGTCTTTGAAATTTGAGCCTCATTCTCAACCATGTGGAAGATATGGTCGTAGCTAATATCAAACAAGTCTTTGAAGTATAAAATTCCAATAAACTTACCGAAATAGAAAGGAGCAATAGTCCGGCATGATTCAAATGCATCCTTCCATTTGGATACATCCGTAATTTTCATATCTAAAAGGAACATTAAATAAAAATAACTGTAATATTCGCATTGAGTTCTCTCTGCGTGCTCTTGGAACTGCCTGATGAAATAATTCACGCGATTGTGGTCGAGCTTGTTCCAGATGATACGTATCCTGCCAAAACTCGATTGAGTTGGAATGGCAGGAACAAATAAATCAAGGAAGATGAAGAGAGCATTATGAATCGTAGTTTGAGTAATTTGAATATTCGGGATGACTTTTGGATATTGAGTTTTGAATTCATTTAATAACTCGGTATTCGTATCAGCTGCTTTACTAAAATCACTAAAGTAAAGTGCAAATTGCTGATCATCGAGTTCTATACATGCTTTCAAAAATATTGCGTAAATGTCTCGGTTAATGTTGTCCGGATTTCCGATAAAGTCGAAAACATTGAGGTTCATTGCATCGGTCTTTGATTTATTTAATCGAACAACATAGCTATAGGTAAACACCGATAAAAGATAGGGCTCAACAAGCTTAAATTGCTCCATCGGTGTAGTATCTTTGAAAAATTCCGAACAAAGGATCAAAAATTGGTCATAATCCGATGCCGAAACCTGTTTCACGATCTCTAGTTGCAAGAAATCTTTGAAAGTATTAACTACAGAGACCAAATCCTTAACATTTTCCTTTTTCTTGAAAGTATCGAAAAAAATACTTAGTTGAGAGACATATTCTTTTATATGTGACTCTAAGGGCTTATTGTCCTTAAGACAACTAAGTATTTTCTTCATTCTATCATTAACTTTGGATGCCATTACAAATTTGAAAACGAAAAAAAAAGAGGGGAAAAGAAAAAATTTGAATAAAATTTTATTTCGAACTACATCAGAAATAGCAGTAGGCAAAATAGTAGTATAAATTGTAATAAACAGAAATTCATCAAAAGTGACAGCTCTCAATTTTTTGACATTTGTAAATTCTAAATTGAACGAGAAAAATGAAATAATACTAAGCATAATACAATATTCTAGATTTAATTATAATTAGGAAAAAGTTAGTTTGAGAGTACTTTTCATAGGCATATAGAATGAAATCTTCTGAAAAATAATATCACATAAACTCATATTATTTTCTAATATATAACTATTTTATATAAAAATCAAATTCAATGATCTTAAAAGCGAAGGATAAACCTCAAAATTTACGAATATAATGAGTGGGAATATAATGCTTATCTATCATAAAACCATATGAAATATCAATTTTTGCTTTACGCCTAATTTTTGACGACAATTAGCAAAAAATGTTAAATGTTAACACCCAGTCCATTTGAATATGAAAAATAAAATTGACTTTGATTAAATGTTTTTATTTATCATGCAATTCTTCTTGCGACCAAAGATTTGAATAAAATTTCAAAAAAAAGATAGCTTAAAAAATAATATACGGTAGTGTTTACTAATAGATGAATAGTATATAAATTCTATTAAAATGGATTTGATCCAAAAATATATAAAATTTGATCATAAATCAAATCGTTTTAAATTACTTCTTCATTTAAATTATAACAATTATTTTTGGTTTTATATTTTTTTGGATCAAATCCATTTTAATAGAATTTATATACTATTCATCTATTAGTAAACACTACCGTATATTATTTTTTAAGCTATCTTATTTTTTGAAATTTTATTCAAATCTTTGGTCGCAAGAAGAATTGCATGATAAATAAAAACATTTAATCAAAGTCAATTTTATTTTTCATATTCAAATGGACTGAGTGTTAACATTTAACATTTTTTGCTAATTGTCGTCAAAAATTAGGCGTAAAGCAAAATTGATATTTCATATGGTTTTATGATAGATAAGCATTATATTCCCACTCATTATATTCGTAAATTTTGAGGTTTATCCTTCGCTTTTAAGATCATTGAATTTGATTTTTATATAAAATAGTTATATATTAGAAAATAATATGAGTTTATGTGATATTATTTTTCAGAAGATTTTGTGTTCTTCTTCAAAATTTTATTTTTTTATTAAAAAGAATCTTTACAAAATATACATTTACTTTAATTAATATTTAAAAACGTGCTCTATCAACAGTTCCAAAAATTCAATATTTTAGCTTTTCTGAGGTGTCACTTTTGATGAATTTCTGTTTACAACAGTATAAATGACTTATTTTGACAATATGACATAAAATAACGTTCAGAAATAATTGATTAAATGTCAGTTTTGTCAATTGAGGAATTAAATAGAAAATTATCTATGGTATGAATTAAAATTAAAATCCAAAGAAACAATTTTCACCGAATCACAATTGATATGGGATAAATCGTTTATGATGATTTATATAGCATAACATCATGTAATCCATATTTAACAAAAAGAACCGAAATCTAAGTGATATTGATATGTTTTATTGCTGCAAGTCCATTGTTTTGTGATATGATGTATTTGAGATCACATGGAACTGAATTCAGTCATTTTTACTCCGTTATTTTGTAATACCATAACAATAATTGACTGTAAATTATTATCTGTCTTCAGCAAAACTTTAGTATGAAATAATTATAAAATTGGGAAAGACATATGAAAATAAAATGTAGATGGTAAAAAACCTGTTATGAAAATTATCAAAAAAATCCTTTAATACAAACATTAGGGATTGTTGTAAATAACTAGGAGTTGATCTCCCCAATCCAAACTCCTACTCAATTATTCATGCTGTCGATTGAAAATAAATTTATCTTCTCGGACTTCTTTTTGCTGCTTCTGGAAGAGCAGGCAAAGAAAGCTTCATAGGATTGTTAACATTTCCATCTATATGAGCTCTTGCTCCTGCTTGTGTTGCCTTTAAGAAATCCAATTGATATGATTTTCTTTGATTCCAGAGCTTTTCTCGATCTGAAGCAAGGCTTCTATATATTTGAAGTACTTTCTCGCGATTATGGAACAAATCACGGTTCTTTTCGACTGTTTTTTGGAAAACGTATCTTCTGTCTTTTGTAGCACTAATTAATGTTTCAATTTCTTGTTTTTGTCGTTGTAGAAGTCTTTCTCTTGATTCCATATATGCTTTGTAATGACGAGATTTCGATTGTGATAATTCTCGTTGATAAAGTTTATCTGCTTCTTTTCCCATCTGGTCAGCATCATCAAATTTCTTTGCACGAATATATCTTATTTGCTGATCACGCATTCCTCTTAATTTTGGAGAAATTTTATTAAATTCGCGTAATTTTACATCAGAGTTCCACATTTCAGTATGTTGCTTTAATTCTTGTTCATGACGCTTTTTCATGTTCTCTATTGCTTTTTCTACTCTATCTTCTAGTTTATCTTTTTCATATTCTTTAGAATGATCAAAAATAGTAGTATCTGTCGCAATATGCTGAGCTCTCAATTCTACACAACTCATTTCGTGATTTTGAATCAGATCTTTCATTGATTCTAAGAGTAAGTCTTTGGCTCGAGAAATTGCTTGTTCGACTAGTTCTGCTTGATGAAATTCTTTATTTTTGTAAAATGCATTTCGTTTTTGTTCCAAAGATGCAAGACTTAATTGTAAAATTTCGGGATTTCGAGTAGAAACAGGTGTTCCAAGAAGTATTTGAGTTGCAACAGTTGATGCTAAATCGGAGTTATCGTGAATAAAGAAGTCAATTTCTGGATCTTCTTGTCTTTCACTTATATCTGGCAAAGTATTACTTAATCTTTTGGTTCTTCGTGGAGATTTAGGGCTAAAGTTTCCTGTTGTTGGTGATGGTTGAGGAGTTTGGACGGGATGCACTTGTCTATTACGTTTTGAACCGAAATAAATCTCTGCATTCGTATTTGAGCGAGGGCTTTGATAAACAATGTCAAAAGAATCATCAATATTCACACGTGGAGAGAAATCCGAATCTCCTATAGGCGAATAAAGTTTGAATTCTCCTTCACTCATTTTTTGAATTCGTTAGTAAAAGTGTCGATTTTTTCGATCACAATGTAAAATCCCATTTATGCTCAATGAACTTCTGAATAATACAATTTACCATTAAATTAAAGGGATGACGAGTTACGTAATATCTTTCATGCTAAGGTTTTATCTGCGAGCGAAGTTTTGTGATATTTTCATGCGAATGTATTCACTTGCATATTTTAACATTAATTATTGCTTATTCTTAATGAAAAAACTCAATTTATTACAAGGTATATGGATCAGTCCAAAAATATCTATCTAATTAAGGCAATATTGATTTTTATATTAAACATAAGGATAAATCCGCAATTATTGCTAATTACTTTCAATGTATATGTCGCATGATTGATATTCACACTAAGATAATGAACATTGGAAATACAGTAATACAAAAAAACCATATATGATATAATTAACTTGAACATTTCTTATATATGTGTTAATGTATATCTAAATCTAATGCGTTAACAACTTAGATAATAAATCGGTCAAAATATTTTATTGTTCTTGCGAACATTTAAGAGTTTTTTACCATAGTCATTGCCATTGTTATCCATTTATGAGTCTTTGAGATTCGTATGACGAAATTTATAAAACCAATGGAAATTTCATAGTTTTATGATCATAAAAAAGATGTCTTCTAAAGAGACAAATAAAATAAGGGTTTCGTTTTGCTAAAATTGTCACTTTTATAGCATATTTGTTTTTGGATGTTTTGCGAAACCAAAAAAAAAACTATGATATACAATGTGTGTGTAAAGAAAATACTTTATTTACTAGTTAAAAAATCATTTGGTATTGATCAAGTTATTTTTTCTGGATAAGATATTATATGGATAATTGGATAGAAAATACAATTATATAATCTTGTACCTGGTTTAATTAAGCTAATTGTCATCAGAAACTTGTAATTTTTATGAATTTCAGATTTTCTTTTCATTACTGCTTTTCTTAATAGGTCAAGTTCTTATTTACGTTATAAAGTATGATATTTACAAATATCAAGTTATCATGTTTTTTGAGAAATTATGAGAAACAAACAAAAATGAAAAAGATAGGAATAGTAATGAATAGTGATGTGGGTATAGAAAATGTAAGAGATATGAATGCAAAGCAATCAGTATTTAGGATATTGACCATAGATTTCGAAAAAAAAATGCTGCATATTGAGCGAAAACTATGATTATATTATAAGGCTGTCATTTAAAGCATAATGAAACTATTCCCTTTTCATTTTAATCGAATAAGATAGTAAAGATTTTTGAATTAGCTAGAAACTGATGAGATGTTTTCACAAATCAGATTTTTAATCTCTATAATGCATAATTCACTCAATATCTCAATTTTGATATTGCGAGATATTTTTGCTATCGGTTTCGCAATTTTGACACAATAGCAAGAGGGTTCTATAAGCATTATTATCAACGTAGAATCTGAATATCATATCATAAAATGTCGCAAATCTGACATTTACCCGACCAAATAGCAAAAATAATTGAATACTTTTCGCGAAAACTTTAAAAATCGATAAAAATATGAAATATAGATATTAAAGAGACTTTTTATATAATATTCATAAAGATTTTCCAAAAATATGATACCGCAAAATTAAAAAAGTGACGTCTTGAGTGGAGTCAAATGTCGAAATTGCTAGCTAAATGTTTTTTTAGCGAAATTGCGTATTGTACGTTTTTTTCGCAAAACGAAACCCTTAAATAAAATTTAAACATTCTATCCGACCATAGCAGATTTTACATGCCATTGAAATTCTGATTTCGAACGATATAAACGTACAGATATTTAAAAATAATTGAGAACCCAGACGTTAAGAATCATAATTTAATAATGTTCTCTCGCTCTAAGCAGACAAAGCCTCTAAAAGCAGTCCCTCTGAAGTTCGTTAAGGAGGGTGAAAACCTTGATGTAGCTAACTCAATCATGAGTGTTGAAATGTCTGGTGCATCAAAGACAAAGACACCTAAAGTCAGCAGAACAAGAAAATCTTCTACAATGAGCAGTCAAAGAAGGTCTGCTTCAATCGAAAGAATCTTCGAAAAGCAGAAGCAAAGTGAAACAAAGATCAAGGAAGATCTTCAGAAACACCTTCAAGAATTGAGGGCAAAGGAGCATTCACTCATGGCTCCACCTCCTCCAGTATCCAAATTACCACCTCCCCCGCCCCCACCACCACCACCAGTTTCATTGGCTCCAAAGGTGAGAAAGATTGCTCCTTCAAAGACTATCATACCAAAGGGAGCTGTAAATCAGATGGCCGCAATTTCTCTTGGTGAAATTACAAAGGGAAAATCCTCTCTCAGAAAGGTTCATTCTCAAGAAATACCAGAGGTCAAGAAGGATGAAGATGATGTCTTAGATCTTATCAAGTTTAAATTACAACAAATACGTCCTCACCTTGAGGTCTCATCCGATGAAGATGATGAAGTTGAATCTTCAAGTGATGAAGAATTCTAAGATTCTTCTTATTGAATATTAGATCTTGAAATTCTGTTAAATAGCGTCCATATATTAGATTTATGAATTAATTGTAAAAATATATTTTTCTGAATAATTGATTGTAGAAAATAATGTAATTATTTTATGTGTCAATAATATTGATTGAATTGAGGATTGCTATGGATGAAGAGACGTTTCGATATATGATATGAAATAATGTATAATAAATTAATTTAAAAACATGATGTTTACCATCAAGATTATTCAAGAGTATGTTCCTTGAAATATTCTAATTAGTTCTACTTATCAATTAATGTTTATCAATTAAAAATTTTTTAAAATGTGAAGGTTTCGTAGCTCAGTAGGTAGAGCGTAGTGCTGATAACGCTAAGGTCTTGGGTTCGAGCCCCAGCGGAACCATTTTTTAATTTTTAGAAATTTTTCCATTCAAAAGTCTAAAAATGCTAAATTCTCTCTTTTTGCTGTCAATCAAGAAAGTATATGATAAGAAATTCCAACTCAAGAAGGTTTCAAAGTACATACACTTGATAGCAGCTGCCAAAGACGTGAATTTCATTTTTGCTGAAGATTCATATTTTACGCCCAATGCAACTGCCGACTTTATTCCGCCATCGCAATTGAATTACACTTGGATACCAATGAAAGCTTCGGAAGATTTCAAATTTAATGAAACTAAAAAGAATTGGTTCGCATTTAAAGGAAATGTTAAAATTCCAAAAGAATATTCACCACATAGAGATATTTTACGTCTTACATTTGATGTGGCTGCACATTACAATGTCCGTCGCTGGGATGATGAATTCCCTGCCGGACCAGAAGGACAAATTTGGTTAAATGGAAAACATGTAGGCGCAATTGATGAATTTCATAATTCTCATATTATTACAGAAGGAGGGTTAGTTGAAATTCGTCTTTATACAGGCAGATGCAGTTCAAGTCACGTTTTAAATAAATTTGGAATTACAATTTCAAACAGATGGGCCGAAAAACTATACTATTATCTAAAGGTTACAGAAAAGTTATTGAAAGACATACCAGAAAACAATACACAGCGCGACCAAATAATAGATATCTTAAATGAAGTTTTGCCAATGATAGACATCAGAGAAATAACATGGCCGATTGTATTACCAATTGTACGATATCATGATCGTGATTTGAGCAATTTCTTCGGTTCTCTTCCAAATGCTTTAGATAAACTCATGAAATTACTTAAAACATTGCCTCAGCATACAGAAGACGATCCATTTATTAATGTTATTGGCTACTCACACCTTGATTCAGTCTGGGAATGGCCATTTAACATTTCTCATTACAAATTCCGAAATACAGTGTCATCAATGATCCATTTATTCGAAAATCCACCAACAGACGAGATACCCAAGTGGAGATTCCTCGCTACATCGCCATTACATTATAAATGGCTCGAAAAAGATGATCCAATTTTATTTGAGAAGTTGATGGAATACGCAAAGAAGGATAGAATAGAAGTAGATGGTCTAACATTTGTAGAAATGGACACGAATTTACCAAGCGGAGAAGCTTTGGTAAGACAAGTTTTATATGGCGTCAAATACTTCGAAGGAAAGCTTGGATTCAAGCAATCAACACTTTTCCTACCTGATTGTTTCGGTTTTTCACCGTCAATTCCTCAAATTTTGAAGAACGCCGGAATTGAAAATTTCGTAACTTCAAAAATTTCATGGAATGAGTACAACAGCTTCCCACACCATACATTCATATGGAAAGGAATCGATGGCTCCCAAATTTACTCCCATTTCATCACAACTCCAAGCAGCTGGTCGTACCAAGCATTCACTTACACCGGATTATGTAACATGAGGGAAATTGTTGGAACATACTCTTGTTACAACGAAAAATTCATCAATGGTGTTGCATTGCATACTGCTGGAAATGGTGATGGCGGTGGAGGACTCACTGAAGAGATGCTTTACAACATGGAAGTCCTAAACAAACTTCCGAAAATTGAAGGAGTTCCTCACTTAAAATTCAATAAACTCTCAGAAATTTTTGAGAAGATCAAAAAATACCAAGAAAAATTACCACTTTGGGATGGGGAATTATATCTAGAATATCATAGAGGAACAGCAACAACACAAGAACTTGTCAAGAAACAGAACAAAATGTTAGAACAAACTTTACATAATGTTGAATGGTTGTTATCAATTTATAAGTCACTTTTCTGGCAAAATAATGTCACTTTTTATAAAGAAGCGATAGAAGAATTATGGGAAGAAACAATGATGTTACAATTCCATGACAGTTTGCCAGGAACATGCATCAATGAGGCAAATAATGATATTGTTATGAAAGGCCAAAACACACTAAGAAAATTAAACAAATTACAAAAGAATTTGACAGAAAAATTGACAGAAAAGATGAAAGTTTCCACAGAAGAAAACACAAAAATTTTGTTCAATACTTTGCCATTTGTAAGAAAATTGAATGGAATAACAGTTCCTTCTGGCGGTTGGACATTTACAACTACAGAATTTCCATATATTGACTACAAAGTAGACATGTATGAGATTCTTGAATCCAGCTCTGAATACAAGAAGAATGAATTCAATTTCTCTTTCATTGAGCCTAAAAATGACATAAAAGTTTCTTCAACTGACAATGAAACATTTTCTGTTTTGACTGACGAGTTGAATGTTACATTTTCTAAGATTAATGGTTCTATATTACAGATAAGGAGTTTGAAGACAAAAAGACCATTTTTACGTGGTCCTTCCAATATGTTTGAATTTTATGAAGACAGATCCATTCATTGGCCAGCGTGGGATATACAGTTATTCCACAAAGAAATGCCTTTGAAAGCTCCGAAATTCTTGAACTATTCAATTGAAAACAACTCAATCCAACTGAGTTACATCATTTGCGATGAACCTGAATGCAACATCGAAAACGAAAACTGCCATGGATACAAGAACACAAGATATCTAAAGAGAAAATCTAAAACAGAAGCTAAAAACGAAACTAAAATTGAAAAAGTTTCAGAAATTAATGGAACTGATTCTAAAAATGTTACAGAACTTAATGAATCTATTACAGAAAACAATACAGAAAATAAAGTTAATGATGAGAAAATTAATAAAAATATTACTGAAATTATCGAAGACAATGAAGATAAAAATAATAAAGAAATTAAAGAAAAAAGTGACGAAAATAATAAAGAAATTAAAGAAAAAAGTGACGAAAATAATAAAGAAATTAAAGAAAAAAGTGACAAAGACGATAAAGATAATGATAAGAAGAATGAGACAGAACATTCAGGAGAGAGTTGTGAAGATAAACCAGATGAAGAAAATGACTCTTTCAAGGTTACAATTATCAATCAAACAATTTATTTCAGAGAAAAAGGTGTCATTGATTTTGTCACTTTTGTTGATTGGCATGAACACGATAAACTTCTTAAGATATTATATCAAACAAACATCAGATCCAAGAGTGCCAAATACGGCACACAATTCGGTCATCACGAAAGACCAACGCATGGAAATTTGCCACAAGACATGGCGATGTTTGAAGTCAATGGAAAATGGGCTGATTATTCAGATTCCACAGGAGGAATCTATATAACATCTGATTCTAAATATGGAAACGATATCCACGAAGGTGACTTGAGAATGAGTTTGTTGAAAGCACCACTTCAAACTGATATGTGGGCAGATTACGGAAGAAGAGAATTCACTTACAGAATGATGTTCCATGATAAAGAAGAAAATATTGAGTTCCAGAGACAGAATCTGGATCTTGTAACAGATTTTGTTATAGCTAACTATGAACAGCCAAATACAACATTGAGTTTGGACGATTTGCCAATGGAGGCACAATTTGTGAATATTACAGGAAATGTCATTTTAGATACCCTTAAATTGAGTGAGGACGAAAAAGGAATTGTTGTCAGAGTCTTCGAAGCGAATGGTGGATGGACAGAGTGCAGTTTATCATTCCCGTTGTTGAACAGAAAGAATTGGAAGATTGTTCCTTGCAATTTGCTTGAAAAAGAAGTTAAATACGAATTTAATGTAGACGAAAGCAAGTCTTATCTTTCTTTCTCTTTCGAAATAGAAACATTTAAGATATTATCTTTCAAACTTGAACGTGTTGAGGAATAAAATTTATGTTTTATAAATAACAGTGTTAATCGATTTCAAAACTTTTTAATCACCTAAACTACAGGATATTTATAAGAATGCTGATTCTCAAGTATAAAATTAAATTGCTGTCAACAAAATTTAAAGGTAACTAAACTCCTTTCGCCGATCCGATTTGCTCCATATTTAAAATATAGCTTGCATATGTAGAAGAAAAGCTAATTTTGAAGTACGCCCGAAATCCACCAACAGGATTTCGAGCTACTAAAAAGGTACTTTTAAATGTGATTTTTTTTATAAAAAATTAAATTTATTTTAAGATCAGACTAAAAACTAATTTTATGGAAAATCTATATCGACAAATTTATTACTTATTGGGTATATAGATTTTTTGATTATGGCGATTATGTCTGATATGCTTCCAATAAGCCAAAACACATTTCATACTGATTTCTATAAAAGGTATCTTTATTATAGAAGTGTAAGCTATATCTGTTTGTTTTTTTATTATAACAAATTCAAAATTCTCTTATAAGGACTAGATGAAATCTGTATTATTAAATCATTACCTAAATGAAGGTTCAAATAGAAAGTAAATATCAATTTATATGATACTGAAACCAAATAGTTCTTTTAATAAAAGATAACACGCTGAAAATTATTGAGTATTTGCAAATCTCAAAAATCAATTGGTGAATTTGGCTCAACTTTTAAAATTATAACATCCATATCAAATCATAAAAGCAGACAAAAATTAAAGCCAAACCTATCGGCCAATTTTTTTTGATATTTTGATTTTTGAGGTATACTTTTAAAAGTGGATTTAAAGCACTTATGAAAAAACATTAACTTCTGTCGTTATGATTATTGATTTAGACAATAATGATTTTAATCTTTGATTATCAAAACACTAAAGTCATCTTTTTAACATTTGCTTGGTAGCATTAACTCAAGTCTAAAGTACTATTTTATGTGGCACTCTTAGAATTTTTGTATTCATTGTACACGCTGAAATAGTACCATTAAAGTTATGGCGGACTTTCAAAAAATAGTTTGGTCACCTTTCAAAATTTCAAAGAAATGTTGGTTTTTGCCTCACATCTAACGAAATTTTTATAATACTCATATTGACGAATCATTTTTAAAAGTTTTTAAAATTATTGGATTCGATCAAATCTGAATTAATTTTGACAACTTTTGATAGAAATTTTATATTATGGGTATTACTCTATAAATGATCTTAAATAATATTAACGATATCATGATTTTGTCAAATTTAACTGAAACGTTAGTATTGAAATCAATTATGATGCATTCAATATTTTATTGTATAATTTTACTAATGGCTGTAATATAAACAAATTGATATTTTGATCGTTGACACAGTAGATAAATTGAAAAGACTATCATAAATATTTAAGAGGTGTTGTAAAAAGATCGAAAAGTTTCATCTCATGTATTATCGAATTTCTTTGATAATTTCATCAAAAATTTATTAACAAGATTTTATAAGAATAGCATAAGTTGATATACAAGCTATGTATACTATGATTATCATATGATCTATTTTCAATGGGTAATTTTAAGGGTACAGTCAAAAACCTTTTTCGTATGAAAGTCATTCCCTAAATTCGAAATGGATGCCTTCTTTATCCTAATCGAAACGTTTTTTCTGACACTCTCAAATTATTTTATACGTGGTCATCGAATAAATTGCAAAATATGGATATATAATTGTTGTTTATGCTTGGTTTTAATTTTGATAATTGGCCGGCATCTCAATATAATTTAAATATATCTGAAATTAATTGAGACACCTTTAATTTCATAAAAATTTTTATTTTTAATGAATCTCGTGTCTTTTTCATTCAGTGAATCCAAATTTATGAACGACGTATCATATGTATCAAAAGCAACAAAATATCCACGCAGACCTTTGACGTTTCGCGAAAAAATAAAACATTTCTTCTCTGGTGAATATTGCATTAAATACCAACCTCCGGAAGAAATTTCTGGCAAAAAGACACTGGTTCTTGACCTTGATGATACTTATTTCACGCATCACTTAATCCACCAAACGGAAATCTTCATTATTTCAGATACAACAAGTATTACATTATATTACGTCCAGGACTTAAGAAATTTTTAGATTTTTGCCAGAAAAATTATGACCTCTTTATCTTTACAGCTGCTGAACAAGAATACGCAGATTTTATAATTAACCGTATTTGCCCTTACGTTACAAAGGATCACCGTCTTTATCGTGATTCTTGCTATAAAGAGGGTGGGTTCTTAATTAAGGATCTCAGCTTATTCCAACGTTCTCCAACAGATATTATTCTCATTGATGATTCATCGAATACTTTCATTGCCAACCGCGATAACTGCATTCAAATCGAGCGTTGGACAGGTTTTCACGGCGATAGAAATCTTAAGTCTGATATTCTCACGATTCTTCAAAGCTGTTTAGAAGCTAAAGATGTGCGTCCAGTTTTATCACATTCACGCACTCTCAGAAGACATAGTTATGCTTTTGCCTTCGATTGATTTGTTTGTTTATATATTTTTGTTTTTGTTTGTAAATATTACGGATTGTTTTTAGAATTACCTCTTCTTTATTTATATTTTCAAAACTTCTCTGACTCGAACGAGAATGGAATAATTTTTTTTTACCGAGTCAAAATCTCGTTGAAGTCATAATGTTAATATATTATAGATCTTTATTGGATTTAATAAAGGATTCTTCATTTATTGTTGATCAACGTGCTTTTATTTTTTTGGAATAATTTTCACGGTTGAAACAAGTTATCTGCTAACCAATAAGATAACCTCCCAAAAATCTATATTTCAATCAATTCTCGTTGAAATCTTCAAGAATAAAAATATAAAAGAAACCAATAAAGCAATTTAATTACAAACAAACTTGCTTATACTAGATGGCTTCCTGATAATAAGATCCTTTTTTTGTTACAAAATTTCATTCTTTTGAAAACAACCCTGTAAAGGATGAAAACAATAAGTACTATTACTACTACAAAGCAAAGTTTTGTGAAAAAGTCAGATGAATTATATTTCTTCCACGAAAGACGTTTTCCTTGTTCAATGTTATCTACCCACTTAGACACCTCTAAGTATGTTGGTTTATCACTCTTCAATTGACAATACCTTCCGTTGCGTTCATCAATAAAAACAATAATATTTTTGCCTGTTAGTCCAAATTCCTTTCCAAATTCTGTCTCTGGTCCGTATATTTCGTAATATGTCTTATACTTTGCTAAACTTCTTTCGAAAATTGGAAGAAATGCTTGTAATTTATGTTTAGAGTCAAAGCGTAAGTAAACGAATTCACTACCTGATAACATTAGTTTTTCAACTGCAGGTTTAGAGAATTTGAAAACTCTTTTTGGTGAATTTTTCTGGATAAAAGTACGGTAAGCTTCTGGAGACATTTCTTCAGAGTACGTAATAATGTTTTCTCCATACATTTTCAGTTCAGCACTTCCATATTCAGTAAATGCTAGATATAGATTTGGAATACTAATTTCTTCTTCAAGAAACATTTTTCTGTAGGAATCTAAGTTTCCTTTTTCTTTGTAAGGAAGTGTAAGTGAATAAACTGGATTTGTTTTGGATGCCTTTAAGTGATTTAATTCAAAAGTTGAAAAATTGAAAGGATAATATGGCATTTGGTTCATAAATTCTTTAAGAACAGGAATTGTTCGCTCGCCATTATGCATGTATATTAATCCTATTGCTGATTCAACCCAAAGAACTCTTGGGAATAATCCATTTGTTAAATTCTTGCATAATTTTTCATTTGAATGGCATTCCACTTCTCCAAATTCTACGTCTGTATTGTTTTTGTTTAGTTCAACGAATTCTGTCCATGTTGGTGCAAATTTTTGTGAATGTGGGCAAAAAGTACTATAAACCTTGATACACATCCTCTTATGAGAGCCTGTAGTTGAATCAAAATTGTTTTCGTTCAACTGATAGTATTCAGCTATGGAAAAGAGAAACGGAATCATTAAATTTTTGTTTGAAAAATAAAAAAATCTATTTACAAAATTACCGAAATCATTGTTCCTTATTCTAGATTTAAAATATTAACTTAAAATTTCAAAATCTAATGAGTGATGAAAAGAATATGGATCCCCAAAAAATGAAGGTGCTGCTAAAGCAGAAAACCGCAAGAATAAGGGATTTAGAGAAGATGCTTTCTCAAATGAATGCTCCTTCAGTTGATAATAGTTCAAAAATAGAAGAACTTGAACAACAACTTGAAGATTCTAAGGCATTGATATCTGCACTTCAAGAAAGTGTTAGCCAAAAGAATGCAGAAATATCAAGGTTATCTTTAATTTCTCAATCAAATGCAAGAAACCAAAATTCGGATTTAATTGCAAGTTTACAGAAGAAAATTGCAGAACAACAGCAAGAAATAGAGTCTCTTAACAATGAATTATGGAATGATGATCCAAATGAAAGCGAAAAAGACATAGAAATTCAAAATCTTAAATCTCAAATTCAAAAACTCACTAAAAACCAACCGCAAGTATCGCCGGCATCTAATAATGCAGAACTTGATACATTAAGGAGCCAATTGGCCGAAATGACTCAAAAAACAAAAGAATTTTCTAACCTTGAAATAATTATCAAAGAACTTCGTGCAGAAAACGACCAACTAAACGACGAATTGATGAACGACCAAGCAGAACTCGAAGAAAAGGACGCAGAAATACAAGAACTTAAAGAACAAAACGAAGGCGCATACAAAATGAAATATGAAACTGCAACAAAGACAATTGAGTTGTTACAGAAGCAAATATCAGCTTCACAAGAAATTTCCAAAGAAAATGATGCTCTAAAGTCGAAATTGGCCGAAAAAGACAAACAATTACAAAATTACAATGATATGAATTCATTAATCAAAGAACAGAGAGAACAAATAGAGAAACTGAGTAAAAACATTGATGATTCCTCTGATTTCGCTGAAAATGAAAAGAAATATCAAAATGAAATCCAAAATTTGAAGAAACAAATAGAAGAACTCCAAGAAAATGACAATGCATGGGGTGACATCGATGATACAGATGAAATCAAACAAGAAAATGAGAATTTGAAGAAAGAAATTGAAAATCTTAAAAATCAAAACAAAGAAATCGGAAATTTACAGCTGCAAATAGAGAAACTGAAAGATATAATCAAAGAAAAGGAGTCAGACAATGAAAGTTTGTTGCAGGAACTCGAAAAATCTGAAAATAATTTTGAAATTGAGAAAATTAAGAAAGAAAATCAAAATTTGCAGACAAAAGTCAAAGAAATGCAAGAAACAATTGATGAATTAGAATCAAATGCTTGGAATGATGATGGAAATGATGAAATAAAACAAAATTTGGACAAATTAAAACAAGAAATCAATAATCTCAAAAAAGAAAATGAAAATCTCCAAAAGCAAGTTGAAGAAAATGAAGAAAATGCTTGGAATGATGGAAATAATGATGAAATTGAAGAAATTAAACAAAATTTGGAGAAATTACAAAAAGAAAATGAAAATTTGAAGAAAATTAATGAAGAGAAATCTAATGATGATGAAATAAATAAACTCAAACAAGAAATCAGTGAATTAAAGAAAGAAAATGAAGAACTTCAAGAAAATCTTTGGAATGAAAACGAAAATGAAGACAATCAAGAAGAAATTTCTAATTTAAAGAAAGAAAATGAAAAATTAAAACAAAATATCAAAGAACTTCAAAAACAAATAGAAACAAATGAAGAAAATCTTTGGAATGAAAATGAAAATGATCTTAAACAAAAAGTGACAGAATTAGAAAGTGAAGTGAAAAATTCTGACAAATTAAAAGAAGAAAATAATAAACTAAAGAAAGAAAATGAAGAATTGAAGAAAGAAATTGATGATTTGACAGAAAATGTTTGGAAAGATGATGAAGATAATCAAGAAACAGAGAAATTAAAACAAGAAATCAATAATCTCAAAAAAGAAAATGAAGAATTAAAGAAAGAAATGGACGAACTCCAGGAAAGCACGTGGAATGAATCATACACTGAAGAAAGTGATGAGTTGAAACAAAAACTAAAGGAATTGGAACAAAAATACAAAGATACAGAGAAATCTAATGAAGATTTGAAGAAATTACTTGAACAAGTTGATAATCTACAAAAAGAAAGTGAGAAAATCAACCAAGATCTAGAGAAACAAATCGAAGAAAACCAAGAAAATTCTGATGTCGATGAAAATGAAATTCTTAAACAAAAAGTGACAGAATTAGAAAGTGAAGTTAAAGAAAAAGAGAAATTAAATGAAGAATTAAAGAAAGAAAATGAAGATTTGAAGAAAGAAGTTGAAAATCTTCAAGAAAATGCTTGGAATGAAACAGAAAATGAAGAAATCAAAGAAAAATTAGAAAAAGAAAATGAAATTCTTCAAAAACAAGTTGAAGAAAACAACAAAACACTCAATGATTTGAAACAAAAACTTTCTGAATCAGAAAATGAAAAATCTGTAAAAAATTCTGAAAATGATAAATTGAAACAAAAAGTGACAGAAATAGAAAGTGACTTCAAAATTTCGAATGAAAAATCATCAAATCTTCAACAAAAATTAGATGTTTTGAGTCAAAATCTGGAGAAATTAGAAAAAGAAATGAAGATTTCTTCAGAAAAGAACCAAAAACTTCAAAAAGAAAATTCTGACTTACAAAATCAGTTCACTTCACTTCAGAAACAAAATTCTGACAACCAATTAAAGATTACTTCACTTTTGAAAGAAAAATCCGAATTAGAAAACCAGTTGAATGAAAATTCGACACAAAACTTGGAATCTAATTCTTCTGAAAAAGAAATTCGAGATTTGAAAGAAAAAATCACGAAACAAAACGAGAAAATCAAAGAACTCGAGGAAGAAGTAAAGAAAGGATACCAAGATTTGTGGGGAGCTGATTCTGATGATGATTCAAAAGAAAAAGACGAAGAAATAAAGAACTTGAAATTGGAAATCGAAAAAATCAACAAAAATCATTTGGAAAAGATTGGAATTGTGGAAAAAGAAAAGAAGAATGAAATAGAAAAGAGAGAAAACAAAATAAAGAAGATGAGAATTGATTTGCAAAAGAAAGATGAAGAAATAAACAAACTAAACAAAGAAATTTCTCAAAACAAAAAAGATGAATGGTCTACTGTTACTTTTGGAGATGACGAAGAAATCTCTTCTCTAAAGAAAGAAAACGAACGAATTAAACAAGAAATCACAGAAAAACAAAAAGAAATTGAAGAAATCCAACAAAAACTTTCTAAATTTACAAAAGAAAATGAAGAAAAATCATCTGAAATTTCTCTTTTAAAGAAAGAAAATGAAGAAAAATTATCTGTTTTGGAGAAAGAAAATGAAGAGTTAAAGCAGAGAATTGAAGAATTTAACAGTTTCAAGAAAGAAAATGAAGAAAACAAACAGAAAATATATAATCTTGGCGAAGAAACTAAGAAGAAATTGAATGAAATTTCTGTTTTAAAGAAAGAAAATGAAGAGTTGAAGCAGAAATTAAATGAAATTAATGAAGAAATGAAACAGAAAATTGTTGATTTTAATGAAAAATTCTCTAATTCTAAGAAAGAAAATGAAGAAAAACTCTCTGTTTTAAAGAAAGAAAATGATAATTTGAAGCAGAAATTAAACGAATTTAACAGTTTCATGAAAGAAAGTGAAGAAAACAAACAGAGATTAAATGATCTTGGTGAAGAAACCAAGAAGAAATTATCTATTTTAAAGAAAGAAAATGAAGAAATGAAACAAAACATTTCTGATTTAATGAAAGAAAATAAGGAATTAAATGAAAGACTTTCTAAATCTATCAAAGAAAACGAAGAAAACAAAAAGAAACTAAATGAAAACGAATTGAACTTCAAACAGGAAATTGAAGAAAATTCTCTGTTGAAGAAAGAAAATGAAGAAAACAAACAGAAACTAAATGAAATAAATCAAGAAATGAAGAAGAAATTGAACGAAATTTCCAATTTAAAGAGAGAAAATGAAGATTTAAAGAGAAGTTTGAATGGAAATGAAGAAATCATTGAAGAAATGAACGAAATCAACAAAGAAAATGATTCTATAAAGAAAGAAAACAAAGAAATGAAACAAAATTTAATTCCTAAATTACAAAAAGAAAATGAGAAACTAAATAATGAAATTTCTCAAATTCAAATAGAAAATGAGAAATTAAAGAAGCAAATAGAAGAAATGAAACAGATTTCAAATGAAATTTCTCAATTAAAACAAGAAAATGAAGATTTAAAGAGAAGTTTGAATGGAAATCAAGAAATCAACAAAGAAAATGATGATTTAAAGAAAGAAAATGAGAAATTAAATCAAAAAATGGAAGAAATGAAGAAATCATTAGTTGATAAATCGAATCTGAATGAATTACTAAAGAAATTGCAGAAAGAAAATGAAGAATTATCAATTTCTTTGTCACAAAAGCAAAAAGAAAATGAGAAAATCAATGAAGAATTGACTAAAAAACAAATTGAAATCGAAAAACAAAAAGATCTTGAAACGAATTTGAATAATTCTGATGCAAATAAAGACGAAATGATTGAATTATTGCAGAACGAAAACGAAGAAACAAAAAGAAATAATGAAGAATTATCATTATTACTTGAGAAATACAAACACGATGTTGATTCTTTGAATGCGAAAAATCTTCATCTTATTAAAGAAAATGAACAAAAAGAAATAACAATAAATAATTTGAACACAGAAAAGAAAGAACTTGGGAAGATAAATAAACAACTGGAACAATCCAAATCTATTCTGGAATCACAGAAAGAATACGAAGAAATGAAAGTCAAACAAGTAGAAAAACCAAAACAAATCAATGCAAATGATATCAAAGAAAAAGAGAAGATGAATGACTGCATGATGAGAATGCAGTATTTGCAGTCTGCTTTGATTCAGTTCTTCCATCAAAATACTTCAACACAAAGGAAGATGATTAAAGCAGTTTTGAGTGTTTCTGGATGTTCTCAAGCTCAAATATCTGATGCTGAATACGCATGGGATGTTAATCACTCAATTCCTTTGCTTTCATATTTTAACTTATAAATTTTTTTTATCTTTATTATGTAGAATAATAAAAATTTATGTATATTATTAAAAGTATTATTATAATGTTAATTTTTGATGACTCAGCCCCAATTGTTATTAATGTGAATTGAAGTTAAACAGATTTATGTAAACCCTTAACTTTTTTTTACATTTCCTTTCACTGTATAATAATCAATTAAAAAAAACTCCCAATTTGAAAAGAGCTTTACTACGACCAAAGAGCAAAGAATTTCTTTAAAATTTTAAAATCATAATTTCTTGAGAGTTAAGATATCGTCTATAGGACACCCTTAACTTATACGTGTTCTCCTTCGACTTCATTTTGTATTTATATCAGATTTATAAGTGCCTGAATTAAATGTGTTAGCTTGAATTTAATAAAATCTTTTGTATTTTTGTATATTGTTTATTGATCAAAAAAAATGGCGTGTTTACTAAGTAAGACTAAGTAATAAACTTGCCATGGGAATAGCCTGATAGAAATAATGATATGGTGAGTTGCCCTTCGAGCAGTGGAATAAGTATGGAATGAAAATTGGACAAATAGATGTACTCTCGAGTCGTGTGATGTTAAGATTATAAAATGTCTTATAAACATATTGTTCTGTAACGAAGATAGTGATAGTGACTCGTTGAATGATTCTGATTGTTGTATCATGTGAATAATCATTTATTCAATTATAATTTACACATGCATGAATCAAATCTAATGAATTTTCATAAAAGAAGTTAACACCATTGAGATAAATTGATTTGATGTTTGTTGAATTGAAAAATGCGCGATCACGCAATGAAATTGTGTCTAAAAATAATGTTTTCAGTTCATTGTTATCAGAAAATGCTCCATTCTCGATATGACACCTTCGAAGATAAAGCTCTGATATCTTGTTGTTTCTGAATGAATTGTGTGGAATAGATGAGAATGTGTTGTTCATTGTTAATGTTCCGCTGATGTTGCATGATTCGAATGATGATTCACCAAGATTTGTGCATGAATGGAAGTTGAATGTTGTGATTGATGAACATAGCATGAATGATTCATAGCCGATTGTCTTGATGATGTTTGTGTTGCTTATCTTGAGATTTGTGCATCCTTTGAATGTTCGATCTTGAACTGTAACTAAGTTGTTCGTGTTGAATGATTCTAAACTGCGACAATTCATGAATGATTCTTTCCCAACTGTGTTGACTGAAGATGTATCTGGGATGTGGATGAGATTGTAACAGTTGCGGAATGTTCCATCATATATGATGTTCATCGTCCATGATGGAACATTGAATGTCTCCATGTGATGGCAGTTATCGAATGCATTAGGACCTATTTCAATCAATGTTGTCGATGTGAATGTGATGAGTGATGTGCATCCTGAAAATGATGAATCCGAGATAGATGTCAGCATAGGAAGATTGATCGACTTGAGAGATGTGCATCCTTTGAATGCATTTGATCCGATATTTGTAACACAAGATGAATTAACTTCGATCATACCAACGCAATCTTTGAACAAATTTTGTGGTATTTCTGTGATGAATGATGAATTGAAGTTCTTCAAAGATAAGCATCTTTCGAACGGCAAATTTCCTAATATTTTAACATTGAATGTATCAATATCAGCCAAACGAAGACAACCATAAAACGCCGAATTTCCTAATAATGTTATATTTTGGCATAAAACAGATACTAGATTTTTACAATTTTTAAAGCACTCATTACTAATCTCTGGGACCGATATTGCAGAAAATCTTACAAGAGAAGAACACGAACTAAATGTATTATATGATAATGTTGTATTAATAATTGAATTGAATGATTTTAATGCGAAACAATTTGAAAATACAGAATTTCCCAATTGATAAATATTTGATGCATTTATGGATATTAGTTTATAACAATTCAAAAATGCTCCATTTCCGATTCTTGAAATTCCGTTTGCTTCAAAGCTTTCAAGATTATAACAGCCGGAAAAACAAGAATCCAGTATTATATTTATTCTGGTTGCTACAAATTTCTCGAAATTAATGCATCCTCTAAAGCATTCAGTTCCGATAATTGGAATTGTTAAGGGTGCACACGAGAGGATCATGTAAACTTCAGAATTTAGAACCTTATTTTTAGGCATTATCTTGGCTACCTATTTAGGCTCGAAAAGCAAAAAATATCAAAAAATACAACTTGACTCCATTATGACCCTTTCATGGAGGTAGTTTTTATCCGCTAGTATTTTCCCTTTGAATCTCTTTACAATTCGAAATCAAATTCAAAACTCAGTAGAAGAAAGGAAGAATCGACTTACTACGGTTGTAATACGAATAAATACATATATTTAATTATTTTTATTTACATAATAATTGTTTGAAGCTCATATTCCAACAAATTTTTAAATAAAAACATTAAAATGTTGAAAATGTTCATATATTTTAATAGGGTTTTGGCACTTTATTGAGGAATTACTACATACATAGTCGAACTGAACTTGATATTTTGAAATTTAAATTATTTATCAAAATTAAAATTTAACTCGAAATTTATAATTATTTAGTCATATTTTGCATAATTCAAAAAAAAAAAAAAAAAAAAAAAAAAAAGGTAGTGGGGCCTCCAGGCGCGTTGCGCCCTCTAGCCCTGAAGTTTTTTTTTCTTGGGATGGGCCTCCAGGCACTTCGTGCCCTCTAGCCCATAAAAAATTTTTGAGGACGAGCCAGCCGTTGACTTTTTTTGTAGAGCACTCAAAATAGTATAACTTTGTCCGGACAAGTAAGGGTCTATCGTCGCTACAGGAAAAGTTACAGGCGTTCCAAGGAAGTATACTTTGAGAAGACTTTCCCCCTTATAGAATGAGATAGGACCGTTATTTTACAAAACTGACAACACTTTGACCGAGTAGTTTTTTGAGCTGAACAAAAAGTGTCATATAAACATCTGTCAAAAACCATTTTTAACTTCACTTAAAATGCCACGTAAGCTACGTAAGAATATACGTAAGAGGAAGAGAGCATTGAAACATCCAATAGTAAAACTGACACCACAACAACAGTTGCAACAACAAATGCTGAATGACCCCACTATGTTGCAACAAATGTCAAGCAACCCTATGCTTTTAAACCGAGTTTTTGGTGCACAGAGTGGAGGTTTAAGAGCGGCACTTTTAGCGAAAATGGCAGGCTATGGTGGAGCTGCAGACGGAACAGCCTATAACCCTCAAAGTCAAATGAATTTGAGTTCACTCAAAAATCAAATATCAGATGTCAAAAAGTCAAACATAGACATACAGAAGCAAATAAGTGAAAACGAAAAGAAACTAGAATATGACAGACACACAAAGAAACTCAATGAGTTAAACGTAGAGAAAAGAAGAAAGAAGAAAACAACTGAAAGAACTAAGTACAGAGAATATGCGAAAAAAGTGTCAGAAAAAGCAGCAGAAGTAGCAAAAATGGAACAAGATGTTGTAAATTTGAAAAACCATACTACTCAATATAAAGTACTGAAAGATGAAGAGATAAAACAAAAAGCCCTGAAGACATATATGGATAGCGATGAGTATAAAAAAGAAGTTGAAGCAAATGTAAAGGCAGAAAAACTTTACAGTTGCAAAACCAAACCGTACAGTATGAAAACTTAGCACAAGAAAGTAAAAATAACGACGCAGCCATGCAAAAGGCAATGAAAAGCGCAGAATATATAAAAGCTAACAATGACTGGTTAGATGCCCAAGCCAACGCTAAAGCAGCCCAACTTATAGGGTCAATAAGGACAAAAATACAAGCGGACGAAGACAGTTCAAATGAAGCTTTAATGAATGCTGACTTTAAGAACGCCTTCGAAGCTCTTCATAGTAAGGTGAAAAAAGTGAACGACTTCTCATCTGGAAAGAAACTGAAGTCTGAAGGTTTCGACAAAGAGTTAAGAGAAGTAGCACAAAATATGACGAAAATAACAGATGCAGCAACGAGACAGGCAGTTCAAAGTGCCTATGACGCCGTTAGAGCAACTGTTGTGGAAAGTCAAGAAAAAGAGTTACAACAGACCAAAACAGACCTAGTAAATGCTTTCTTAAAAACGAAAAGTCAGGTAGGACACTATGCTGCAGATGGAACATATGTGCCAGCTGGTGGAACTTATATACTAGCTAGTGGAACCTATATACCACCAAACCCTCCAAGAGAAGTACCTGCACCAGGACTACCTAAAACATTTACATCGTCACATGGACACAGACACAAGCATGCACCAAAACCAACACAACAACCAACAGTTCAAAATCCAGCACAACAACAACAACCAGCACAACAACCACCTCCACAACCAGCACAGCAACCAACAGTTCAAAACCCTGCACAACAACAACCACAAACAGAGCAAGGACATAAAAGAAGTAGAGAACAAGGAAACCAAGATTTCTTAAAAATGCTTAAAGAAGACTATGGTTACCCAGATACTCTTGACTTTAGTGACAGATATAAAGAAGCTATTAGAAAGTTCAAGGAAGGAAATACTGACCCGAACCTATTTAGCTTTATGGCTCAGCACCAAACGGGATATAATTTCAAACCTGGAAAATACAAGCTCGCTAAGGGATATGATTTAATAGCATATCATCCAAATGACATGACTGAATTTACTCCGAGATATTTGGTGTCAGAGCTAAATGACAATTCAACTCTCTTCATGAAACGCGTAAAAAATAAAGACGGAACGAAAGAAGAAAGGCTTATGAGTCCGATGACTAGATAGAACTTTTTAAAAACGGTCTCGGAATATATGAAATGCCAGCAGATAGGTACAAGAAACTCCACAGGAAGAAGTTCAGATACAACCAGACATGAAAAATAGTTCAGCAAAAACAGCTAGAAGAGCCTGAAGGAAACGAACAAGTCCCTCCTTTGGAAACTAACTTCACAGAACCAGATGAAGATTTGGAACAGCCGAAAAATCTTAACCCTCAACAAGAGTATGAGGTGAATATGGAATCTTTCAAGAGTCTACAGAAAAATTCGGCTGACATGTAGAAGAAGAATCGAAAATGTTTGCCGACATACAAAAGACTCCAACACCAGATGAAAATAATTCAGCATAGAATGGAAGTACTGAAAGAAATGTACACAAATACAACAACCCTTTTTACTTACGAGCATATAACGTTCAATCTTTGGAATGAACTCGGTGAAAATAAAAGGTTAAATTTCAACAAAAACATATAGAAATGAAACATTGTTTAAAGTTCATTCAGAACCTAGCCAATATGGAAACAAACCTACTTTTGTTTCTGCAGACTATGGAACTACAATGAGATGGGGTCATAAAGCTAACCCGGATAGGTGGTTCATAAACTTACAACCACAATTCCAAGAAGTTGTAGACGCAATGGAAGTCAATGGTGAACCAGATTTAGCTGGTATTTCAGCGCGGCTTTAATGCCATTGAAAGATATGAAACATGCAGATATTTTGGACCAGTATGAAATGAACATGGCTGATGGAAATATAACACCTGACGTTCTAGAACATTTATCAAAGAACTACACAGAACCATAGAGATGGTATATTTGGTGAAGAGTTTAGAAAGAAAGTTAGGGATAGAGAAGGAGAGAACCTATTGTACATGACCTTGCAAACGAAAGTTTACAAAATGTCATAAAAACTTACTTTGCAGACAATGAACCGAGAAGGGATGAATATTTAAGAAAACTCAAATGGACAGTACCAAATGAAATGTTAGTATTGAAAAACATGTTCCTTGACAAAATAAAACCAACTACAGAAATAAATGACGCAAGACTGAAACGTTGGGTAAAAGCTTTCCCATTCACAAAAGATATTGTTGGTAACATGGAAAGAAAACCAGAATGGCTACAAGAACATATATTTGGAAAACAAGCTTATTCCATATGGACAAGCTCTTTTGAAGAGCTTGAACCGGAAACTCAGAAAGAGTCATGCAAACAATACGCGAAGACTCAAATACAAACTATGACAAACTCTTTCTAGGATATAGGATACCTGAGATGGGCGACCAGAGCCCAAAGGCAAAAAGGACATGGGAAATTTACAACATACTAGGTGAACATGAGGCAAAGATGCTACAACTTAAAGCAGAGGGCAAGTTACCAAAAGCGACACCAAAGAAGAAGAGAAGAGTAGAACAAAGTGAAAGTAGTGAAGAAGTAACTTCATCTAGTGAAAGTAGTGGCAATGAAGGAAAAAGAAGAGTTAAAAACTCAGTCAGGAAGAAAGTAAAGCTTGGTCCACGTGGGTTCTATTATGACACATAAATCCAACTATTCTATATTTTTACCCATATGAAATGTCGCCGCTCAGAATATAACGCCAACAGTTTTGGATGCCATGAACGGAAATGTTTCCGAATGGTATAACGAATGCGACAATGCCATTAGAAGGTCAGAAATAGTTCCTGGAACTTACGAATATACAACTGCTGTTTCTTATGGAAACGTAGGTGAGTTTGGGAAGGTTCTTCAACACAGTAGATATTGCTTGCGACAGGTTTCAATATAATTTTATTGACAACTCATTCTTATACGTGGAACAAGACATTGAAATAAAACCTTCTGCCAAGTTGTCTGACAAGAAGGTTGCAATGGAATTTTCTATGTCGGATACCAATATGCTCCAGAAGTTTTCATGGGATATAAGATATATTCTAACTCTGACTTAGTTCAAACAGTAACATGGGCAAACTATGAATGGTTCGCTTTGAGAAACTCAGTACAACCACAAGCTAGAGAACAAACAGACCAGTATGCAACTATTGAGAAAATAAGAAGACTTGACCCTAACGTTCCAGGAGTTTATGTTAACCTTTCTGGTTCAGATGGAAATGCTGCCACTAAAGTAAAACTGAAACTTAGAGTTCCTTTGTCATCTTTCCTCATCTTCAGGTTTTTAAGATACTTGCCAAACTGGGCAGGAAAAATTTCTATCGAACTTACTCCAAGCAAAAATAACTTAGTCATTGCACCAACGCAAGACCCATTCACTCTTACAGACGTAAAGGGAGCAAATCAAACGTCATTCGCCGAATTTTGCAAAGACAAAGTTGACTTAGACTTTGGTTTCTCAAAACTCAACACTGAAGTAAAGTATTATTTCAATGCTGCTGGAACTGCTTGGGACCAGTAGGTTTACATGCGAACAGTTTGAATGCAAGAGAATAGAAAGCAGACTTGCAGTCTATATGTTGGACCAGATATTTCAAATGCTTTTAGCTGCCAAATATATTGCAGTTCCACTTATGTTCCCTATACACCAAATATCTGTCAAAGACTTTGCAGGTGAAGTTGGAAACCAAAATCCAGGAACCGCAGGTGCAAGAACAGATATTGCTTTAAACAACTGCAATGAAACACGCAGATACTATGTTGTACTGTTCAGACGAACTATAAATGACTATTCTTGTTTCTACAACCCCGGTATTAAATATCATATAAACATAGATGGCAAATATTATCCAAGAGAAGAATATTCTACAGTTGAAGATATGAGGTCATACAACTTGACATTAGATGCTATGAACTTTAACAACAACTTCACAAACAACCATTAACCCTGAAATGCAAGTTCTATTATGCCATATGTGAAAGTATGGACCCATACAGGAAGTCAAAAAACTCAATATACAAATGGAGACCGTTCAAACTTTTGGCTTGGCATTCCATTTGTGACTCAGAAGACTTTATGGGTGGTATTTCAACTGTTGGTACAGTTCAATACAATATACTGGTGACAGAGACGGTCCAGATGAACTGAAGCAAAGAAGTTTACAACCAATAGCACTTTTCACGGAAGATGCTCTTTTGAAGATTCGTTCGATGAAACCTGCTGGGGCTCCTCAGATTGGCATAACGACAGCTTCCATCGAGCAGATTTTGGCAGCAGGTCAGTAAGTTGTTCTTGAACTGACTTCTCACCATCGTAAATAGTTATGACACCAGTTTTGACATAAAAATTGTATTATAAACTTACCTTTAGAAATATCTGTAAGTTTTGTTGTTATATTTTTGTCTGCTTCAAGAACTTTCACCATTTCAGTTATACCAACTTTCTTTGCTTTATGAAAATATTTTGGTTCAGCAAAGACTGCTATTCTATAACATTTTCCATTGTTTGTGTAAAGAACTATTCTGTCAATGTATTTGTATTGTTTGTGTGTGTAAACTTTGTTTTGCTTCAATTCAAAGAGATATCCGAATACGTCCATATTTTTATTCGAAGTAAAATGTCATTTCCGAAAAATAGAAGCGTAAGTGTTTCAAAAGGTTTAATGGCGGTGGCAGATGTGAAGTTAAATTCACCAACTCAAACAAACAGTCAAAGTGTTATTGTCAATGTCAAAGACAGAGATGTTGAAGTGGGGAAACCATACGAAGACCAAGATGGTATAACAATTGTTCCTGTTAAAAGAACAACCAACATACCCTGAAGTTAGCAGAGACTTAAGTTCTGTTGCAGATATTCGAAAACGACTACCAACAACTGAAAGACAAACTTCAAACTCAGGAGAAGATTTGTCAAGCTTTAGGTATAATGTTAAACTTGGTCGAACACAACCCTGTAAAAGTGAACTCATATGTCATTGCACCTCATGAAGTTTTGAAAGAACTATTGAAACTTTTGACAGAGGCAGACGATATAAACATCAAAGAAATAGAACCCGACATTAGTTGCTGTGGTGTTTCATATAATGTCATTGACAAGATATACGTTATGAAAGGAGGTGAAACGTTGAACTTAAAGTATAGTTTCCCAGACGTCATAAAAATATTTGACGACCACAACATTTCATTAAAATTTATTTGCTAAGTAAATGGCAGAAGACACAATGGTTTATACTATTACGACTAAAAACCCTGAGTCATATAATTCTATAACAACAAACTTACAAAGTCCTCAAGGACGATATTGTAAACTAACCTTAAACACGATGACGACTAAAGCCTGTTTGCTCTTTTGACACCAGAAGATTTTATTGTTGTGAATGGTAAAAAATACTCCTTTGAAGATACTTACTCAGATATACCACCAAACAGGTTTTGTTGACTTATTTAATACTTTAAGGACGAGTGTAACATGTGCTGCAACTAGAGCAGGTTTCATTATGTTTGGATGTCCGACTGAGTTTACTATAAACAATATGAGCTATAATACAAAACTTATATCTGGTTTTTACTACCAACAGTTTCCTATAAAACAGGAAAAGGTGTCATACAAGGAATGTCTGTTCCATTGACTTTAAGCACACCTATTTTATATATTGTTTCAAACTTAGGTTCAAAGTGTTATTCGAATGTCGACAGAAACTACTATGACCAAAAGATACTTATGCGTAAAACAACACTTTCTCTGCTGGTTTGCCTATTGTTCATTCGAATGCAGAGTTTTCAGCTTTAGTAAACTCAAACACTTTAGCAAACATAAACTTAACCTTAGTTGACGCAAACTTTGTTCCTGTAAAACTTTTATGTCCTATGTATTTGTCAATGACGGCAGAAAGTTTCGAATTGGAAGATGCAACTGGTGAAAGTATTGTATTACAAGAACAACTTCAACAACAAATAGCTCAAAGAACAAAGTCAAGAATAAAAAAAAAATATTTTTTTTATTTTTATAAAAATGTACAGAATAGATGTTTCAGATTTTTATGACTTCCAAACATTCAGAAATATGTGTCCATTTCGAGACTATAACAAAGCAGTCGAGAATTTGAAACGTTTAGTCATTTATGTCGACTCTGCCCCAGAATGTTATGTTATGAAAGAATGGGATGTTGTCTTTAACAAACCAAGAGCAACAATAGTTTCAGAACAAGAATGTAAACAGAAACTTAAGAAAATAAAAGTTGTACAAGTTGGCATGAAGATGTTAGATGCTTGGGATATCTTATTGTCAAAGTTAGAAGATTTTTCAGTTCGTGGTATAAGTTCTATACACCTTCTCCAAACTTCTATTCTATCTTCACTGGATATAAATACGAACAAGTAGAATGGAAAGAAAATGTTATAGAAGCTTGGTTAGACCATGTCAAAGAAATTATATGCAATGGAAACGAAAGAGTCTATGAGTATATCTTATGTTGGTTTGCAACATCTTACAACATCCAAGTGCTAAAAATGAAACTGCTCTCATTATAATTGGAAAACAAGGAACTGGTAAGAACACATTCTTTACAGATATTTTGTGCAAACTGTTAGAAGGTTATTCGAACCCTAATATGACAAACTTAGAAAACATCTGCGGTAAATTTAACTCTTCAATAGAGAATATGAAACTTATAGTATGTAACGAACTTCAAAGTATAGATACAACAAAAGTTTTGAACTCAGATGCTTTGAAGAGTCTTATAACAGACAAAGTTGGAGTTGTTGAAAGAAAATATAAAGACCAAAGAGTTTGTGAAAATGTTGCAAACTTCGTTATGGTTTCAAACAATGTTGTTCCGATGAAGTTAGAAAGTTCTGACAGAAGATATGTAGTTGTCAGAACGTCAGAAGCTCATATGCAAGATACAGAATATTTTGACGACTTAGCAGAAACTTTGACATCTGACTTTTACAACCACTTGTTTTCATATTTTATGACATTAGATATTTCTAAGTTCAATCCAAGACAAATTCCACATACCGAAGAGAGACAAACATTGTTAGAAGCAAACAAGAGTGTATATGAACTGTTCATAGATGAAACTGACTTTGAGTGTTTAGATGAAAGGTCATTGTACGATTCGTATAAACAATATTGTCAAGAGTATGGTTATATGACAGCGTCTAAACGAACATTCTTGGCAAATGTCAAAAGTCTTTTAGATGTTCAGAATGGTGTATATACAAAGAAAAATTTTTCTGAGTAAATTTTAAAAAAATATTTTTTTTATCCGATAGAAAAAGATGGCAAAATTCATCTCAGTAAACAAGTACATGTCAGGACTTAAAGAAGAACTAGACCCATTCACATATTTGAATGTTTACTTCTACCATTTTGAAAAGTCTTCATTCAGCAAAGTTTGGAACATCGAACCAGTTAAGTTTGCTATTGTGACTAAAAATGGTGCGAAATTTGAAGACTTAGACATAGAAGGTTTGTTAGCAGTCAAAGAAAGTTTTGACAGAAGGTTCTCAAAACTCGAAGAAGGTAAAGCATACAAACTTGTTATACCTTATGAACCAAAGAAAGCAGACGACTATGAATATTATGAGTCTAAAGTTGTAGAAGTTCAAGGTAAATTGGGTAAAAAGATTTTAGAGTCTAAGCCAGTGTTTGCTCCTAAAGAGGAAGAGAACATTGACATTGACCCAGAAATGTTCTAAAAATAAAATTTTATTTTTACATGTCAAATTTCTTCTTCTCTGGAACTGGTTCTTTCTTCTCTTCTTCTACTTTCTTTTCTTTCTTTTCTCTCTTCTTCTTTTCTGGTGGAGTTATGTCAAACTTCTCAGAACCATATTTTTGTAAAAGTTCTTTGTCCTTTAATAGCTCTTCTATTCTGTTTTCTATTTCATCTTCAAGAACAGTGCATGTGTCTTCTTTGCATTCTAAGAAGTTTTGTTGGACTTCATCTCTCCAAGAGGCGTCATCTCTGTCAACAAGTCTGTCATTGACAAATTTTAAGACTTCTCTGCTTAATGTTTTATGGTTCTTGTCATATTCCCAGAAACAGAACTTTAGAACAAATTCACCTTTCTTGTTTACACTATGTAAGATTTTATGGTCGACAGATGTTTTGCTGTCGAAAAGCTTGTCTCGAATATAGATAGCGAAATCGCTAGACATTTTCTAAAAGATAAAAATTTTAATTTTTCTAAAAATATGTTAGAAAAAAAGTTTGCTGACATTGACAAAAAATTTGAGAATGTTTTAAATAAGAACAAGGTGAAATTGGAAAATGCTCAGATAAAACCCATACATGACAAGTTCTTATTTGCTCAGAATGGTATAACAGGTCTAATTGCACCACCTGGGTCGGGTAAGACTTTCACTTATCTTAAAATGGCTGCACAACAACAAGAACTAGATGAGAAGAACCCATTCTATGAGTTAGTTGTCATTTGTAGTACTTCTGGTCAATTTGACCAAACCGTCAATTCGTTCAAAGATATTATAAAGAAGTCTAAGTTAGTATGTATAAAAGACTCTGAGTTGTTAGATTGGATAAAGAAGTACCAAAGAAGGGTTTTGAAGTACAATGCTATAAATGAGTATATAAATTCGAAGTTTAAAGACCCAAATGAGGAAATGCAGAGAATATTAGAGAAGAAACACTTCAGAAACAAACAGAAAGAGATAGAATACATTTCGAAGAAATTGCAATCTTACGATTGGAAGACTTACCCTCATAGATGTCTTCTTATCTTAGATGATTTCGCCTCTCATCCTTTGTTAAAGAACAGAGAACAAGACATGTGTCGAATTCTTAAGAAGCTCAGACACTTTAACATCTCAGTTGTCATTTGTGTACAGACAGCCAAGAGTTTAAGTAAGGATGTAAAGAGAATACTTACTGACATTGTACTTTTCCCCGGATTGTCCGAAGACGATTTCATGGAACTTATGAAAGAGTCCATGGCAGGTAAGTTTGACAGACATGAACTATGGGAGAAGTACAAAGTCATACAAGACCCTCATACTTCTTTCAGAATTCATATCTACGCAAACAAAGTTCAAATTGTAAAAAGTCAAGCGTAAAAATAAATGGTTAGTCTTAGTAAGTCTGTTGTGGTGCTGGGGCTGTCGGTTCTTCTGGCTTTGGAATGGACTCGGTTGGTGGTACGTCAGTCATCCGTTTGTGTCCTGTCGGAAGGAAAATATTTTCCTGTCGGAAGGAAGAGTTCTTCCTGTCGGAAGGAAAATTTTTTCCTGTTGGAAGGAAAAATTTTTCCTGAAGTTCGACCAAAAAGTTCTCAATTTTCGAAAATTTGAATGGTTTACGGACGGACAACTGGAAAAATTTTTCCTGTTGGAAGGAAAATTTTTTCCTGTTGGAAGGAAGGACTCGGAATGTCGGATGGAAGGACTCGGAATGTCGGATGGAAGGACTTGGAATGCCAGAAGGATTTGACAAGACAATTTACCTTATAGAGCTACCTGAGCCATCTGAAGTCAAGCGTAAAAATAAATGGTTCATCTACTCTACTTGTTTGAAGTTGTCAAAATACTCTGTTATTTTTTCTTTCAGTAGCGGCAAATCTTCTTTGAAGGTAAGTATTGTACAACCTTTAATATCATAGTGTGTTTGAGGTAACGTATCTTGAACTATTTGTTTCACATCTTCATTTGGTGTCATTGAAATCGGTAAGTTTTCGCGATAGAACCAATTTCTGTCAGATTTGTAAATCTTAGCAAGGTCGTAAAAGCTTTTGTTGTTTTTTCTGACTAAATGCAACATAACCATATCTCTGTCTTCTTCATTTTCCATCTCTTCAGTATAAATCATATACTTATAGTTCTTTTCCTTTCCTTTTGGTACCGAACGTGGTATTCTTTTCTGTATGTTTTTGTCTTCTTTCATCATATCTTCTCTCTGCTTTGTACAAAGTTCGTCAAGTAGCATAAGTATGTAGATTGCATAACGAGGTGAAGCCCACATTGCTATTGAACTAACTAGGAACTTATGAACATATATACCTTTTAGATGTGATGGTAAGTTTTGTCTGTCTTGGTACATCTTTTTAAGTTCTACATGTTCGAACTCACTGAGGAGTTCATGAGTGCTATTTAATTCAAACCAGTCTTGTGGTTTCTTAGTATCTGGTGCAAAACATGCTGTCAAAATACTTTGCATTTGGTACATGTCATCTTTGACCGAACGAATGAGACGTAACTGTTTGTTATATTGTATGTACTCATATTCTTCATTTATGTCTTCATGAACGATAGCAGTTGTTGTGTTCTCTGTTGTTGACATATCTGTCCTTACATACAAAATAAAAAAAATATTTTATAAAAAATTAGCGTTATTTTTTCTGAGATAAACACTATTTCTTCACAACATTAAATTTTATCCTGTATGAAATGACTTTAAAAAAATTATTGACTGACTTCGAATACTATCTCATTGACGCACTGACAGACCCTCAAAACTGTGTTGAAAGTTCTTTAAGCTTTAAGATTGAAGGTACGACGCATTTTGTCTTCACTTACGTATTGAAAGAATATGACCGTTATCATAACGAAGTGAATCAAACACTAATAAAATTTGTAGATAAAAAATTGGTTAACAATGAATATTTTAAACGTGAAGACCCAAACACTGCTGGAGATGATGAAGAATACAGACAAGTTATTGAAAAAAATAACGCAAGATTAGATGCAATAGAAAAGAAGTTTTGTGAATGTCTTACAAACACGTATGAATATCTTATGCGGTGGGAAGCCAGATGGAAATAAATTTACGTCAAATATACAATTTATAAAATCTTATGACTTCATGAACGATAGCAATTGTTGTGTTCTCTGATGTTGACATTTCTGTCCTTACATACAAAATAAAAAAAATATTTTATAAAAAATTAGCGTTATTTCCTGACTTTCACAAAAGACCAAAAATAAACGCTTTACATGTATTTTTCAGCAACTTCGTCAAATAATTTTATAGCTTTACCTATCTCATCTACTTCAAACGTTTCTTTACCTTTCGTGGGAGCACCATACATTTTCTCAAACTTTTCAAGTAGTTCTGTTTCAGCAGCTCTCATATCGTTAACAAACACAACCTTAACTCTATTGACTGTACTGTCATATCTTTGAGTTATATTATATGTTCTTCCTATCTTATATCTCTTTGTATTGAAGTCCTTCGGTTTCTGAACGATGTAAAGTAAGCCTTCACTGCAACGTTCCGTATCGAATGAACCATATGTTATGAAGTTATATCCAACAACTGGGTCTAACCATAACAAAACTATTGGTATAAGACTTTTGTCGATGAGATATGCTGCAGTTCCATAGAATCTTACCGATATCATAAGCTCAGGATTTCTTGTCAAAATTTTCTGAGTAGAAGCAGTTCTAACCCAGTCGTGGGATGTTTTCTTTCCAGATAGTGTTAGAATGTCTGACAAAGAATATTTGTTGTATTTCTTTGAGTATCTTACGTTTAAATCACGAGTATATAAGAATTTCCGAAAAAGTGACACCCAAAAAGTGACACTTTCAATAGGGAGTAACACTTAAAAAGTGACAATTTAAAATTCACAATAAATAAAAATAATAAATTTTTTAGTCTATTAAATTATTCTTTTCTTTGAAATCCTCTAAAAATTCTTCGAAATGTTCTAAAATATAATCTGGAGAATTATAACAAAATTCATTAATTTCTAACATATACGTATCTAACAATTCATTTGGAATTTCAAACGATCTTAAATATGTAATTGAATTTTGTATCTTCTCATTTATTTGAGAAAGTTTTTCTTCAGCATTTTCCAATAAAAATCTTAATGGATTCAAATTGGCTTCTTGATTCTGAACAAAATTTAATACTTGGTATAAACGTGATTGAACTTCTCTTTTCAATTTTGTTTTATAATATGTCAATCGAGGCTCGCGAATTCTAATTGAAGGAATAAAACCTGTTTGAAGTAAATCGTTTTTAATACGATAAAAGTAATTGGGTGCAACTTCTTCTAAAAGATTTTTGACAAAAACATCAATTCTTTGATTTTTAACGCAGCCAAAATCGTGATATTTTATCTTTTAAATAAAGATTCAGAAACGTTATTCACAACGGTTAATTCATTTGGTCTGGCAGCGGCTATCCACATCATAGCCAACAATTCCTTATACAAAATTCAAAAACTTGGGTGCAATCAGAACTGATTGCACCCAAGTTTTTGAACTTTCTTGAGGGAATTAAAGGATGAGAGATTTATAGTCTATCTATATATCTCCCACCCTCTAATTCCCTCCCTGACAGCGGGAAATTTTGTCTGAATGTTAAACTATTCAGACAAAGTTTCCACTGTTTGCGAAGGAATTGTTGGCTATGATGTACTGATTCATGATCAGTACATCATAGCCAACAATTCCTTATATAAAGTTCAAAAACTTGGGTGCAATCAGTTCTGATTGCACCCAAGTTTTTGAACTTTCTTGAGGGAATGGAAGAGTAAGAGGTATACATTATGAATATATACCTCTTACCCTTCCATTCCCTCTCTGACAGCGGAAAACTTTGTCTGAATGTTAAACTATTCAGACAAAGTTTCCCGCTGTCAGCGAAAGAATTGTTCCATCTGGTGCATAGAGTGTGAATCTATGCACCAAATGGAGCAAGTCCCTCGCGAAATTGCCCAAACTTGCGTCGCATTTCAAAAATTGCGACCCAAATTTTGGCGATTTCTAGTAGAGATGGAGTATTTTGAGTCACTGACCTATATGCAGTGGCTCAAAGGGCTCCATCTCTACTTTGAAGCAAGGAAACTTTCCTCGAAATTTTGATAATTTGAAGAAAGTTTTCAAGCAATTAACAAAGGATTACTCGCTATGAGGTAAAAATTCTAGATTTTCACCTCATAGCGAGAGCTTCCCTTTCATTGCTTGAAAACTTTCCCCAGCTTCAAAATTGGGGAAAGGGCTGTAAAGTCGACTCCGATACCAGCAGGTACCAGAGTATTTAAAAGAGAAGCCCTCGTACGAGTTTCTATGAAGACCTTCTCATTCAAGAAGATCTTAATAGAAAATCGTACGAGGGCATTGGAAACTCGCGTCTGGTACATGTTGGTACCAGAGTGTTTGAGATTTGAAGACTCTGGTACTAACATGTACCAGAATTTATGATGAATTTAAGATGGACCATTATAAAATGGTAGCGGTTTGTTTCAAAAATTTTTAGATGAGATTTGCATAGATATAGATTATATGATTTATACATATGAAAAATAATATATAAAAATATAATTTTGAGATAATTATGTAAATAATATTTTAAATATTTGAATTTGAGGTATAATTTTATAGTAAAATATATTATAAAGAGTATTTATATAAATATTGTAAAATAATATAAGTAATAAAAATTGAGACCCCCTCCCTGTTTTTGATGTTTTGTCACTTTTTCGGTAATTCTTATTGTTTCGTTTTCTTTCCAGATAGTGTTAGAATGTCTGACAAAGAATATTTGTTGTATTTCTTTGAGTATCTTACGTTTAAATCACCTATTCTAACCACTTTGGTGTCATTGTCTATCTTTCTAACTGTTTCAAACTCAATGTTTGTCATTTTCTGTTCTTACATACAAGATAAAAAAAATATTTTATAAAAAACTAACTTTATTTTTTCTATCTTGTATCTTAAGGAAATTCACGATTTTCATGTATAAAAGATATGATTTCAGGGATTTTTTTGACGAAGTGTTAAAGTTCTCTTCGTCAAAAAATAACAGTTATATAATGAAATTTGGTCATTTTTTCACGATTTCAGGGATTTTTTTGACGAAGTGTTAAAGTTCTCTTCGTCAAAAAATAACAGTTATATAATGAAATTTAGTCATTTTTTCACGATTTCAGGGATTTTTTTGACGAAGTGTTAAAGTTCTCTTCGTCAAAAAATAACAGTTATATAATGAAATTTGGTCATTTTTTCACGATTTTCATGAGTTTTATGCAAGACCAAAAAAAGTCGGTCTAGAGAAATTTTTTCATTTATCTTGTATAAAAGATATGATTTCAGGGATTTTTTTACGAAGTGTCAAAGTTCTCTTCGTAAAAAAATAACAGTTATATAATGAAATTTGGTCATTTTACTCAGACAAAAATATATTTTAGGTGGAACCAGGTCCCTCGGTCCCTCGGTCCCTCGGTCAACTAACATCTTTTTGAAAATGGTGACAACATGACATTTTGACAACAACACAGGAAATAAACTTCTTCGTATATGTTTTGTCAAAACTTCTTCGTAAATGTTTTGTCAAGACTTCTTCGTAATGAGCGTAAATCAGACAAAAATATATTTTAGGTGAAGAGGTGAGATCTCACCTGTTTTCTCACCTCTTTTTTCACCTCTTGAATTTTCATGATTTCTTCGTATATGTTTTGTCAAAACTTCTTCGTACATGTTTTGTCAAGACTTCTTCGTATATGTTTTGTCATGACTTCTTCATCGAAATGAGTGTAAATGTTTTGTCATGATTTCATCGTACATGTTTTGTCATGATTTCATCGAAATGAGCGTAAATGAACCAAAAATATATTTTAGGTGAAGAGGTGAGATCTCACCTGTTTTTTCACCTGTTTTTTCACCTCTTGAATTTTGTATAAAAGATATGATTTCAGGGATTTTTTTGACGAAGTGTCAAAGTTCTCTTCGTAAAAAAATAACAGTTATATAATGAAATTTGGTCATTTTACTCAGCAAAAATATATTTTAGGTGAAGAGGTGAGATCTCACCTCTTTTCTCACCTCTTTTCTCACCTGTTTTTTTCACAAGCGTTTTACATGAATTGTACGATGTATATTTGAAATCCTAAACAGTTTTGTAGCTTCGATTTCTTCTGTCAGTATGTCAAAAGTTTTCACAATATTGAAAGTCTCTTTATACTTCTTCTTGACGTCAGATAGAAGGAAATCTTCTGCTGTTGGATAGTTTTTGTTCAGAAATGTCAACATGTCCATTTTATCTTCTGCTGGTTTCTCTACTTCTTTCTTTAAGTCAGCATAGTCGTTTCTCATACGTTCTATCTCTTTGACGGAGTAGTTATATTTCTTCATTGCTGCTTTACATTTTGAACATTGTGGGTTCATTTTAGCATTGTACATTGAAATTTGACCTGCAAGTACAACTATAGCGTCAATGGTTTTCTTTAACTCAAAAGTTGCGGGTTTTATTTGTTCGTTCCATACCTTACCTCTTCTATCTTTATCTCTTATCTGCCATACACATTCAGCAACTAACGAAACAAAGTTGTCGTAGGTCTTAAATTCTTCAGATTTATATATGTCAGAAACATTCTTATATACCATATCGCAGTCTTTGTCCATGACTTTGTGGTTGCAATGAAATCCAAGAAACTCATAGTTTACCTTTCGTATGAACTTCTTTATTTCTACTGAGTCAGTTGGTTTCACTTCAATTTCATCGAATTCAGGAATAGTGAGCTTTTGTTGTTGTATTTCAGGAAGTTTAGGTAGATGGTCAATAATATCCTGCATTTCATAAAGATATTCTTCATTTGTTTCATCTTTTGCACAACAGTCTAAATCTCCTTGGAGAAGTTCCTGCTTTATCTTCTGGATTTCTGTTTCGAAAGTATATGAAGAAGGAATGAAGCTTTTCATCTCTACTAACATAGATGTTGGGTTCATGACTAAAGAGTTTGGTGAAGTTGTTGCTAACATGTTCTTACAATAAAAATAAAAAATATTTTTTTAAAAAAACTAACTTTATTTTTTATTTCGGGAAAATTCATGAGTTTTGGTTGAAAAATACGGTGAACCAAAAGTGGCTCGACCTCAAAACAAGCATTTTGTGAAGAATATACCAACCGCCGGAATTCCGGCGGTTGCTTTTTATACAAAATTCAACGGGTGACAAAACATATACGATGAAGTCATGACAAAACATGTACGATGAAACCTTGACAAAACATGTACGATGAAACCTTGACAAAACATTTACGATGAAACCTTGACAAAAACATATACGAAGAAGTCTTGACAAAACATATACGAAGAAGTCTTGACAAAACATATACGAAGAAGAAGTCATGAAAATTCAAGAGGTGAAAAAACAGGTGAAAAAGGAGGTGAGATCGCACCTCTTCACCTAAAATATATTTTTGTCTGATTTACGCTCATTACGATGAAACCTTGACAAAACATTTACGATGAAGAAGTCTTGACAAAACATTTACGAAGAAGTCTTGACAAAACATTTACGATGAAACCTTGACAAAACATATACGATGAAACCTTGACAAAAACATATACGAAGAAGTCTTGACAAAACATTTACGAAGAAGTCATGACAAAACATTTACGAAGAAGAAGTTTATTTCCTGGACTGTTGTCAAAATGTCATGTTGTCACACTTTTTCAGAGAAGTTAAAATGACCGAGGGACCGAGGGACCGAGGGACCTGGTGACACCTTCAGTTCTTCAAAACATATACGATGAAGTCTTGACAAAACAAGCATTTTGTGAAGAATATACCAACCGCCGGAATTCCGGCGGTTGCTTTTTATACAAAATTCAACGGGTGACAAAACATTTACGAAGAAGTCTTGACAAAACATATACGAAGAAGTTTATTTCCTGTGTTGTTGTCTAAATGTCATGTTGTCACACTTTTTCAGAGAAGTTAAAATGACCGAGGGACCGAGGGACCGAGGGACCTGGTGACACCTAAAAACCATCTACCCTAAAATATATTTTTGCCGAATTCAGCAACAAAATTCAACAGGTGAGAAAACAGGTGAGAAAACAGGTGAGATCTCACCACTTCACCTAAAAGTATTTTTGTGCTATGTTTTCAGCACAAAATTCATGAAAATTCATGAGGTGAGAAAAGAGGTGAGAAAAGAGGTGAGATCTCACCACTTCACCTAAATATATTTTTTATTTCGGGAAAATTCATGAAAATTCAACGGGTGAAAAAACAGGTGAGAAAAGAGGTGAGATCTCACCACTTCACCTAAACTTCACATTCAATACTTTTTCAGCACTTTTCCGTAGTTGTATATGAAAGACAATTCGAGATAAAAGTCATAGTACAATGGTATAATATGCTGCACACCATTTGTTGTGAACCAAACTTGAAAGTCAGAGAAACTGTTACTAGGTGGTTCGTAGAATTTAGAAGCAAAGTCATAAACGTCCTTACCAATACATAGAAAACTATTGTTGCTTGAACTGAAACTTGCATGGCACATAACATTTTGAGGGTCAAACACGTTTCTATAAACTGTCAAATCTGCTGGTGGAAGTATAAATTGAAATGGACCATCTGGTGGTAATGGTTCGTTCTGGTTTAGTAACCGAAGAAATTGTGCCCAAGAACGTTTGTCTACTCCCCAAAATAAAAACTCCGTATCTCTTGGAGGGTTAATTTCAATCTTTTGAAATGAAACGGTGGAGTTCATCTTGTCATATTCTAGTTTCAGATAGTATGTTCCGTTTAGTAAAGAGTCGTATTTTTCTTGAAATTCCCAATAGTATTTGTTTATTTGAGTTTGAAAGTCATTTAGAGTTTTCTCAAGACTTTCGTCTGAACGAACTGTAAAGATCCTCATTTCATCAAATTTGTCTATTAGACCATCAGAACCTTTATACTGCCCATGAAAATATACTGCGAACATAAATGCGTTAGTTCTATTTGAAAACAAAACTCTTCTAAATCCTATTGCCTTTGCATCTGAAGGACTTTGAAGCCAACGAATTGGATAGTCAAACCTGTATGAACGGGATGAAATTTCCTCATCTGAAATAGTCCTACCAGCATTTGTAAAGATATAGTCTAATGGTTTTGTATCTGCTACTTTTGTTCTTTGTTTTTCAACCTGAAGCATTTAATATATGTAAAAATATATGGTTTAAAATGGTATGCCATTTCATATTTCTCATCTAACAAACAAGTTGTCTGACTGCTTGAGGGTTAGGTTGGTACCATTCGAACTTGACACTTGCAATTCCTTCAATTGCATCCAAAATGTCTGAGTCGGAGTCAACCATTTGTTCTCTCTTTGTAGTCTTGAAAGCGTCAAGAAGTTTTGCAGCTGTTGTGACATTGCCATATGCATAGTAAATGTGACCATCCAAATCTGTTATGGTTAATCTGAGATTGCGTCCTTTCTTATTTCCGTCTTGTATGGCAGCAAGTACACCCATGAAGCCTTCTTTGTTCTTTCCTTCGTCAAAGTTTACTGTAAAGGTTCGACCAGAAGTAATTTGACTTCTAACTTCACGGTACTTCTCATATGCATATCTTGTTCTTTCCATGGGAGCATGTGCGTCTTCACCTTTTCCTTTTTTCCTTCTCAAAGGATGCAATTGTTCGTCATGTTTCCAGTAGAATCTGGCAAAGCCGTCGTGTCCTTCAACTTGAGGTTCACTAACATCGAAAGGCATGTCCATAAGACGTTCTTCTTCTAACCTCTCTAGTCTGTTTGGATAATTTGCACGTGCTGTTTCCAAATCCATTTCGTAGCGAAGACCAGACAATTTGTCATAGACTTTTATGGGTCTTCCCTTCCTATATTTAAACTTCTTCGAAACTCTCCAACCATAACTTTGCAACTCTGCTTTTATTCTAGCAGATTTTCTATCCATTCTATATGGGGGCATTTTTATAAAAATAAAAAAATATTTTTTTTCTCTTTACTTTACATAACCGCCTGCTGCCATAAGTCTTTGACGCCAACCCATACCAGCTAATGAAGGTTGACTTGGTTTAGTTTGGAAACTAAACTTTGGTTTTGGTTTATCTTCAGTTTTTGGTTTCTCTTCTTCTATCAGTTTTTCGTCACTTTTCGGTTCCTTTGACTTTACCTCACTTGCAGGAATAGTTGTGTCGTCAACATCTTCATAAATATCATATGCCATTTGTTTTTGTTTTCCTTTCAACTTTTTGTGTTTGTTGTAAAGTTTAGAATATTTCGACTCTAAGTCAATGAGATGTTCTATAATGAACTGTTGGTCAGTGAAGTAAACTTTTCCATCTGTTGTCTCGAAAGCTCCTTCAGACTTCAATATTTTATTTGTGAGAGTCTGTTTCTTTTTTGAGATACTTGCCGTTCCATTTTTATGAAAAGTGACTTTATAGTTAGGGTTTGTATTTCCAGACCTGGCACTTTCTATTATTGAATTTTTCTCTTCATCTGTAAGTTCTTTGACAGGTTTTGACAATGGTTCTGAACTTTTTGTTTGTGGTGTCAAATCTACCGTTTCAACTTCTTCGGTCATTTCATCTCAGTAAAAAATTTTAGTTTGGTTTGTTTTCAACTGGTTGTTGTTGTTTTTTAAGTCGGTCTAAAACTTCCTGAGGTATAGGAAGAACTTGACAAACACGTTGTGTAACTGCTGGAAGCCGACAAATCCATCTTGAACCCATTTGTCTCAATGCTGTATTGTTCATTTCATCTCAGTAAAAAACTTTACATTCCCCACGTTTGAGGCGGTTGAGGTTGGTTATTGTTTACCCATTGTTGTGCATGGTTATATCCTCTGTTAAAGAATCTTTCACCTTGGTCCATATAGTGTCCTGCTTGGTTATAGTAGTCATTTGCTTTGTTATAATAGTTTCCTGCTTGTCTTCCTACATTGTCCATCCATCCTTGAACTTTTCCTCTTGTTTCAGGATTTGGAATAAGATTTGTTGCATCTCGTGCTACCTCCCAACCTTTCTGTACAGTTTGTATAATAGGTTGTGCTTTCTCTTTCAGTATACCTAATGTACTCAAAATCTTCCTTCCAATTCCAAATGCACCTCTGGCTATTGTTCCCACTGCGGGTAAAAATCTGGATGCAACTCCTGCTAACGCGCCAAATAAACCCATTTCTTATGGGTTAAAAAATGACGAATCCAAACAAGGACCCCTATGTTTCTAAGGCAACAAAAAAAGCACTCATGGTAAAAATCTTTAGTTCAACACCAAATGCTTGGTTTATGGATATCTTGGAAAACATTCCGAGAGTTAGAACAGATGGACCACCATACTGGCTAATATTTGTCGGTCAAAACACAAGATACTGTGAAGCCATACCATTATGGTCCAAAAATATTTTAGATGTGAAAACTGCTTTGACAATATTCGTTGACAAATACCATCCAGCAAAACTGACATCTGACTGTGAAAGTTCTTTCAAATCAGACGATATTAAAAACTATCTGCGTTCAAAAAATGTAAACCAATATTTCATTGTCGACCAAAACCATTCTGCTCTTGGTGTCATTGACGGTTGTATAAAAATGTTAAGAGACTTAAACCAACCACAAGGTGGTGAAGCAAATGAAATGTCATATGACGACAAGTATAGACACTTCTCCATGGCAAAGATGAGACAAGTTTTAAATATTTACAATAACCGTAAACAAAAAGGTTTGGGAAACCACTCCCCCGAAGAAATGAAAAACAACCCTGACTTAGAGAAAGACTATATATTTAATAATTTAGTCAAAAGAGACAAACAAGAAAGAATGCCGGGCTTCAAACTTCAGAAAGGTGACAAAGTAAAAATAGAAATACCCAAACGCGACCCATATGAAAATACTATTGACTATGACAACAATGGGAACCCGACAGGTACTCACATTCGTGTTCGTAAAAATAGAAGAAAGTATACAAGAGAATATTATGAAGTTTTAGGCAAACATGGCAAAATGTACACACTGCAAGCAGAAGATAAAACTACTATTGCCAGACCTCGTTTCAAACTTGTCAAAGTTCAAGGTGGTATACTTTCAAAGACAGTTCCTAACAAATATAAGACAACTCCTGACGAATATGCTAAAGAAGTTGAAAATGACGACTAAGCATTTCTATACCATGCGTAAACTGTCATGTAAGGTGGCATGTAGTCTTTACTTTGTCCCGTTGTTTGCGTATACCCTGAAACGCGATGTGTATGGTTTCCATCTCCCTGAGTGTTACCCCAGAAACAATTTATAGCAAACTGAACGTCGTCTTTAACATCATATCCTTTACCTTTTTTCATTGCTGACCAATCCCAAAAATTATGCTTATGCCAACCTGCTTGAGATGTACTTAAATCTATGTAGTGACTGTGTGCAGGTAAGTTTTCACCTGAAATCGTTTTACTTCCACCTGTTTCCTTTGAAGAGTTTGCACAATACAAAAACCTGTCGACTATTTGAGTCCAAGTTCCAAAACCCAGAACTGTTTCTGGTCTGGTAGAGTTCATTGACGTATAAATAGAGCCAACCGGGTAAATAAGATTCGGCAAAATTTGTTTAAGCACATTGAGTTCCTGTCTTAGATGTATAATACTATTGTCATTAGATATCAAAGTATCTACAAGACTTGTTGCCGGTGGTATTGTTGGAGCTTTACTTGGCAAGGTTGTGTTTAGTGTAATATCATCTGCTGTAAAAGTTGTAAAACTTGTATGTGTATGGTTCTTGTCTGCTTTCTTCTCATATAAATCTTGAGCAGTGAATTTAACGTTATTTTCATCCTTCATGACATAAACATCTTTACATCTAATGTTTCTCATCGTCGTTATGTCGTCATCCGATGTTAAACCTTGTGGAAAGTTAGGAGGTTTCCAATATAATACATCCCCACCAGTTTCTTCAACCGTTCCTTCAATACTTTCTATAGCAACAGTTGTAAAACTTGTATGTGTATGGTTCTTATCTGCTTTCTTTTCAAGGCTAACGTTTAAGTCTGTTATTTCAGAAGATGTATGTGTATGTCCAACGTCACTTTTCCTGTTTAAGGTTTCTTGTAAGTTTGTAATATTTGCAATGGTATGTGTATGAGTCTTATTTGCTTTTGTCTCTAAGGTTTCTTGTAAGTTTGTAATATTTGCAATGGTATGTGTATGTCCAACGGCACTTTTCCTGTTTAAGGTTTCTTGTAAGTTTGTAATATTTGCAATGGTATGTGTATGAGTCTTTTTAGAATATTCGTTTTCAGCTCTTGTCACTTCACTTGACATTTTATTGTCAACATATTTTTTGTCTGCTAGTTCAGGATGAGTATGTTCTTTTGTTGCATAAGCTTTGTTAGCTCTTTCTTCTTCTTTTGCTATTGCATCGTCTACATATTCTTTGTCAGCTTTGTTGCCAACATCTGCTTTCAAAAGAAGTTCATTTATAGGTTTCTCGTTTAAAGTTCCTTTTGTTGGATTTATACAAACAGTATGGTTCTTATTGTCTTGAAACAGAAACTCATCTGTCATTGGGTTTAATGTCAGTTTTAAGTTTCCTTCTTTCAATGACTCAGATATCTTAGAATAGTTTGAAAAGTTTGTTGTGTTCTTATTTAGAGCTTGTATAATGAGTTGTCGGTTGTGTTGTATTTCTCTCATAGACGCTGTTTCATTTGACATTTTTATTCTAGATAAAATATGCTTTCAATAGAAAAAGAAAATTCAAGAGTTGCTACAACTAAACCATTAGATGAACTTTTTACGAATGTCGGTCAAAAGGTTGACATAGACAATCTAAAGCATGAAGGCTATCGTTTTGACTACCCGTTAAGATGGTTAAGAGACCCATCTGTCACAAAAGCTATTGGCTTTCGTAGAATGAAGTTCATTTCAGAAGCCATACATGGTTTCCCATTTACAGTCGGTTTTGAAGTTCGATACTATAACAAAGAAAAACGTACGTATGAGAAATTTGAACAGGGAAAACTTTTACAAGTGAATTTGCTTGTAAACTTAGAAACAACTCTTCAAGCTTTTCAAGAAAAAATAAACGACATCTATATCGAATATGCAAACCAGTATAACATTGACGAGGGAGAGTACCATCTCGATATTATATATGACAGGAAAAATGCAACTGTTAAAATCAATAGAATAGAAGACCTTGGAGAAAACGTTTATATTTCTACAAAATATAACAACTTGGCATGGTATAGATTTATGAGGATGTTAAATCAGCCTGCAGCATATCCAGTACACCCGGACTTTTATGAAGTCGAAAACCCTAATGGAACATATGAAAATGTTTTCGACTCAGATGCTATTATAGTTCATGCTTCATTTTCTGGTGCACAAAACTCTTTTTTATGCTTGGCAAATGACTTTTACGAAAAACCTACAAAGCTATATGAACCGCCGAGTGGAAGTATTTCAGACTTTCAAGTATGGTTTACTACAGATGGAAGAAAAAGAATAATTCCATTATACCATGCGTTTTACTTAGAACTTAGTTTCATATACAACTACTATCGAACGGTAAAAATATAATTTTTTAATACGGTTGAGGTGTTGGATTTGGTTGCCAACTAGACTGTGGTGCAGGTTCAGGCTGTTGTATAACAGGAGCTTGTTCTTCTGGTTCAGGGTCTTTAGGTATAATACCAACGAACTGACCTACTCTTTTACCAATATTTTTGACTCCGTTCCAAATTCCTCTTCCTACAGATTTTATTCCATTCCATATACCTCTTCCAACGTTTCGAAAGAAGTTTCCTATCTTACTGAAGAAACCCATTTTACTATATGTAAAAATCTAATGTCCGCCTAGTCTCTTACGTTTCCTGTTGAGTTCCATAGCATTCTTTAACTGGAGCTCATACATTCTGTTTCTCCTCTGGTAGAAAACATATTCTGGGTCAACTCCTGTGTTCGCGTCATCTGCATAAAGTTGTTTATATCCCACTTCAGGGTTTGTATAAAACTCTTTCCATCTCATATTTGCATACCATGGTGGTAAACCTAACGCAGCGTCATTTGACATGGCAGTTTGCATTTGTACATCTGTTGGCACTTGACCATAGTTTGCCATTGCAGTTTGTATTCTAACTTCATTTGGAATATTCTCTGGGTTTGGTTGTCCAGGTTGCTGTGCATTCGCTAAGTTCTGTGCGTCCATTTAATATTAGATAAAAATATCTCTTACGAGTACATATGCTGAACATTTGCAGGCATTGGTTCATCTTCATATTCTCTGTACTTTTCTGCCACGTCAAATAAATAAATGACACAATGGAAAAAACCTAAAACAAGTAGTCCTATTTCAAACCACATTTACTTACTAATAAAATTTCTTTATTGTGACACTTTCTCCGGTTTATAGGACCTCTCTCATATTCTATCTTGTCATATCTAAACTCATAGTCATGTATGTCCTCTAACCATCTCATAACGGTTTCCAAACCACTTTTATCGGATGTAAAGTAAAAGCATGGATGGTTATGTAAAACGTCTAAAGTTTCTAAAGAGTCTCTCAAAGTCCAGTCTACTTGGTATTGAAAATCGCATGTGTTATAGAACGGCGGGTCCACTATAAAGAAAACATTTTCCTTGTCTTTATATTTTTCATACAACTCTGTCCAACGACATCTCACAAACTCTATACCCTCAATATATTTTTCTATGTCCTCTTTGAAAACATTTGTATAGTTAAGATATAAAACGTTTGACATAAGTGTTTCAATGTCATGAACTCTTATAGAACCACTATATAATAGTCTAGCAGATATACTATCCCAGTCTATATATTCTGCTTTTTTCAAAACCTCTCTCACAATATTTTTCTTATCTAATGGTATACGTTCCATCTTACCTATAGGTATCTTTTCTTTTAACTCTTTCAATATATTGTTTGTGTCAGTTAGTATACAAGTCTCGTGTACTGAGGCACTGCGTTCCTCAGTACGCAATACTTGTGAATTTGACACTTTACAAAACCGTTAACATATATTTTACAACACAAACGACAACACAAACGCAAAAACTAACTTAATCTTAAATATTTACAAAACCGCCAACCACTTCACTTCACTAACGAACTCACTAATGTAAAAATAAACGTTCTCACTATCGTTCTCACTAACGACTTTCACTAATTTCTCATAAATTTTCCTCAATATCTTCATCATCAGTGTTAACCCTTGTAGTCATACTTGAAGCCATAAACTTTCTCTAACTTCTTAACGTACAATTTACATAACTTACCTTCGTCATCGTATGGTTTAATGATATAACTATTTCTATCTTTATACACAGTCAATGAAAAGTCAACTGGTCTCGGATGTATTTGAAAGAAAATGTTATGCTCAGGAAGGAAGAATAAATGTTTAAATGTATGTTTGTTATATGTTTTGATTTGTATGAGTTGCTTTTGTTCTGTCATTACATCCAAATAAAAATTTTCAGTAAAATAAAAAATAAACTTAAAATTAATGATATCACCACCCTCACACGTATGAAAACATAGCGCAAAAATAAATTTAGGTGAAGTGGTGAAATCTCACCTCTTTTTTCACCTCTTTTTTCACCTCATGAATTCATTGCTTTATAACTCTCTTCCTTTCTCCAACTCTTCTAACTTCTTCCTAAGTTCAGCAATGTTGTCCTCATGAAGTTTAATCTTCCTTAATATACCTTCTCTATCTAATGGTTGCTTTATCTTTCTAAACTGAACTCTACCATCCTTCATAGTATGAACGTAAAAACCTTCTGGAACCGCTCCTGATTTAATGTATTCTACCAAAAATTTTGTTTCATTGCTTCAGTGACTTTAGTCGTCATTTTACTCTAAATAAAATGTTCAAATAAAATAAAACTAACATTATTTTTCAGTAAGGAAACGCAGGAGTTTTACGATTTATTTGAGGAGTAGGTTCTGGTTTAAATGTTGGAGTCGGTTTTGGAGTTGACTTTTGAACAGGAGTTTGTACTTCCATAGGTTCAGGAGTCATTGAAGGTTTGTTTGTGAAGGCGTTGGTTTTGACGTTGGTTTGGCGATGGTGTCGGAGTTTGTTTCAAATTCAGCTACTTCAGTATTATTTATAACATTTGCTTTATTTCTTTTCAACATCATTACTGCTCCTGCTGTAGCTAGCAAACCTAGTGGGAGACCATATTTATATAAGGACTTGACCAAATGCTATTTTTGACAGGAGCTGGTGGAACACCTAACCTTGGTGAGACTGCTCTTTGCCATTGTGCAGCTCGTAAGAAATATTCAATAGGTGCTCCATAATCGTTTGGTAAAGTTTGTTTCATAGATGGTGAAGGTTCACGAGAGCTTGATGAAGAACTCATTTATAAGCTTTAAAAATAAACGTTCATCCTTTATTCCTCACTGTCGTCCGTGGCTAAGTTATAGTCGTCAAGTCTTATTATTGGTATGCCTGACTGTCTTACTTGTATTGCAAAGCAACAATCCCTCATAAATCCAATAAGTGGCTTTGGTACGTTTTCAGTTGCTAGTTCAATAGGTCCTTTAACAGACAATTTGTATGTTATTGGAGCAGTAGATGTTTGACCTTGCTGGAAGCAAAAGTCCACTTCTGTTGGAAAACCACATAAGAAATGTGTGTTGTCATAGCTATCCCATTTATGTTCCACACTACCATCATCCACCAATGACCTCATAACATCTTCATTAAATCCTATCATATCATTGTTTGTATTGCAAGCGTTCGCAACCATTTCATAAAATACAGGTCCATATGATTTTTCAGGTTCTGCAGGCATATTTCCATAAGCTCCCATGGAAAGCTGAAGATATTTAAACTTAGGGTTCTCAAAATTAACATAATAGTTGTCTTTCTTTCTAAATAGTGCCCAAATACTTTTAACATTAATAGGCGTATAAGCTGCTGTAAATGTTGCACTTGAACTATCTGTATTCTTTGAGAATGAACCGTCCATAGGAATCCAATCCATAACTTTAACAGGAAAACATAAAGCCTCGTTTGTATAATGTTCTACAAGTTCTGTATAAATGTTAGGGTCTAAAGAGAATGACTTTGGATGAATGAAACATTCATTAAAATCCATCTTTGTTCGAAATAGTTGCTGGTTTACAGTTGTAATAGTAACTGTTCCACTAGCTTCTACTGCCTTCGTTATCATAGTGAATGGTTCATTCCATGGAACAAATTTATTTGTCGGTGGATTTGAATCTGAAGCAAATGCAACTTTAAGAGTTGGATTGAAAGCAATGATATCATTTACAGATATAGATGTGCATTGTAAGGCGTCGCTACTGAACTTTACTTTAAGCTGAATGTTTCCTGCAAAAGCTGGAATAAATCGAATAGCTTCTAATGGAAGGAATCTTCTAACAGGAATTCTTAAACGAAGCTTAAAATCAAATGATTTTCCTGCTGTAATTGGACCACTAACAATTTGTCCTGTTCTGCATGTTCCCGAATGACTCCATACATCTTCATGTCGAGTCTTTGAGAAAACATCTACTTTCTTTATTTGTTCGGTAGTTTGTGAGTTTGAAGTTATATATGCTTCTTCTCTTGCGTTGTCTTGAGAATATACGATACGACCATTTGCAAGGATTTGATATCCAGCAACTGCATAGAAAGCGTCATCGAAACCAATCCAAAATCCTGGTGGGTTTGTTTTATTGGAACCTGAACCAATTTCTTTATCTACAATAAATTGACCTTCCATTTTATACGTAATGAATGTATTGTAAAGGTCCAACATATTTTCACCAGGAGGTGAGAGATTGAATGTTACCCATGTGTTATCTTTAGCAGTTCCAGGTTGTGATGGAATCTTTGCGTCAGAATATTTTCTATTAGTGTCACCAATTTGAACTGCATTGTCTATGATATCGAAATATGAGCGAATCTGATGAATATGCTCTGCTGGAGTAAATTCGTTTAACTGTTCGTTCTGCATGTATTTACTTCAGATAAAAATATCTATTTACTTCATTATTCTCACTCTTCTTCTTGGCATTCGTGGTGGAAGTTGTTTCTTGACATTTTCAATGAACTGTACATTCTCTTTTGTCTCGACTTCTTTCACTGGCGGGTCAGGGTTCTTTGACTCGGTTTGCTTTTCAATGAAATTCACGAACTTTGCAATAAGCTCTTGGTTCGTTATTGAAAGTACATCTGGCTTCTTTTCTTCTTGTTCTATTGACTTTTCAGTTTGAACAGAAGGTTTTATATGGGCTTCGTGGACTTCACCCTTGCCATGCACCTTAATGTTGTCGCTCTCTGCATTCGCTAATGGAACCTTTCTTTTTCTTACGTATATTTTACCATCTTTACTCTGACTTACGTAATAGAAAGGATGTTGTATTCCTCTTGGCGTCATTTAATATAATAGACTCTCGTTCTGATTTTGACAAGCTCATTTTACATCGGTTAAAGTTTTAAGTTAGTTTTTATCTACAGTCAAATGACTCAGACAAGTCATATGGACAAGACCCAAGGGTCATAGATGTTGAAGCATTGAAGAAAGAAATTCGCGAGCAAATTTTATCCGAACTGAAGGAACAAAAACAAGAACAAAAGCCAGAGAGACCAAAGAGAAAACTTAGTGAAAAACAACTAGCTGCATTAGCTGCTGGAAGACAGAAGAACCCACGTTTGCTGGCGAAAAAAGCAAAGGAAGAACAAAAAGCAAAGGAAGCTGAAGCAAAGAAAGAGTAAATGGTTTATTTTTATCCAAACTAAATGTATAGACAAATACCTTTATCTGTTGCGTTCAGTAGTGAAAACCCTGACGTCAAAATAAAGGGAACAGAGTAACGTTTAAGTTTCCAACAGACTGGATTGTGAACATAAATGAAGAGAAGTACATTGGCATAACATCTATGTATATAACACGTGCTTTCAGAAAGGTTGACTTTATACTTCAAGTCGAGATAGAAAATGACGAACAGTCTTTAAGCGCCCAAAACATTCACATATACAAATACTTTAAAGACGATACAACATTGTTGCAATGTATGATTTCATTTAATGAGATGTTCGAGAAAAAGTTCAACATTGAAGTACAAACTTTTACAGCCTTTACGTGAGTTTCTTGCACAACTGAAGGAAGAAGGTAGTCAGCCACAACTTATAGACTTTCATTATGAATTTAATGAAAATGAAGATGGAACACATGACTGTCAATTCATTGTATTCTCACCATTCAATGAAGTCGCTAAAAAGAAAGAAAATCCATTACGTATAAGATTTCAAATCTCCGAACCAAGTGATGATTTTAAGAATGTTTTCAATTATGATGCAATGCTTCCGAGGAAAAAATGAATTTTTCAAAGATTGTAACACCTGGCATTTGGGATAGAAAGCAAGCAATACTTTACTCTAATATAGCCAAAGGCGTTGAAAATGAGTTCATTGGTCATACAAGAACTTCACCACTTCCTAACCCTAAATACTATAAATTAACTGGCTTCAATCGTGAGTTTTGGATAGACATGTTCTCACTCATGACCATAAATGTCCAGTGTTCTTGCCTCCAGATGGGAAGGACTGTCTCTACATTGAAGCACAACTCTTAAACTCTACCATCGCAGTATTGTAAAATCTACGCTAGCTTTATTTTTATCACGAATGACCTCATTGCTGACAAAAATAAGCCGCTAGCGGCAAGGGCGAAGCCCATGACCTCATTCATGACCTCATTGCTGACAAAAATAAGCCGCTAGCGGCAAGGGCGAAGCCCATGACCTCAGAACTTCAACTTACGAATAAAGCTTGTTTTAGTCGTTATTGAAAAGTTGAACTTTTCAGCAAAGCAAGGTTGACATGACTTACATAAGTCGAATGCAATCTCTTGACCATCATAAAGTGCTTTGTAAAGTTTCATTAAACTGAACTCAGAGTCTTTGTCATATGTTCCAACAGGTATGTGAATGTTCTTATCTTCATTGTAATAGCATTGTATAGCTTCAGGAAACATTTCATTAGCGGTTAAAGCAATAACATCTTGCTTCACGCCTTTCATTCTGCAGTGAAATGCAACTTCATTTAAATCGTTAGTGAGTAAGTCTATGTAGGTCTTCTTTCCACAGAAAATACTTTTATAAGCTAAACTTTGTTTTCCAGGTGTTATTTCTGCAAAGTCGCTATGAAATTGACCAAGGTTCTTTCCTATAAGTTCGCGACCATATCTCTTCTTAAACTCTGCTGCAAGCTTTGGTATGTCTTCATTATATAAGTGCATACTGTCGGTATCCTGGTAAAAGATTTGAAGACCCATATCTTCAGCAGTACAGAATACTTCATTCATAATACGTTTTGACATAGACAGAATATTAACACCAAGTGGACAGAAGTTAAAGTGTCTGCAAATGCTTTTCGTTAGCTTGAAAATAGTTTTATCTGAACCATCCAAACCTTCGAACTTCACTATATGGTTGTAATTTCTTATAGCATATCTTATAGCATCTTTGTCATTTACTATGGTTATTTTTGACTCAATAGGAGATAGAATAGTTTTGCCATAAATGCTGTTCAGAATGAGTTTTATAATTTCTTGTAAGGGGTTTCCTTCTTTCTTATACTTTAACCTTAACTCAAACAACTTCTTTACTTCATCTCTTATTCTCATATCTCTGTTTCCATCGTAATAGTATCCTTGCAACACTTCACATTTGACACATTGATATTTTATGAGGTCTTGTAATGTTATATGGTCAACATACATGAGACAGCAAGTGTTTGAACTTCTTGGAACGTTAAGTTCTGGATTTAGTTCAGGGTCGCAAACTATTAAATGAAAGTGTCTGGGTATACCAATCTCTGTTATCTTAATGAGAACAAAGAAGCCAGACATAAACTTTTCACCAATGGGTTCCTTTTGGTCATCATCGAATAAATGTCTCATGAGATACTCTGTGCTTAACATTTCTTCCTTCAATACTTTTGGAATACCTTCTAAAGTATAAAGTCTTGCTATAGCTGAAGGATATAATGAAACAGTGTCGAAGTCAGCAATGAGTTTCTTTTTGCTCTTTTGTTTCATGTTATCTGACAACATACATCTTCCACCTTGAATGCATCTCGAAATAAATTCTCTTGGTTTATTTGAGAGGTCATAAAGATTTCCATTCGGGAAGTATACTCTGTTCTCAAACAATTTGTTAGCAATAGAACAAATACTAACGTAGTCATAAACGTTTAAATCAAACTCTTTCAATAAGTCATTGCGGAACTTTACAAAACCTTCTCTTAAAATTCTTACATCTTGTTTGCAGTAAAACGTGCTATATTTTTCTAAGTCGAAGTGGTTTTCATCTATTCTGCAACCTTTGATGGAATCTATGTTTTTCATGAATGTATCTGCATCATGGATAAACTTACATGCTTCAGAAATGACACCAGTTCTGTTGTCATTTGCTAACAAAACACTGCTGTAGTAGTTATATGGAAATACTTCTTTCGGTCCTGTTTGTAAGTTAAACATAGCAGGAAATAGTTTAAGCTTCTTATTTATAACACTGTAAGAGTCTTTTATAATAATTGCCCGTCCTTTATATAAACCAGTTATTTGCATTGTTCGTGAACCTTTAATGATGGGAGTTCCTTTCACTTCTGTCATGTGTCTTAAGATGAAGTTTATGTCATAACTGAGGTTGGAAATATATTAAACTCTTGTCAGGAAGTCTTTCCAAAAATTCTGTTGCACAGTTTTGACCCCAAATGCTTTCACTCACTGAACCATCTTCACTGTCATAACAGATGTTAAAAGCTTTATGAAAGCCGTCTGTGCTACACTCAAAGTCAGCAAAGAAAACGTGCTCAGGAATGAATTTACATTTAGCTTTATTTACTTCTTTTGACTCTGCTTTCTTCTTCAGTTGTACACAATACTTTGGAGCATATGTCAAATCTTTAAATGGTGCAAGGTTCTGTTTATATAAGTCAGTAGTATATGTGAAAAGTTCTCCATAAGAAATAGGTTCGAAATATTTGCACTCCCACAATGTTTTCATAACATCCCATAGCGGTGTTGTTCTATCATAACGAACTACATATTTATCTTCTCTCTTTGTATAAATCTTCATCTGTTTCTCAATGTTCATTCCACCACACTCCTTCAAGATTTCTATATAGTTTCGAATGAAGTATGTTGTCATTGGTAATCTTTCATTTAGCATGTAGTGGTCTTCAACAAGAAGTAAGTCAATAGTTCTAACAGTTTCGCATTCTTTTGGTATATATCTCTTTATTTCATTATGTCTTGAGTCATTGAAATAACCAATGGTAACATTAAATGCTATACCTGTTGAATCGGAAATTTCTTGTACTTTACTTTGAGGAAAGTCTCTAACACGAATGACTTCTCTCATGTGGTCAATAGTTTCTTCATTTACTCCAGCCTGAATGCAAGCATAAACGAAACAATTGTCCTCTGTCATAAGTGTTGCAGTTCTTTTGTTCAGTTCATTGAAGATTTGGTAGCGTTCAAGATTTATAGGTAATGTGCAAAGATACTTCCAGAACTGACCGCTTCTCTTCTTATAAAACTTCTTTTCACCATTATCTTTCCAAAAGCTTTCTATAAGTGCTGGGTTTCCTGTTTGCTTAAGAGCTTCCAAAATGGCTTTCTGGTCATTTGTCAGTGTGCTTTCATCTCTATATGGTCTCTTTTTTGGTTTGCCTTTCTTTACATCTGACATCGTTAAGCCTTCATATTCTGTTAAATCATACATCTTTATTTCGGTAAGATTCTTTATGTTTGTCAAGAAGAAGTCATAGTGCATTTCAACAATACCTGCAGCATTTGCTTCTATCTCTGATATAAAGTTCTCCTTCAAGAGCTGATGTAGTAATGTTCCAATATTATTGAGGTTTAACGTAGAACATTCATACTTTCCACCAAGTTTATAACATACCATCCATCTCTGTTGCGAGTTTATTTTAATTTTCTCTAAGAGTCTCATGAAAACCTTACCGAAATGTTTGTGTAAGTAGTCTCTGTTTGGTTCATCTAAAGCTTCGATGTTAAAGTCAATGAGTCTATTGCCTGACTTCACATTTCTCTTCCTATTCTCTTCATCTTTCTTTAACCATCTCTCACCTTCTTTTGGTTTGTCGTCAATGGAACGAATGACATCGTTAGCTTTGCGAACTTGTTCTATAGCACTTTTAAACATCTCTCTTCTCTGTTGTTTCAGTGTGTCATCTCTCTTTCGTGTTTCACCAACGTTTGCATGGGCTACGCCCGCGCCGTCATGCGGCTTTGTTATGTCAAACATTTCTCTTCTTACTTCATGTGGTATTGAACGTCTATGATATAAGTCAATAGCAATGTCATTTAAAGGAAATGCTATTGCATGGACTTCGTCCTCGCCGCGTTGCGGCTTTATGAACTCATGAATTCTATCATAACTTATTGCACCATTGTAGTCTTTAATGAAGTCAGCGAGTGCTTTTTTGTTTGTTGCGTAATGCTTTGCAACATCTATATTAGCTTCTGTAAGAAGTTGTTTTATTTCCGAGTGTTCTAACTTAGACAACTTCCGATACATCTTTAGTAGGAAATAAAAAAATATTTTTGAAAAAATTAGATTAGATTTTTTTTAAGTTATTTTTCAAAATAATTTAATATTTTTATTTTAATGAAACACATGCAAGATTGCAAGTTCTTTTCATACAATGCTCTCGCTACTGCCATCAAGAATGAGTTCAATAATGCTTCAAACGTTAATGTTATCTTTAACAAGAAGTTTGTGAAAGAATCTAAGTTTGGTCAGTATGTCAGACCATTAGCTATTGTCATTGACCGCAAACGTTATACTTCACAAGAGTTAGCAGTAGTTTTGAAACAAAAGAGTTTCTCGTGAATGTCAAAGATACACACTATACTGTCATAAAGAACTCCAACATTGACTTCTTCAGTATTGCTATGAATCTTTCCGAACAGAAAGAATATAAGAAGGGTGAAACATCTGTGAAATATTATCCTTCATCTCTGAAGACAATAACGAACAAAGATGTTATACAAAAGTTCTTACCAAAGGTTGAAGAAGCTTCAATTGACATTGACGAAGGAAGTGAAATGGTTGAAGAAATTGACCCTGAAGCTATTTAACCAAAAATATATTTTTGGTGAAGAGGTGAGATATCACCTAGCCGCTTTGCGGCTCTGACCCTTTGGGTCTGTTTTTTCACCTCATTCTCTCTTCGTTAATGTTGTCGTGACTTCTTCGTTAATGTTGTCGTGACTTCATTCTTCCTCTTTGAAGTTATCGAAATATTCTGTTATTTTTTCCTTCAGTAATGTTAAGTCTTCTTTGAAGGTAAGTATTGTGCAACCTTTGATGTCATAGTGTGTTTGAGGAAGAGTATTTTTGACAATTTCTTTTATTTGCTCATTCGGTGTCATTGAAATCGGTAAGTTTTCACGATAGAACCAGTTTCTGTCAGATTTATATATTTTAGCAAGGTCGTAAAAGCTTTTGTTGTTTCTTCTGACTAAATGCAACATAACCATATCTCTATCTTCTTCTTTCTCCAACTCTTCAGTATAAATCATATACTTATAACTCTTTTCCTTTCCTTTTGGTACTGAACGTGGTATTCTTTTCTGTATGCTTTTGTCTTTGGATTCAATGACTTTCATCTTTTGCTTGAAGTTTCTTTTCCATCTCTCCACGTTCTGCTTTTATATAGTTCATCTAACATCATGAAAATATAACAAGCATAACGAGGTGAAGCCCACATTGCTACGCATTTACTAAAGTCTATGAACATAATAACCTTTCAAACCAGGTGCCAAATTCTTGCGATTTTCGTACGGAATCTCTTCCTCGGTTTTCCGAGGGAAGCAATCATATGAGGAAATTCTTCTAAAAGTTCTTTTGCCTGTTGTTTTCAAACCAAATGATATGCTTGCTTTGTAGAACGAAGAGCGTTCATTATACTTTGCATTTGATACATATCATCTTTGACTGAACGAATGAGTCTCAATTGTTTGTTATATTGTATGTATTCGTATTCTTCATTTATGGCTTCATGAACGATAGCAGTTGTTGTGTTCTCTAATGTTGACATTACTGTTCTTACATACAGGATAAAAAAAATAAATAAAATAAAAACTAACTTTATTTTTTCTGAGATAAACACTATTTCTTCACAACATTAAATTTTATCCTGTATGAAATGACTTTAAAAAGATTATTGACTGACTTCGAATACTATCTCATTGACGCACTGACAGACCCTCAAAACTGTGTTGAAAGTTCTTTAAGCTTTAAGATTGAAGGTACGACGCATTTTGTCTTCACTTACGTATTGAAAGAATATGACCGTTATCATAACGAAGTGAATCAAACACTAATAAAATTTGTAGATAAAAAATTGGTTAACAATGAATATTTTAAACGTGAAGACCCAAACACTGCTGGAGATGATGAAGAATACAGACAAGTTATTGAAAAAAATAACGCAAGATTAGATGCAATAGAAAAGAAGTTTAATGAATGTCTTACAAACACGTATGAATATCTTATGCAGTGGGAAGCCAGATGGAAATAAATTTACGTCAAATATGCAATTTATAAAATCTTATGTCGACAGGCTACGTAGCACAGTGGTCTAAGGTGGTGTTATGGAGGGGTCAAGGTCTGTGGTTCGAACCGCGACAGCGCCGTTTTCTTATTTTCTTTATTTGTCTTGTTTGTCGTGAATAAAAAGTGTTCATAAAAGTGCTCTATCTTCCACGGGAATAAATAAAAAATTTACTTTATTTCTTCTTTATTTCTTTGTTCCCGTGGAAGAAGGGTTTTGCTGTTTTTTCTCAGCCGAAATCAATGATTTTTTCATTTTTGGAAATCCTTAGCGAATGAGGAATCTTTTCTCTCGTGGAAGCTTTGACCTAAAATATATTAGGTGAAGAGGTGAGATGTCACCTGTTTTCTCACCTCTTTTTTCACCCTCGTGACTTTGTCATAACTTCTTCGTAAATGCTTTTCATAACTTCTTCGTAAATGCTTTGTCATAACTTCTTCGTAAATGAGTGTAAATGACCAAAAAATATATTATAGGTGAAGAGGTGAGATGTCACCTCTTTTTCACCTAATTTCTCCTCAGCGCTAAGCGCGAGACCCAAAGGTCTTGAATTTTCATGAATTTCCTTAAGATAGAAAATATACGTTAGTTTTATTTTTATTTATTTTTTTATTTTGTATGTAAAGATATGATTTCAACAATCGGCACAACAACAATTCAAGCCGCGAACGGCGGGACTCTGTCCACAACAACTTCACCAAACTCGTTAGTCATGAATCCAACATCTATGTTAGAGAGATGAAAAGCTTCATTCCTTCTTCATATACTTTCGAAACAGAAATCCAGAAGATAAAGCAAGAACTTTTAACAAGTAATTTAGACTGTAGTGCGAAAGATGAAACAAATGAACAATATCTTTATGAAATGCAGGACATTATTGACCATTTGCCTAAACTACCTGAAATTCAGCATCAAAAACTAACCATTCCTGAATTCGATGAAATAGAAGTGAAACCAACTGACTCAGTAGAAATAAAGAAG